AGTCACAGCGTCACAAAGGCCGATTTGCCAGTGCATCCACCTTCTGCCCCATCCGTCGCCCCTCCTTCCAAAGCTGACAAGCCTCTGGAGCGAAAAGAACTTATCGCCCGGATGCTAGCTGAAAAAGCTGCGAAGGCGACATCCAAAGAGGCTTCACCAACTGGCAGTGCAAAATCCCAACCTGCGATACCAGTCGATGAAACACGTCCGATTCAAAAGGAAACTGCCGTGAAGGAGAAAAGCAAAGCCCAGACGGAGTTGGCAAGGCGACGAATTGAAGAACTCAAAAGGCAGACTTTACTGAAGACCCAGAAATCGGCTCCGGAAAATCTGCCGGCGGCCCAGTTAGAACCTCCAGCGCCAGCTATTCAACACCCGCTCCCTCTTCGACCTCCTGTGCCTGAGTCTCGTCGCCCTGCTGGGCTTCCGGGACTTCTCATGACTGGGTTGGAGCAGGAGCCACATGAAACTCCTTCCTCTGAGTCGGCACAAATGACCGATGTTGACTCAACAGCGATGCCTCGAGCAACCCAACGCAAACGGCCTCGGGCTTCCGATTTCGATGAGCCAGTTGCACCTCCGAAGAAGCATTTTAACCCAGCTGCGACTCGGTTCGACCCTGCTGATAAACTCATCATAGCAATCAGCGACGACGAATCGCTCTATGGCGATGATGAGGACGACAACATGGAGTTGGCTTCAAGCCCAGAACAGGAACAAGCTCCGATAGTGACCTCGACCACTGTCAAGCCTATTGTTCAACCTAATCCTCCTGCCACCCGGGCTTCAACAGCTACACCACAAGCGCCTTCTAGTCTCAGTGACCAAGGAGACATTCGCCTTAAAGATCTGGAAATTCAAGCTATGCGCCGCAAGATTGCGGAACTGGAGCTGCGAAGGAAATCGAAGCTCGCTGCCAGCCGAACCCAGTCACCTCGAACCCTGGATGACTCTGGGGCATCATCATCCGGTGGACCATCCAGTGTGGTCCCAGCTACTTCTGAAGAAGGTAAAATTATTTCAATCTTCCTTTTCTATATCCCTCTATTTCTTGTGGGATGAGCATTCTCGAAGTATGTTCAAGAGGAAACTGTTCGTTCGAACTAACCATTACCCAGATTCTTCAAAGACTAAGCCGACGACGGCCGCCCCTGATACGACCTTGCCGGTTGCCCCTGTTGCCCAACTAGACGCACTAGCGGAAGGCGCTGCCACCCGAGAACCGCTTGAAGAAGCTCATGCGGACGAAGTGGCAAACGGTGTAATTGATAGCACCGCACAGACATCGGCTTCATTCGAGTCCGATTCTGCTGGGTCAGCTATGCAAGAATCTGATGACAGCAGCAGCGCCGGTTCCGATTCGTCCAGCGAGAGTGAGGACGAACCTGCTATCTCGCCAGCGCAAGCCGATCTCGACACTGCTACTGTGCCGTCATTCTCAGAATCTATGGAGATTGACTCTTCAGAGCGATCTGTGTCTCGGAGCTCGCCCTCTGCCATCACACATCCTAGTGCAACTTCTGCCGACGAATACGTTTCTCAACGTCACCTTAGCGAACAGTCTCAGCGTGAAGCGTCTGCGGAGTCCGACGGTTACGAGCCCCCAGAGCCTGATGCTGAAGCACAGTCCGAAGGCTCGAGCTACAGCCCTCCTCCATTCAGCCCAGCTCTTTCCGGTCTCGTAGAAAACACAGCAGTCTCGGCACCATCGTGTGACTTGAATAAAGCTGATGGAGAACTAACCAGCACGCCTCAGGTGTCAGAACCATTACCTCGGTCGGATTTGCAGATTGGCGCTCCTGGCGTATGAACACAACCTTTCTAAGAGGAAGTTTCTGGGGACCCTTTACTAACGCCTATCTAGACTGAAGCCTCGCCCACCACTTCGGAGCAAAGATTCACTCCGTACACCAGCCCACTGCGGTCCTTTAAGGCTTATCGCTACCACCCGCGTTATACCGAAGACGTTCCGAGTGGCTACCGCTCGCTAACTTACAGTCATAATATTGATTCCATGAAATACATGTGTCCATATGAGTTGGCCGGGGGTGTCTGCAATGACCGGTCCTGCGAGTTTCAGCATCTTCGTGACATGACTCTAAGCGGTGCGTCGACATGAACAACGTGCAACACCCCACCTCGTCCTCGAGCTCCCCCACCGGCGTATTGCATTATCTAGTCTGTCTTTACTTTCTGTTTATTGCTCTACTGCCTTAATCTCTGCCTCTGCTTCTTTTCCTTCCAACCCCATTTGCCATCTCCTTTTTACCCTGTTCGAATGCTGACCACAGAGCCGTTAACCTTGACAGACGACAAGATTCTCGTCCAGATGGGCGCTCCCCGAGAGGGTCAAACCGAAGAAGAAAAAACCAAATATGTTGCTGGTCTGAAAGAGATTATCAACGACTTACGGCGTGACAAGGTGAAAGATTTCAACACTGTGGCCTCCGAGATAGCCGCATACCGTAGGCGCTTCCTCCAAGACCCGTCGCGTGTCTTGTCCCTGTAACATTCTCCCACCCACATTCATTGGACCCTTTGAGAGTCTTATCCAGGTGAGCTGTCTTCCATCAGTCTTGTGAACACCACTATCGAATTTCTTTCGATGGCGGGGGAAAAACATCATCACACCACATGGACTCGGACAATCCTCACCATGGCCATGATGCCACCTTTCAATACAATATCTCATGCCACTGCCTCTTTTCAACGCTCTCGCGTTCATTACCTGGCCTTTTTTTCCTGCATCATTAGCCGGTCGGCGTTTTCTTCCCTGCATTCCAATTGCATTTGATCTGCACGATTGGGGGCCTCGTGCTCCTTGGCGCCACCTTTTTTTCTTTCCTCTTTTCTTTTTTGTTGGATCTACGCTCTGGGCCTTTCACTACCCAGTGACCCGACAAAACGGTGGGGGGTCTGCAATCTCAGCTGCTCGTAACTTTGGCAGTTTCGGCAGTTTCAGCCCTGAGCTCTGGCTACTGCTAATCTGCAAACTGAAGGGTGCGGTTGTACCATTAGAATCTCGGCGGGTTTTCGCAGAACATATTCATAGCAATCAGTCAATATGTATTTTTTTTCCCTATTCAATTGGTCTTTTTGTATTTTGTATATTTGCTAGTAATAGAACAAGCACCAATCACCTCCCAATTCCAATCCCTGGAGGTTTATGCATGAGCTCTGAGTCAATCCATCCGAAATAACCCTTGTCTACAACATATCTAAAGGACCTGCTAAAATTATTGACTCATTCATGCATAACAAAAAGAATAGAGCCAGAAAATAAAATAATATTCTTGTTCTGCAAAGAGCTTAGCCAGATACCCCACATCAACCCATCTATGTCAGATATATCTTTTCAGCTGTGCACCATCTGAGCTGAGAAATGCAAGAAAAGGAGTCAGATCTAAAAGGCAAACCTAGACCCAGAACAGTGGAAGGACTATTCCTACACAGTAAGAACTAGAAAAAAGATCTGCTGGTGGATGCTAAGTATAGCGTGCAGAATCCGGTCGGGGAGATTGGGGGCCAGGGATGGTGTGACTGTTTCAGGATTTCGAAAGATATTCAGAGATAATAATAGTAAACATTTGAAGATAATAGAGTGTACACGGTGAGCTTAATAATTTTAATATTCTAACTTCTAAAATAATGTAACCATGACATTTTTCCTGTTCTAGCAACAGAACTATACGAGTTGAGTCAAGGCAAGGCAGACCAGCGGACCGGATGTCTTGGATTCAACAGATTCTTGCTGATTGGCCCGGGGCTTCCTCGCTTTCGGTTCTGTTCCTCGTTTTGTATTGATATTTGTGTACGGAGTATATCCGTCTATATAGATGCCAAGGTGTGGTGCCCAGCGCCCGAGAGCGAAGTCAGCGACCGGGCAACCATAAACGGAAGGAAACCAAGAAAAACACTAGTAGACGGGATGAGTTGTGGATATTGTAAGTCTATGCGAATTTACAGCACAACATATACAACATACAAGAGTCCCAGGGTGGGACAACAAGCCCACTTGGGCATAGAGGGAAAAGGCCAAGACCCGTTCCGGGGCGCACAGTCCAGCACAGCCTCAACGTCAATAAAAAGTAGGTGGGGGCTACAATGTCATAGTAGGGAGGATATGGGGGAAATGGGAATAACATCATAGATCATGCCATAGGGGGGGCTGAGTCTATGTCAGAGCAAAGAAATAAGCCCAGCAAGTAAAGACTAAAGAGTAAGAAAAGTAAAAAGAAAGGGCCAAAAGGTCAAAGAAGCGGAGAACGAGAGTTAATGGACCTCGTCTGTGTTAGCATCCAAGTACCAAGACCGCTTCTTTCAGTATGGGCCATAGGGCTGTTGCTGCAGATGGCAGGCTCAAGGAGCGGTAACAAGAACAGGACACGGACACGGACTACCTAGGTAGTTCATCTTGGCCTGCATACATCACTCAGCATATAGCGGGGTCCATTTTTGGCCGAGCCGCAAATTATTCCAACCAACCATGATAATTCAAGGCCGTGCCCGTGAGGCTCAGGACCGGGGGTTTGCTGCACGTCGTGAAGATCATGACTCTACTGCTTGGCGTTTAAAATAGAAAGAGTATTCAATAATAGTCATATTGATGCTATACTAAGCCCAAAAAAAAAAAAAGTGATATCAAAATGAGAATCAGATTGGAAATGAAACAAGGCAGACCCGGGGAATCCAGCCCCGGTCTTGTGCGCTAAACCAAATCAGGAAACCGCAAGTATACAAAATTCTAGTCTAACAAAAATATGAAAATGAAAAGCATTACACCAGGATATATGCTCATGACCCATGACCCGCTTTGCATAACAAAAAAGCATTCCAGAAACAAAAAATAAAATCATCCAAAAAAAAGCAACAGAGTTCAGAATCACTATGCCGAGCCGTCAGCTTCAAGAACCACCGAAATGCTGAGTGAGCATCGGGGTCACTTACCATTGTACTTGTAGTACCCTGTCTCGGCCCGCGAGAAGGCGTTTCAAAAAGTCTCACTTCACATAATTGCAGCTGGAGCAGGCCGTGTGGCTGCACATCACGCACTGGGGCTGATGGTTGTAGATCTTAGGCCCATCTCCGCATGCACAGCAGATGTACATGTAGGTCGACATGTTGTGCCTTGTTCCAGGTAGTGAGGCTGGCGATATGCCTGTGCAGTCGACCCGTGGTAGAGGCAGTAGACCGGGGAGCTCTGGTACGACGATGGACGTGGCTGTGGTCTTCAAGGTTGGAGTGCGAGGTGTGTGCATGGTGACGGCAGTTGGGTATGCAGAGACTGGGTTGGAGCTGTGAGAGTGGGAGTGGATGCTCATGTTGTCGGAGATCTTCTCGTCAACGCAGCGAGCGCAACGGGGTTTTCCACACTGGATGCAGGCGTCGTAGAGAGACGCGTTGTGAGGGCCGAAGTTGCAGCCGCAGCAGTACCACAAAGAAGCCATTGAGGTTATGGGTTGGATAGATTGGATTGATATCGGAGACAGGATGGAAGAATCTGGAAAGTAGAGTCGAGTACTTTATAGTTGTAGAACGGGAAAGGGTCTGGACTGATACTAGGATGTGTTGATTGAGTTTGAGAATGGAATTAGATTTGAATCAGGATTTATGGATACTATATACCGTGAAGAAATTAGAATAAGATGTAAAAGAAGCAGAAACCAGAAGCGCAAGGCAGCGTTCCTCGAACAGTCAACAGCCCAGGCTGCCTTGCGAGAGATCCACATCGGGTTAAGGCCAAATTAGTTACCCGGGCAGTCATTGGGGCAATGGGTGAAAGTTGACCTTAGTTGCACATCATCCGGCGTGATGGGTTGCCCAAGGGAGTGGCTTAGTGTAGTCCGGGGCTCTGTGATTGCCCCAGGGCACCACAGTTGCGCCTAGAATGTGAGGAATCTATGAATCATTTCTGAAGACCTGGTGTTTTGAGTCAAAACGGGCCCACTATTCCAGGGCTAAGCAAATGCTCACACCGTCTCGAGTGGACTGGCTTACCCGGGAGAATGTATGGGCGCTCAACGGGTTATGGTGACTCGGGTGCCCGAACTAACGGTCTACATTTCAGCGTCATAAACTTGAATTCCTCACCACATTGATGCCTTGGTAAATGAACTCGCTCAATTGGCTTCCACGACGTGCGATAAACTCCACTCTTTCCTGGTTTTCCAGGCACCGGCTGCTTCGTAAAGCAAATTGAAGAGTCATCGAGTCAGGTGTCCCGCGCCCTTCGCAGTGTTGCCTAAGTCACCCAGTTGTTGATTCCTGACACCTGAATATGAACAAAAATCAAAAATCCCGTTTCATCATTGTTGGACTTTTTTTTAGTGCTTCTTACAATTTACAGATTACGAGATGCTGTGAAACCCGAAGGCTGATTTCTAATTTAAATTCTCACCCCGGGGTCCCGCACAAATTCCATGCCATGTGCCTTTTCCAGATACTATATCGAGTTCTATCGAGTACAACCGTAGCACGGTCAAGATCTAAAAGAAGATTAGACTATGAGGTGATCTGACATTTCTCATTCGGCCCTATCTGACGGTCGCAGCTGAGAAATATAGAATTAGTAATGGTAGACCCGACATTTCCCGTTGTCAACATAGTAGCTGAGGTTGGAGAAAAAGAGCTTGGAATATTCCCAGGGAGTTTCAAGGTTCTCCCGATTCCCCAATCCATGGGACCCGGAGGAACGAACCCCAGGGACACGGGCGCCTAGCTCCGATTATGTCAGGTTTGCACTGTTTGATCCAACGTCTTCCCTCCAGGCTACTACTCGATCCGTGCAAGCGCATTCATTCCAACCTTGGAAGGTTACCTCATTACCTATTACATTCATGCATACGATATCGCTGTATTGACTCGGTATATATGGCGTCTCCCGCGCAGAAGCGCGCCAACGTCGTGGTATCCAGGCTCATTCCGCCTGTGTTACTCGGCGTTGTGATTTACGCTTCCTATGCGGTCACGAAACCATTATGCAGTGAGTTTTTCGCGAAATTTGTCGAGGGTCTTCACCAGAAACTAACAGAGTGAAACCAAGTCGACTATCTAATTCATCCGTTACCCTCCTATAACCGAGGTCCCCGAGTCGGCGCTGGCGCCGCGATCATCGCGATCTATTACGTTCTCTTAATCCCCATGGTCGTTTCATATTTGCAACTTTATTATCAAGTCATGTGGAATCCCGGATATCTTCCCCTCGGTGAACAAAAAGTGGCAGATGACGAGAACGCAAAGCAATCGAAGCGCCATCGTGGGAAGAAACGCACGCGCAAACCCGATCCGGAGAAGACAGACCAGGCAGACGCGGATGTGGAGAGAGGCTCGAACTCCACTGCTGTAGGCACCGCATTCCAGTCAGATTTTGGGCTGGAGAGCTTCTACACAAGAGATGTTTTCGTCTGCCAGGAGGATGGCCGGCCACATTGGTGCACTACGTGCTGTCAGTACAAGACAGATAGGGCGCACCACTGCCGCGAGTTGGGTCGTTGTGTGCGCAAAATGGATCACTTCTGTCCTTGGTATGATGATAACACCTTACCGCAGGCCCGGTATCCAGCTGACAGAATGCAGGGTTGGAGGCGTGGTGTCGGAGACATCGTTCAAATTCTTCATTCAATTCGTTGCTTATACTTGCATATTCTGTACCTTTGCACTCATAGTGTCTGCTTATTTTACAGGGGAGATCCGACGCCAGGTAAGACTTCCACGAGCCGCTGTTCAACTCACCGAGATGCTTGTTACTGACCTTACAACCAGACCGGAGGAGTAAACCCCCCATTGGTGTGTCTGCATTGGACTGTAAGTGCTCACCCACAGGATACTAGAGAATTCATTAAGTCTGACGAAAATTACCAGGAGCGGCCTTTTTGCCTTCTTCGCCGCTGGAATGACCTTGAGCTCAGTCCAAATGGGCATCCTCAACATCACAACAATCGAAAACCTGAACCGGCGCACCGCCGTCTGGACCCTGGCTATCCGTGTTCCAGAATACCTCCTCGATCGACTCTGGGCAGCCGAGTCCCCCTGGGCGCCAACATACCGCATGGTATCCTACCCAATACAACCACCATCCTCTCCAACCCAGCCGCAAACAACAAACCCCTCCCCAGGCGAACGCCACGTCTTCGCCATCCTCCACACTCTGCCAGGCGAGAATCCCTTCGACCTAGGAAGCCCATTGAAAAATCTCCAGCAGGTCATGGGATACACCGTCTTCGATTGGCTGCTGCCGATCAAACATAGCCCATGTGCTGACCACAGTAGCATGGAGAGCCATTTTGCCCTGGGACCCGTTGTGACCCGCTTGCGGCAGGAGGCTGGACTGGCCCCGCCGCCCGAGAACGGGGCTGCTGTTCCGAGGTCCCCACATTCGGGGCAAAGCCACCGGGAAAAATCTCCTAGCGAGCAATAGTTCGGGGCGCTTGGTGCGCTTCGGGCATGTTTTGGATACGCCCATAGTTAATGCAATATGTCTCCACAATATACACTATTGGCCTAGCCTGGCTGTAGTAAGTTGGTTTATGTTCCGATAACCTGAAGCCCCCTCAGGGCTGAATGTCGTCGCCATTACGTACAGGCCTCCTGTGGTAGATCTCTTGATCTAGAAACTTGAGCCATTGGATGGCAGATAAACTACATGTAGACAAAGGAAGAGGTTGGGAAAAAAAATTTTGTTCTTCCAGCGCATTCCACATGTTCAGGGCGTTTATCTTGGTTTACTGGCTTCAATAACGTCCAACCACGTTTCCAGAAAAATTATCATTCCCATTGACTATCTCTCGCCTTCAGGTATAGAATTATGGCTACCTTGGAATGAGAGAGCACCTATGAGGTCATTTAAGCATGATATGGCAGCCTTCATGTACTTGAGAGATGGGACACATATCAAAGGTACAAAAAAGAGATTAAAATTGAATCGTCTCTGGGCCTATAACTAATAGGAATCAGGTGTTAAGCGAGCGTACTAGGAAAATCTTAATGATAAAATTCTCCTAAGAAGAGTGGACAGTTGCCTAGAATTGACAATTTGTACGGATAAATTACTAGACATATTAGATGCACACCTGGGCAAGTCTGCCTTACCTATGTACCTACATGTTAGGTAGGTAGGTATTTGGCCGAAAAAAGACAGGATGACTCCACCTTTGTCGACACCTTATTGTATCACCATGATCTCTGTAGATCTTAACACTCTATCACCATTTATTATCATTGACTGTTAAGGCATTCATGCCAGCGATGCTTTCATGCAGTTTATGACAGATTCCTTTGCTTTGCTTTTACTAGGTATTTCCAGGCTTTATTTTTGCCTTTGTTTCTTTTGTCCCATGAAGCTATATAGACATGAGCTTTATGGCAGTTAGGCAGAAAATATAACTCTCTCTCTCTCTCTCTCTCTCTCTCTCTCTGTCTGTGTGTGTGTGTGTAGGTCTGTCGACACAAGTATCAGCCACAGTCCCCATCAACTGTTCTAAGCTATGAGCCTGCCTTCGCAGCACGAGGCTCCGTCGCGCCAGCCTTACTATCATGAGAAAAGTGAAGGGCAGAGACGAGACCTACGTCGCTACTGCCCGGTCTGCTGCCAGTTCGTACTCCCGGGTCATACCTGTCACCCAGTATGCAAACGCTGTGATAATCTTTTCTCTCCCGAGTCTCGCTGTCTAGACTATTGTGGAAAATTTCCCTGCTGTGGCTGTTGCAAGCTGAAACCAGGTCCACCTAAGGTCCCCCCAAACATCAGTCAAGACAGACTACCCGTCTTTCAGGTATGGCAATAATACCCCTACAACTCATACCTAGGTGTAGCCACTAACAAGCTTTTTGACTAGGTTGTTTTCCCTAACCTGAGGACGGTTATGAATCAACTCCTTGATTTCATACTATCAGATCGACGGCTTGAAATCGACTTTGACCGTGCGCCTTACAAAAGCATAGTTAAAGCTCTTAGAAGCCAAAACAACTTCGTCGATTTAGCGTACGAGGCAATTTTACCGGAGATCAGAGACTTCCAGGGAAAGGTTATTACTACACAAGAGTATGCCTTTGATTCAAGACAGTAGTAGTTATATACATTTACTAATTATGTGAACTTATTCTGCCCTAGGCTGCATAAGATTCGCTTGATGCAATCATCGATTTTGACAATCTGGGACGATCCTTATGCTGGGTATTTGGATTTCGTTACGCATCTTTATGATCTTGACTACCTACGACCATATATCGGACAAGCCGGCATCCCGAGAGAACGATTATCACAACACCATACTGCCATTCGCAACGCATCAGAGCGAACTCTACATTACTGGATCATCAAGATTGGCCACGGATTAAGAGTTGCGAACTTCATCCGGCTCTGGACTATGACCTTTCCCGCGAATATCGATAATCTCGTTGAACTGGTTTTCGAAAACTTTCTTGAAATGACTTTTTGTCGAGCGTTCCAGTCTTTGCCTTCCTCGATCCTAGAGGATATCTTTGGACCGTGCCCAGAAAACAACGGTCACTACTCAGGGATGGGTCTCAATGTCATGCCACCATTACTACAAGGAAAGAAAATAGCCCCAATGTTGCGTTCCCGGTTTGTCAAACCGATCGCCCTATCCCCAGACCCCGAAATCCGCGAATGGCCCTCTATGCGAGTTTCCCGGGTGGAAGAAAATTCTCAACGCGCATTACCGACGAGAAGCCACATGGGCAAAAAGGAATGTCATGAGGCTCTCCACAAAGCAATTCAACAGAATTCAACCCTCGAGCAATCACTTCCCCTTCCTATGGAAGTACAGGACTGGGCCCAGCCTGAGGAGGAGATAGTCGAGATTGAAACATGGTTTCAGACGATAACTACCAGACTTCAAGAGATGAATGGAGCTGCTGAAGTTAGCTACATTCGTCCGGTAGGATCCTGCAAGGCGGCTATCGGCGTGATCATCGACAACACCACATTCCATGAATATAGCTCTGGGGGCGCAATGGTGAACTTACCATGGGGCATGCAAGAGAGTGGGTTCAGCCAATCAAACTCTCTGATCTGGTCATACAACTTGCAGAGCTATGTGCAAATTCCAACGTCTTTCCAAGCTGCTCCACCCAGACTGGCAGATATCAGGGTCCTCCGGGAAGCAACGCAAGCCCTGATCCGTGGGAGCCATCTCGGGATTGTGATTATTTGCGGAGATAGGGCAGAGCAGGTGGCCATCCCTGATGATGCTGAGTCTAAGCGGGTGGAGATTACTTTGCAGGGCAGGAAATATAATGTCTGGGTTGAAATTCAACAGTCTAGAATCAAAAGACTATTCATCCGTTCCCGCCAGCCCCTTTCAAGGCTATGGGCTACCCAGGGGAGACAGGCCTTTGACCTAACGAATGTCTTTCGTTTTTCATCTATCATGATGGATATCAAAATCTTCGGAGGCTTCTATGAGTCTGCCCTATCTGTGTCGTTAATCGTTCGCAAATGGACTGACGAAAGAGACAATGGTCTTCCACGAGCTAAGCCAGCTGACCTTGAGCCGATCCTAAAGGTCTGGCTAGCAAACAGGTCGTTCCAGAGCCACGAAGACCTCGATCGCCTAACCAAAGCGGCTGGCGGTTCTTTGAGATATGGAGTTCTTGTTCTTAGCCTTATACAACCAAAGGAAAAGCACTCAACTCGGATCCGAAGAATCCACCCGTCAATTCAGCGTCGCCGTGGTGCGATTCCGCGTCAGGTTATAGACGATGTGAAGTCACTTTGGACAGAACTTGCTGGCGAACCAGGCGAACCAGGCTTTGGCGAATCAGGTGCTGGTCAATCAGGTGTCCCCTCCGAGGAAGCCGATGACGTGGACGAGCACGACATTGAGAAAGCCGCCGAAGAGTTTGGAATTTCTAAGGAACCGGAGTACGTTGCCTCGGGTGCTATTCAAGATTCAGAGATCTCGGACCAAGATGGACTTGATAGACCCGCCCCGTGCTTCGATAACCGGCTAGTCTGGCTCCTCGGTACGAAATATAAAGGTGCTAGATCCAGCGAAAACACTGTGCGCATGTACGTTCGACACATGTCTATTTTGATCCCGTGCAAGATATCAGAGATACAAAATAGGGATGTCTGGGTCAAAGCTGAGTTGTCGCCCATTGGAGAAAGACACCCCAATATGTTCGCCAAGACGACTATAGAGAGCGATCCTGCCTCCCGTCTCGCCATTCGGTGCTCATTCGAAGACTCATACAGCGGCCAAACGAAAGTGGTATATGCCTACTCGCAAACCAGGAGCATGCTTTGCAAGGCAAATACTCTAGTCGATGAATTAAACGGCGACGACTTTGTTGAGATATGCCAAAGACCTCGACGATTCATGTACGTTGACCACCGGTGTACTAGGCAAATCGAGGCCCATCCTCAGCTACGACCATTTATCGGTGGTGCCTACACGGATGACAATGGGGAAGTTTTATTTTGTTCCTAGGGAGATATCGACCGAAGGAAGAGAAGAGCCTGACGCCCAAGGGAGAGAGATGGATGTCCACTAAGGCTAAGACAGCGATAGCTTCTTTTGTTTGACGAAAACCTGGATATAACGAAATTTATGACCAGTCTCCTATGGTTTGTTACAACAGGGGTTGGCTGTACATTTTGAGGCCCCATTTCAAAATAAATATTCATCGTTGCATCATACTCGAAGATTCTTGGCATAATACAGACTTTAAACTCAAGGTAGAGAAAAAAAATAGAGCAACGACGGCTGCAAGATTCGAACTTGCGCCCGCGAACGGAATTGATTTCGAACTGTAAGAATTGTTAGTAGACGCTTAGGATTAATTTCATATTAGAAACACATACTCAATCGCCTTAACCACTCGGCCAAACCGCCGTATTATAAGAAATTTTAGCAATTATAACTGCCTAATTAATACACTCTTTTAAATTAGACCTATGGGTCTTATTATTATTGGCGCGTGGAGACCTTTCTACGCCGATAAATACGCGCGTATAAGGTGCTATACCGGACTCCGAAATCCCGCTAATAGCTTGAATTTAGCTTTTTTTTCTTTAATAGTAGGCTCTAATAGCCTTTAGAATTTTATCCTCGAAAGTAGGGATTTTTTTTGGCATTATTTGTGCTAGAAAATTGTATATAAAGTTGATAGAAGAAAAAATCTCGGAATGTGGGAGGATCCCACAATGTGAAACAGATCCCGAGAACGCGTGTGGGGCTGGGAAGATTACCATGGGAGAAAAAAAGAAAGTAACGACGGCTGCAAGATTCGAACTTGCGCCCGCGAACGGAATTGATTTCGAACTGTAAGTATTGTTAGTGGACGTTTGGGTTTAATTTCATATCAGAAACACATACTCAATCGCCTTAACCACTCGGCCAAACCGCCGTATTATAAGAATAGTTTACGGAAAACAAGAACACTTGATCTGATAGACTCTCCGGTCTCCGCGTTTCTCCAAGCTCTCCGAGGCCTGCGAAGGACAGCTTTTAACGGTTATGAGATCCATTCTGGGACTTGAAGACATGTACTAATTTGCGTTATACTTCGTGGGAAATTAGTACCCTACTACAGTAGGAAGCAGATAAAGATTATTAGGATTTATCGGCACTGTGTCCGAATGTTACCCAGGATCAGCAAGAGACTGTCGTCTATAGTATATCTTCCAACATCCTCAATGTCCCACGACAACAAACAAAAGAGACAAGAATCAATAGATATGAAAAATGGAAAAGGAAAGTAAGGAAAATTGGAAAAAGGAAAATAAGTAACCCAAACACCCCAAACGTAACAAGCTCCCGCACAATCCATCCAACTCTAGGGAACCGTTTCTGTGCTGCAATTCCCGCACTCAGAATGCGAGCAAATCGAGCACTTCTCCGATGCTAGACTCGGATTGACCAAGTTGCTACACCCACAGCACCTCCACCATTGTGGCACCAGTCTTGGAGCGCCGGTAGATAGGTAGTCGGGCGTGAGCACGGGTATGGTATCCGGATACGGAGCCAGAATTCGTTGTGCACGATATATCAGCGGGCTGCTCATGACGTCGGCGTAAGAGGGATGGTTAGGCTGGGCCAAGTGCCAGCCATGCAAGAGATGAGTTGAATTTTGTCCTTCGCTGTCGGTATTGGTATTCGAGAGGTTGTTGGATATGGTGTAGGCAGACATAGTGACTCCAGGTGTTCGAATGGATAAACTGACTAGTGGAGAAGATATTTTGATCTGTGGGGTGATGATATGGGGTATCTTAAAGCTTTTGAACGAGTTGGATGAGGGATTTTAACTATAGATAGAGTTATACCAAGCCAATTCGAAGTCTGATTGTATGAAGCAGTGTGAGAAGGCCGCCAAACTAGCCATGGCCAACACTATTTTATATCCCAGTGTCGACACAGACGCCCATGACCAGGGCTCCTATTACAGCACCAAAAGCCCAGGCATAGAAGCCCAGTTGAAACCCAAGGTGAAAAGGCGCGCCTCAAACCACCAAAGAGCCATGACCACAGAGTGGAAATCACAAGCACAGGGAACGAAATACCCGGCGGGCAAAGAGACGCAGAAAACAGCAGCCGGCAGTGCTTAAGCAGCGGTGAAGCGAAAGCGAAACCAACCAGCCAGAGCGAGAGAAACAGCGTGGCGGCACGCCCGTCTATTTGATACCGACATATTCACCCGCGACCCGGGTCGTGCTCAGCCAGCATTGCGCCTAGCAGCCCACAATCTGGGCCCCGGATGATGGTATTTTGCGGCAGGGCCCGGGTATACCAGAGATCTAGAAACTTTGGTTATCAGTGCTGGCGTTAGTGACTGGGCACATACCGTCTTCGGCAGAGGAACGGGTCATAATGGGGTTGTAGGCGCTTTGCCCGCCTTCCACATGAGGTGGGCCATTTATATTGAAGGTAAAGGTAAGGCTTCTATTACTGGGTGACCGGGTGGGGTCATACCCTATACTGAAATAGCTGGGTTGTTGGGCGTTTAGTTGTAGAAACCCGAATATTTGTTTCATGTGTTCTCGTGCAGAGTCTGCGCCTCGGCTGAGAGGTCTGGCTCTATGCCTTTCCCGGGTGCTAGGGAGTGGGAGATTCGCCCTGCTCCCTGGACTTTGTTGTTCAGTAGCTCTGGCTTCTTTGATTATTGTGGATATGCCAAGACAATATCCATGTAGTGCTCGCTGTTCCTAATAAATGCACGACCTGTGTATAACCTTTGTGCGGGCAAGGTAGTGGCTAGGGGAGAAGGGGTTCGAACTTCGTGAGGGGAACCTTCTATAAGATTATATTTTGCGAGCTACGGAGTATAAAAGTACCTAGACACAATCCCGTACTCTTATAGGCCTAGATCTGCGTCTTACATCGTGCCCAGCCGATTGGAAAGAAGTATCTGGGTGGCCTCCGTTGGAACTTGTCGAGACAGTCCAATTGCCCAGGTGGATACCATGAACTTAGATATGTTAATAATAGCTTGTGGTATTTTTACTCTCTTTTAGACGAGAAAGATAAGCAAACTTTCTAAAAAAAGAATGTTTAATGGAGCCAGAGTACGGCAGTGTATAACCGCCAGTGCGCCATATCGCATTTTGCCAGCAGAACGTTTCATAAAGCTAGTGTATGTGTATGTACTTTATTGACGATATTATAGAAGTATCGAAGGTTATATATAGAGAAGTTCCCTTTCACAATATATAGCCCTCTGCTACTATCTATCTAATAAACTAATAGGAGGGAGAAAATATCTATATCACTAGACATCTTAAAAAGCTGCCTAAAAAGACTACCAAAAAGACTACCAAAAAGACTACCAAAAAGACTACCAAAAAGACTACCAAAAAGACTACCAAAAAGACTACCAAAAAGACTACCAAAAAGACTACCAAAAAGACTAAATAAAAGACTAGTTGTTAGAGACTACCTAAGAAGACTACTAAAAAGACTACGGCGGTATAAGCGGCCGACTATTCTAGTTATAGAAATCGAGATATTGTAGAAATTGACCCTATAGAAGTTGATATTGTAAGAATTAATCACTGGACTTTGTAGGTAATAGTAAATTGGCGGTATGACAGTCAAGATTAATATGGAAAAATATGATATGGCGCACTGGCGGCTATACACTGCCGTAAGCCAGAGGCAAACTTCAGAGTTGTCTCAGCAGATCTTAGATTCCATGTATGACCTCATCACACGGATAGATCGAGCCAATTCATCTAATTGCACAGCCTCTATTTCCTATATTAATCAAGTTGGGAGAAAATGTTAGGTATAAAAAAGCAAGGATCCTGGGGATATATACCTATGTTTCCCCCACTAGATTTCACCAAGAATAACTTACCCTTTTCCCCTTTGTACAATGCGGCTCAAGTGAAATCACAAAACATCTGTGGATCCTCAAACTCTCAAACCCACATTCACATCCCGGGCAATGCCCGGGCGAAACAAAAATGAAAGTGAGTGTCTTGACCGCCTGTCGGGGGTGTGTTTTGCATATGAAGCAAGGGAGTTTCATAGTTAAAGAGCGGGAACAACACATGGTATCCACGGTTGACAGGTTGAGTTCCAAAGGTTCACACCTTCTAGATCCATGGAATCATATCTATATTTATATTTATTTTATATCTATTTGTGCTCTCTTTCATCTCTTATCCTTCCCTTGTCAACTACTTACTTCCATCTAACCTTCCAAAGACTTTGAATAACTCAGCCCTGGAAATTCCTTGGCGTTTCTTACTAACCTTTTGTCCAACCCTCAACCCACTTTTGCGTCATTGTCCACACGTTTCGTTTCAACACACTTCTGAATCCCCTTCATTGTTGAGTTGGGCAACTATTGGGCTCCAGGCTTCGTGTCAAGTTCGGCTCCGATTTCCTCGACTCTCTAATCTTCGCCTCCGAGCCAACCGACCAGGTTGGGCATTTCTACATAATTCAACTCGGATTGTTAAATACTCAATCTCTCGAAGCCGACCGGAGGATAGTTGTCACACCTGATTTCAACCGGCCAGGCTTTATCATCATCTGCACCCTTCTTACCCAAAATGTCGAGTCATTACCGAAATTTGTCTCCAAGTCGAGCCCGACACTCCATGATTGATCCCATGAGAGCGTCAACCGGCATGGTAGAACTAAGCTCCTCCTACGACCCTTATGATGCGCCCAGGCGCTACGATTACGCCGACTACCCATCTGATACTGGATACACCAGTGCTTATGGGTACCGCTCAGGGCGACCATCGAAACTCGAAGCACACCAAATATCCTCCCATCGAGTCCGTGATCCGACTGCGTCCGCCAAAAAGCGCACCGAATACAGCGTCCAGCCCCGCACCAGGCACAGAAGCAACACATCGACAGCTGCGGAGTACGGGACACCAGTGCGTCTATCTGTACCTTCCATATCCCGTCAACATCTGTCGCCCGTGCACCACTCAATTCACCGCCGTACCCCGAGCCCTCTGCACATAGACACCGGCCATCATATGGCCCCTGCTTCTCCTCGGCATCCCGCACATCGCCGAATCTACAGCACCGACTATGCGAGCGACACAGGCCATATCGGCTCACGAAATGATGCTAGATACAGGAATGATCACAGTCCGCATCAACATCGTGTCCATCCACCGCCTCGTACAGCACGGTATCCAGTGTACGACGGGCTGAGGAAAGGCGACGACATCGACGACTTTGATGCCTATTCATACACCAACGCCCGTGAGCAATTCGACCGGGACTATCCTGTCAAGCCGCGCCATCGCGGACCGAGATACTCACTCGATCGGCCGCTCAGTATCACTGGCGCAGAAGAAAATCCTCAGTGGACAGCGCGGAAAGACCGTCAATATGGCCCACCCCCGACATCGTGGGGCCTTGACAAGATCGGGCGTGAACGGCCGCGAGGCTCAACGCATGGCAAGGATGATCATCGGGACCCGCACAGATCGAAGGATGGATTCCACGATCAAGCCCTGGTTGCCGTGCCTCAAGACTCTGACGATGAATACCCCTCTCGACACGACGAGCGCCGCCGTCGCCGTGCCCACAGAGCGCGCCATGCGAATGATCGGGAGTACCACTATCCAGAAGACCACCATGCGAAGCCACATGACGCGGGCGCTCTCGCTACTATGGGGCTTGGAACAGCGGCCTTGGGAGGCGGATACTCCGACATGTCAGACTACGAAAATCTCCGTCCGTCGCGACGGAAGCACAGACGCCCACACCGCGATCATGAGCATGATGCCGTTCAGCACCCATCGCAAGAGCTGGTAGAAACCGTTCCAGGCGATGAAAGAACCAAGGCCTACCTGGATCCCGCCGACGCTCGTCGCCACGGTCGATCACGGCGGCACCGGACGCACAGCGATTATGCCGACACGTCAGACGAAGACTTGCGAAACTACAGGCGTGAGCCCGCACGTCGCAGACACAGCAGCACAGACACCGAAAGTGACCGCGATCGCAGTCGGGACCGCTCGCACCATAGGCGAGACCGAGACCACTCGCGTGGATACCGTTCTTCTCGCTCCCACCGCATGCTGGAGGATGGCCACGCTATTGAGCCGCGACGATCGCCACCACTTGACATGGCCAAAGATGACCCCAGAAGACTTATTGCTGTCGATCCGCCTGCTCCAAAGGAGCCCGAGGGTCCTCCTAAAGGAATCCTCAAGCCTCCGCGTGAGGCATTCCCGGAGGAACCCAATCCGGTGAGGGAGGGCGTCGCTCCCCTCAAAGACGCCCATAAGCAGGGAATCCCACCGGGAGCTCGCTGGACGAAGATCGACCGGCGACTCGTGAATCCGGAGGCATTGGAAGCGGGCAATGAACGGTTCGAGGAGCGATCGGATTATGTGATTGTCTTGAGGGTTTTGAGCAAGGAGGAAATCCAGCAGTATGCTGTGAAGACACAGGAGATTAGAGGTAAGTCACGCTGCTGTGTATATCCTGGAATCGCATTTGAAATAAAATACTCACAGTTGAGTCCCATAGATACCCGACACAAGGAACAGCTGCGCGAGAGACGCAAGTCCAGAGATGAGACCCAACGCCACGGACGCCGGGGCGAGGAGTCTTCCAGCGACGACGAGGACGAGGGCGAGGAAGAACCCTGGAAGGAGCTCGAAGCCGCTCCTGCACCAACCGCACAGAAGATGACCTTGCCGTCGCGACCACGCGCCTCGACCAACTCAATGCATGAGGCTGAAAGGTCTAGAATGAGCAATCCACCTGCTGCGCCGGTATAGGAGAATCATTCAATGGCTCAAGATTTCGATACGCCTGGCAGGGCCTGCAACTAGCATCGAGCCCGTTGAAACCACAATGGCGTTCGCGCAGTGCATAGGGGCGAAGGAAACCGTCGGTTCACATGTCGATTCACATGTTGGCTCCAACAAATGTAACTAATGCAGCTATCCTTCTGGGGACGAAGACCATGCGACCAGCCCCTGCAGGCGAAAATGCAAGCACCCATCCAATTTACGCGCGTCCCAAGGTCCTCCATAATCTCAGTCTCGAGTCGTATCTTTTCCTCCGGTTTATCTCAAAGTACACCGCCTCCATACCAATCTATGGCTGCGTTGAATGCACTCCGTACGCATCTGTCATATTGTTTGAGGGGATGCCCAAGATCAACAACGCCTGCGCATGCAACGCAACGCGCCGCTGGATTCTTTCCGAGCCAATGAGGCCCCGGAGTCTTTGATTGCGGAACCCAACGATGATCAATTGCTAGGCCACCCGCGCCCGCATCCACAGTAATCCATATTGGACTGGACACAACGAACACGAGGTTACCTCGGAGTGGTGCGGCTCATTGGATGGATGCTGTGGTCCATTTTTTGCTCCACGCATGCGCTGCTTTCTCAGCTTGTGTTACCTATTCCTGGATCGGTGGATACAATGGAGTCTGCAGATGGAGTCAATTCCATTACATTATCCCGATGGAAAGAGCCCCGGAGAGAGATAGCAGACCTGCATTCTTAGATGTTTACTTTTGCGTTGGTATGTGCGTCTGCACCTCTGGAGAGCACAAGAGCGCTAAGGAAAATACAAATCAAGCGCCCTTCCTAAAAGCGCAGGAGGGGGAATGTCAAGCAAAAAGCAAATAAGAGCATCACCCAAATGCAATTGTGTCAGGATTCAATGTTTTCTTTTCTTTTTCTTTTTTTTTTTTTTTTAATCCCGCTTTTCAGAGTATCGAGTACCCCGTAGTGTCTGTGCCATCCCAACGGGAAATTATCCAACAGCGCCTAAATCCCAATCATTTTCAAACCCCTCCCCAAAAGGAAGCAGATAACTAAAAAGCAGAAATAAAATAGGGGGGACACTGAGATTACCGTAGTTGCATTGTGGCTGCAGGTTCTAGACATACGCCTGGCAAACAATTAGGGATTTCCTATATTGGATCCTTGTCGGATTTCACCGAAGCTCTTTTGGTGATAAAGTGGGGATTTGGTAATTAGAAATCAAGAGGCATAAAGTTGTAAATCTACAGATGTCTATGGCAAGTTGTTATGGACACAAATACTGCGTACAGAGTATCCCGAGTAATACTCCCAACTTGATACCCTGTATACACCTTGCCTTGGGATTATACGTAGAAGAACAAAAGCTACCCCTCTCTTGTTCGATGTTTGAGGCCCCCTTGTTGGTACTTTCCATTTTGCACGGGTGAATAGTCATAGTAGAATATAGGGATATAGGCTGGGATGGGAATTGGTCGTAACTACCTATGTTATGTGTGCGGAGTACGTACGCCTTGCACCACGAGTATCGGTACTCCGTATAGGTACCAGTGTTGGTTAAGTGTTTATGTACACACTTGTTATTCCACATCGCGTCAACAGATATTGGGAGCACCTACCCAAAAGGTTATAGTAGGGTTACAAGAGGAGATTTGATCAAGTCGGAGACATTCTCATCACATCGGAGTCGAAAGTCCCCGGGACTAGGACTAGTTATGGAACATACGTATGTTGTATGCGGCATTTAATGTGCCTCATGTAAACAAGAACCAAAGACCAAGAACCATTGACATAGTGTTGCAGAGCACCATTGCTATGCTGCCTGCTGTATTCCGTATAGAGTAGATTATACGACGTCCGATTTACGATTACTGTGGATGCAGTCATGAAATCACATCCGATTTGAGGATCCAGAACCTGTGGGTCAGCCGTTTGCTAATGGATGGCGAGGAAACCAGGTAGCAATCTATGCCGCGAGTCATGGATGTGGCGAAGGGCAGAACAGGTCTCCACGATAAAGCAGTCCATAGAACGGAGTATAACAGCGTATGAGAGTAGACAACATCATAAGCTAAAAGCTATCTTGGAATCTAGAAAGACGATCTCCATATGAATCAGAACAAGGAAGGTGGAGAGAGAGCTTGTTTCTGGGCCAGGGCGTCTGGGTCCGCGTGCTTGGCTGTCGGGAGAGATCTTGCTATTGGAATGACTATATTGGTACATCAAAGGGCAGGGAATTGTCCAATCCGATCTCGATTCTATAAATTGTCCATATACAGTGCTTACCTCCGTTGCGGAGATGAAACCTACGGGAACGTGCTGATCCCTGATACGATCTTCTCCCGTCACAATGTGATTTATAATTTCCTATCCTAGGTCTTTTTGGGGACTCCGTGGCTCCATAGTCCGTATGGAGTATCTCCGAAATGATTATGATATCAGCCGAACCTTTACTTTGGCTCAGCGAATTTTGATATTGCATTTACGCCTCCTATGGAGTACAGAAATCAAGATTGGTTGACTGGGTGCAACCATCCCGAACCTGTCCAAGATCGTCGTGGCACATGGGGGCAAAAGCCAAAAAAAAAGCAAACACAACGCGCTCACTTGCCCCGATTGTGTCATAAGGTTGTTAAGGGGGCCCGGGGCGACGAATTAGTTACGATCGACTCCGTACTCCGGAGCCAGTGATTCAGTGCTTATCACCTCCAGAGCTATATCAGGGCTTATTATAGGATATGGGACGGAAGATACAAGGTTCGTATTCGGTGTTGTTCTTCCCCGAGGCTCTGACGTAGACATGGGATAGCTATGATCCTCGATTAAACGGTGCAGTATGCAGACAACTCAGTGTATGCGGTACAGTTCCCATAAGATCGGTGTGTGTATGGCAATTGCCCATCTTTGTAGTGATCCTCGAAATTGTGTTATATTTCATAAATACCGAGTAATGAAAAAAAAAAATTCCTTATTATTTTTTGCATTGTCTTTTTCCCACGCACCTGCCAGCCTCAAGATAACACAGGAAGATCTGAAACAATTCGCTCCGGCCACGCGACGCGCTACCGCGTACATGCAGGTTTCAACATTCTTCCACATGGGATGGCTCACAAAGTTTCAGTTTGCGGTGAGGACTAACTTTGTATTTTGGCTTTTTATGGTTCAGGCTAGAAACATTTCGAAAGGATTCGAGGGAACATTCGGTGTATGAAAGAGAGCGCGTGGAAGAGCTGAAACCCGTATATTAATTATGGCCACATATCGCCGTTGCAACTAGAATCATAATATCTGCATGTCTTTACCACTGACCACCCTTTCCTGGTTGCCTTTTCCATTGGATGCAAATGATACAATCCCTGTACCAAATAATATCAGTCGGCGCCCCGGGTTATGATCTTTCCCCGACTTCTTACGGCTTTTGGCGGCTGGGGCCGGAGTACGGAGTAGACCGGTGTGGTAATCTTCAATTTGTGCCGGACCTTGGCTGCACAAAGCTAGAGACATCGAGGTTCGGCTAAAAATAATAGAAAATACCTCATCGCACGTTCGAAGCTCTGTTTGGATCCGGATGGTGGGGCCGTTAAAACGATCCATCCACCTGCCCAGGTGGTATATCGCGTCTATGGATTATGGATGTTCGAGATAATAAGTACATGTACAATATACAACGTAGGAAGTAGATGGAACCAGCTGTGAGAGAGGCAATGCAACATATTCGATTTGTGCGTTCTTTTTTGGGGGGGGTTTATCATTTCCTCTTCTCGGCGCCATCCCGTTTGGTTCGAAGGGGGGGTCCATATCCGTCTTAGGGCGATCCGGAATGCGGAGAATGTTTTACTCATTTTTTTTTTTTTTTATTATTATTATTATTATTCTCTTTTTCTCATTGATTGGCATATGGGCCTGTAAAGTTTGGAAGGAGTCATAATGATATAAGCTATAAGTATTAATTATAAGCTGAGTCTTCAAGGATTTGAAGCCGTTGACAGCCCTGGGGCAGATCATTGCAGACTAAGCAGACTAAGCAGGGTGGTCAATATCCGCATGGACGAAAGACCGGGGTGTGTCAACTTTAATTTGGGGTTGAATTCCTAAATATGCATTGTCAAAAATATGTATGTTGTATTTCGTTTTAATGAATGGCTAAATGAAGAAAACTAATATCCAACTCACCTCGGCATCTGGGCAGGGTCCCATGGGCGCAGCCAACGTAACCATGGGCGTCTGCCAAGCGGCTAAGACTATCAAGACTTCAACTCGACCTTCCCTTGTACGATAGCCCGACCCGCGATCTACTAGATTGTGGCTTACAGCCCCTCAATTGCCCCGTGTCCATTGGTGTCTGTTTCCATATTCGGGGCCGAGCGTCGATATTGAGTAATCGGACATACGGTCGTACCGGTGTCGACATCTTGCCGAGCTCCGGTGAGCATGTATCTCCCCGAAGTTCGGAGTGGCTTCGCACAGGAAAATTTCTCGCAGAAATTCGAGCTAGTTCTGGAGGTGAAGGGAGAAAGACAGCTCGCCTGCATTTCTGTAGCTGCAAGAAGCAAGGGTTACACTAGGCCAACGTGGAAGTCGGGGAGTCTGCTTTATCAAACTTGGTTTTGCATCATTCTTCTGTCGATCAGAAACAAGGAATCGAGCGATTGACTAAAAGATCACGGAAGACTCGTCCCGGATATTTCTAATTCGGGGCTTCAAGCCCCCGGGTGAACACAACCTCCTCAGAACGGAGTGTTGCTTGTTATCTACTTCCAGTAAGGTGTAGTCACTCGTCACTCGCTTGGGTGTTGGCGCTAGATGGCGCGTTTGAACTATCTTGATATGTACTTTCTATCCACAGCCAGCAGGAGCTCGAGGACATTCTACTGGTTAGCTCAAGCCACTTGATGACAAAGTGATTGCAAACCCAGCTTTCTCTTGCTTGATCGGGTTTAGGGTGAAGGTCTCCCGCATAATGAAAATCCCATATCCAAACGGTGTCACACACACACACACTCTCTCTCTCGCACAGGCCACCTGGGTTCATTGGTCTTTGTCTGTCCGAACATGACGCACGCTTCCATAGATCGACAAGAGATCGAGACCGAGACCAAGAAAAGAAATTTGGTTCATCCATTAGCGAAGTTTTAGCCTTGTCGGCAAATAGGGAGCTTCACGATGTCAAAGACTTCCAAGGTTGATAATGCTCTGGACCATTCCAGGTCCGTAGTCGATCCGGGGCGGTAGTGGCACAATTTAGAGCAAAAAGGGGGCCAGGATTGTCGGTTGATCCGCCCAGGGGTTTGCCCTCTGGTTCGTCCCCGATTGCGTCCCCGTCAGCCCCAGCCACTTTGATCAGTGATACTGTGTGTAACAATTGTCAGGTGGACACATTGGCTTCGTCTCAGCTTTGGTTGGAATTGAGATATTCGAGAAATAGAAAAATAAAATAACATAAGTATCTTGACATATCTAAATAAATCTCATGCCATATTCCGGAGTTGTCCGCATGGACCATGTGGGTCACAATTTCCTTTCCTTTCCTAAATTGCTCTCTGATCAAGCTTGACTCCAAAATTACTGTGGGACTGCGGGTACGGCTTAACGGAAGACCGCGGGATCATCAATCATAGATGCCAATGACAGGCCTTCGTGGAAATGGCATCGTTTCTCTTAGCCCTAAGAAATGAGGGAAAAAGTAAAAAGAAAAGAAAAGAAAAGGGGGCCATGCAACCGTGCTGATTTTAGCTCCAACCTTCAGGGCTGAGTCTCTGAGTTCCTGATTGTGCCTCAAACACTGTGGAATCCCCCCCATATTTGACGACCCATTGGGCAGAACTTCATTGGTGCATTTCCAATACCTTTTTCCGTGTCTTTATTGTGTAGCTGAATGGATGAGACTAGCCTGATTCTGGAAGCACTCTCAAAAGAGTATACAATATAGAGAGTTTTACTTTTTAATTATTTTTTTACTTTTTACTTTTTAAATTGTGCATGGTCTAAACCTCCGAAGTTGGATTGTTGTACGCCCATAATTTCACCTTCATGCAAAGTCACTGCGCAACAATCGGCACTATATTTTCCCTTTCCTGACCAAATTATAACGTTGTTCACAGGTATATTGTACTCCGTACTCCGTATCCCTTGGACTTCCATGGATACAGTAGGCGAGAGCCGCAGCCGGTTACCCGTCCCTTGGCCATACGAGAACCAAAGTGAAAAGAGAAACTCAAATCTTCGATATCAAAGTCATCATTGTGGGCGCCGTTATTGCCCCCGAGGATAGTCCAATAACCGCCGAGGATAGCCCATAAGTCTTAGTCCACTCGTGCCGGGATGTCTCCACCCCGACAAAGAAGGGGAGAGACAAGAGTATAAAAATTAATTAAATCCACTTGAGAGCCATTATTCCGTAGTCCGTACCTTTATGGACATCGAAAACGGGTGCCTAGGCGCCAATTTAGCGTTCCGGCCATTTCACATGAAGCACAGGGGCCAACAAAAAATGCTTGAAAGGATTCGAGTGTCATGTATCGGTGACAGAGCCCGGAGAAAATTGGAGGGGGAAGGTTGGGGCTTGCATCTCTCATTTCTTTTTCTTTCGCTTTGCTTTCTCTTTTTTTCTCGAATCCGAGCGGATTGAAAAATAAATGCCAAGATTGACTAAGATGCCGCTAGAATAGTTCTGGGATAGAGCGAACCCGGATGGCCCGCATCCTTGGGGTGAATCTCAACTCGATTGGCCATTATCACGGATGCTCTTTCTAGCGTTAGCGTCTAAGAGAGGGATGAGTCCCTGTTCTGAAATATAAATGCGTATATCAGAGTGTGTTTCTAACCTTCTGTCAAACATGGCCTATAATCCTCCATACGGAGTACTAGTTCATAAGATCGACAGGGTTACACGGGTCCCACGAACGCAGAGAGAGAAAATGGCGATGGGCGCCGTTAGGCTGTTTCGAGTTTATTTAGTTGAATGAGTTTTCTCTTGAGACAATTGGGCCGTGGAAAGAAGCTGAGAGATCGGTGTAACTTACTAGATTTACTATGTCGTACGCGTCTTCTAAAGAAGGCAATTTATTTCCTTTCATTTTTTTTTTCTCATTCATTTACTCTTTTCAAGTATAATTTCGCCGATCTCCTTCGATATACTCCGACGCGAATTTCTCAGCCCAAGCCGTACCTGAAACTGGTCTCTGCACGATCCGAGGACAACGTCAACTAGCTCGCTTTTTTAGCCTCGAGTCCATCCCGAGGTCCACACGCTAATCTTCATGGGTCAGGTAATATTCTAGACTTTGTGGGTCGTTGGACGTTATTCGATCTTAACGTCACGAGCAAACAGGTTTACCCGTATGGATGTTGAGTACATATCTCGGTATAGGTACTCTGTACAATGTAAACATGTAAAAGTACATAGAGGGACAAATTCCTACGTATTTACGCTATTGGTACTCCGTAGAGATGAGTATTTTCCCTCTTTTCCTTTTATATTAGTTTAGAGTCTATGGGGCTATTGACAGTGAACTGCGCAATCGCAATCCCTGAAAATCCTCCCAGAGTTATATTATATTACACTTTCCAACATATATGAAATGAATTACGAACAACGTATCACGATCGCTCCACCGGATCCGAGAAGTCCAAACCGTTGTAAATCCCCTTGCCCTAAGGTATAGATTGGAAAGATGCAGCACATCCTTTCCCCACTCTCTTTGTCTGCACATCATCTGTTTTCTTTTCTTTCATCTTGGACTATGACACATTTAATTTTAATCGGATGTTTACCGGACTCGAGGTAATCTCCTGCATCATTACACTTTAGATCCTGATACCTATTGCTCCTGGAAGGCTTCTTTTTTTATTTAAATTCTTTTCCATATTGGGCTTTTTATTCTTTTTATTTTATTTTTTGCTTTCTTTTCCTTTTTTTCTCTTTTCTTTTCTTTTCTTTTTTCTTTCTCTCTTTTCTTTTTAATTCTTATTTGATATTTTCTCTCTTTTTTTAAGACCATTTTATTCTAGCTCTCAGAGGCTCGAGGTCCAAAGTAATAAAATAAGAATGGAGAGTGCAGCTAGATAAACGACCCTGGACCCTCCACTTGCCTTCACATTGACACGGTCCCCCTGAACCCCAGTCACTTAGTGTGTCGCGCAGCTTTCTGTTTAGCCTCAGTTTAGATCCTCGTGGTTGACCTTACCTGACCTTACCTTACCTTTTATTTTTTATTTTTTATTTTTTTATTTTACCCACTCCCCCCAAAAGGAACCCCATCCCAGTTCTTTCTTCCTCAATCTTGTACTCTTCCCAAGTCCTTGCAAGATTCTGTCCTGGGCCGTGAAAGAGGTCGTTCATGACCGGCATGGTACAGCCCGACGTTGGCCCTCCAGCGAAGTACAAGGAAAACCCCGTTGATGATCCCGTGAGTATCATTTCCATATTGCGCGGTACCTTGTCTTTTTCCTTTCGAGTTCCTGTCTGCCCTATAGATTTTGTGAGATGTTTCCTACTTCAATATCATTCCTATCTTTCTTGGTCATTTCTCTATGTCTCGGGCAGCTCTCTATGCCCAGTGGGGTTGGCTTTTTTTTTCCGGCCAACGCTTGGATGTCTGTTACGACATTGGATTTCTCTTCTCTCGACTTGCTTCTCTATCGCCAGTCTGGATCTTGTGCGGGGTGAGCAGCGTTGTCAATACCTCAACCAGAAGACAGCCGCCAATTCAGGATGCCGACATTGGTAGTTTTGGCGTCTGCTGGCCATGATTTATGGAGCCCTGTCCCATTTGTATCTCCTCCGGACCCACCAGAGCTCTGCTCCGACTAGAGCCTCACATCGACCAAAAGGAAATGGTTTCAATTGAGAGGAGCAACGAGAACCAATGCCTACAGTCTGTGTAGCGGCTTAGGAGTGCTATCTACATGATCCGGCTTATGAGTGCTTTGTCCCTCCGGCAAAAAAGAAAACCCCCCCACTCGCCATATCAAGGACACACCAACGCTACACAGATCCATGCTATTCTTTGGTCCTGGACGGACTATCCCGGCTATACCCTGGCCCATTCGTTACTCACCTAAGGCCATCCCTGCTCGAGGATTTCCATGGCTCTGTGGCCCAATCCAACCCCTCCCCTCCATGATGATGAGCTTCTGCATACCTGCAAGATTCAAATTCCCACGCTAGACCAGAGGGGTCATACGCTGATGTCACTCTGGGCACTTCTAGCTGTGTTCACAAGTTCCTTTTCTTTCTTTCCTACGTCCACGTTCTCAGCTTGTAGCACTGTGCATTTTCGGCTCGAATCTTGCTTATCGTATCTTTCAACCTTTCGGGGCTGGCTATCGGAGTCCCAGTAACTGATGTGTATTTCTGCTACAGCTTCGACACAACTCTGGGCGTCTCGGTTCTCAACAGGCTCAGACATTACAACCTCTATCAAACACAGCACAACCACAGAAGCAAGGCCCTGCCTCGCCTGTTCAGCCCTCTCTGTCTCTTCCTTCTACCACATATCCCCCTCCACCTCACCAACTAGGAAACGGAGTCCTACACCATCATAATCCCTACGGACCGCCACCTCAGGAGTCGCCTTACTACACCACCCATTCTCCCTATACATCGACCCCGGTGTCGGCGCATTACCCTTCTAGTGGTAAGCTTAGTTCTTCTTTCTTAGTAGTTGGCAGGAAATCGTCGGAGTTGAGAAGTGGCGCACTGGTGTTTGACTTTGATGACGCTCGTGGCCATCCACTTCATTCGGCATATCGAAGACATTAACTAATACTCAAGGATTAGGGCCACCTGACCTCATGGCATCTACCGCTCAAATGCAGAGACCTTATCCCTCTATTTACCACACCCCGCAATCAAGCTCGCCAGCCTCGGTAGCTTCTCAACCACATGAACAACATGGCCGCAACATGTACTCGCAGTCACCACAGATGCCACCGCAGATGTTCGGCTATCCTCCATACTCGGCCATGAACCCGGTTCAGCCCTCACCATATGGGGCCCACCAGTCTCCCCAGCAGCATCCTCTTACGACACAGCCATTAATGATGCCCCCTCAGAAAGCCCCATCCCAGGCGCCACCACACCAGTCCCCCCCACCTCCCTACGTCGGGCATGTCTAGCAGCCCCATCATGAAACTCGATTCCTCCCAGAACCCCACCACTCCACAGCAAACAATGCTGAACCCTCCTCTCACGGCAACCAACACCCACTCAATGTCTGCCAGCAATCCCCACGCCAGCCCACCACTAGGCGGCACCACCTCCAGCGCGGCACCAGGCCCCATCCCAGCCACGACCCCGCTAGTCGTGCGACAAGACAGCAACGGCGTGCAGTGGATCGCCTTCGAATATTCCCGAGACCGGGTGAAAATGGAATACACCATCCGGTGTGACGTGGAATCCGTCATCGTGGACACGCTCACGCAAGAATTCAAGACTGAGAACTGCGTGTACCCGCGCGCCTGTTGCAGTAAGGACCAGTATCGCGGGAACCGACTGGTCTACGAAACAGAATGCAATGCCGTCGGCTGGGCACTGGCTGAACTGAATCCTGCTCTGAGGGGCAAGCGTGGATTGATCCAGCGTGCTGTCGACAGCTGGCGTAACAGCAATCAGGACCCGAGATTGCGCAGCAGACGTGTCCGCCGTATGGCTAAGATTAACCGAAGACAGTCGGTCCCTGCTCAGTCTGCTCATATGGCGCAGCAAAGCCCTGTTGGCCCACCTGCTCCGCCTGGTCCTCCTGGTCCGGGCATGAGTGCTATGCCAGCTCCTGTTCCCCGCCCGAATTTGGGTCCCATGTCTATGGGCCCGCCGCAGATGCATCATCACCACCAACCTGATGGTAGCCCTAATGAGGAAGTTAGCGGTATGTTTCACCACATGTGATTGTGCCTTGTTCGATGTTTTTCTTTCCTTTTCCTTTTACTTTCAAAGAACGGCGGGATCACTCATGTATTTTCTTCTTGGGGCTTTAAATTTTGTTGGATCGGATCTATGTCTCGTGTGTGTGTGTATATGTGGGAGTTCCATGTCTTGTCTGGTCTGATTTGTGTGTGTTTGTATGTGTATGAAGATGTGTCAACGGTTGTATGAGACGTGTACTCTTCTACTCTTCTCTCTCTTGTATCCCTACCTGATCCGCCGTCTGTGTTCTTCTTATCTGTTTTATTTCATACCCTGTTCAACTTCACTGCATTGTCGCCTTTTTATCATTTCACACTGCGCTTCTTGTGCTTTGGCTCTTCTTTCCTTGGAACTCAACCTTTCCCCGACATGTCAAACATGCAATTGTACAGCGTAGGCTAATTATTGTCCCCTTCCCCATAGGCACAGACTACCCGGGCCATCGAAGCATGGACACACGCCTTCCACAGCCCTCGATCCCCGACCTACGTCCCGCCCACATCTTCCGTGACGCCCCCACAACCCTAACCCCAGGTGGCAGCGCCAGCGGCCCTTCCATGCCCCCGCTCCTCCGCGACAACAGCCTCACCTCACTAAGCCGTCACACAATCGCAACTTCCGCGCGCATGGACTCAACCGACCACGACATCGGCGAGAAAGGTCCAACGAACGACGACCTCTTCAGCCATCTCCCAGACGGCAAACGTCGCAAATTCATCCTAGTCGACGACCCACAGCGCGGCTGCCGCGTCCGCGTCAAGGTCGTCCTCGACAAGGTCAATATGGACGAGATCCCGGACTCCTACCGCGAGTCCAACGCCGTCTACCCACGCACCTACTTCCCCATCCAGATGCGCGACGAGAACCGCGTCGTCCCGGCCAAGCGGTTCTTCCGCGATGACGCCGAGCAAGCTGACGATCCCGAAGCGTCGACAATCGGCCGCACGACAGTGCCTGCGCCGTCGCTTGACGGCGAGACTGAAATCGCGGTGCCGAAGATCTCGCGCAGAAAACACCGTAAGGAGTTGATGCTTAATGATCTCGGCTACCGTATGAGCTGGAGTCAGAGTCGTGTGTTTGCGGGACGGATGTTATTTTTGCAGCGATCGTGTAAGGGCTTTTTTTTTTTCTTTTTGTCTTGTTTTCGTGTATTACCCTTTTTTGACTTCCTTTTGTCTCACCCGAACACATCACGTTCGACACGTGCCCATGGAACGATCTGACTGCGGCTGAGACATATCAGAGACCTCCGCTAACCGTTTGCGAATAGTGGATGCTTACCGCGATAAAATGCGAAGCAGTATGCTCGCTGCCGGCCAAGAGGCGGGAGATATCCCGGATCATTTCGATACTCGTCGTGGTAAGCGACGGTTCCTGGAGCGCGGGCGTCGGCTGGATTCTGGTGAGAGTGCTGCGCGGCGGAGTGCGGAGGAGGTCGAAGGTTGAAAGGTTAATTTTCTTTTTGTTTTGATATTTACTTTTCTTAGTTCAGCTCTGTTGCTGCTGTTTTTTTTTTTTTGGTTTTTTTTTTTCCTTTTTGGGAGATATCGTTTTCGGTCGAGGTATGCCATGGCGTTGACGGTTTGCGGAAGAAAAACACGAAAATTCCAAAAACAGACAAAAGGGGGGATACGATTGATATGATCGAGGATAGGCCTCAGATGATACCACGACTTTTATTTAACGTTGAATGAGATATATGAATGTGTTTATATAGAGGAATTGGAGTTGATGAAATTGACTGAAATTGACTGAAATTGACAGTTCGCCATGTTGACATTTGACATTGACGAGATAAAAATAGTAACGCAAGGGACACAAATCCACTGCGGTCCACATGGGACCCTGGAAAAGAGCCTGGAATGTTGAGATTGTATATTATTGTACTTGAAGGTACACAATAATAGAATAGAATTGATAAAATATAAGATACTACCACAGGTATGGATGGTGGTGATTTAGCTGAGCGATTTACCCATCTCCCGTTGTCCCGGCCACGCCTTATTTATCCTAAGTTCTACTCGGCTCTTTGACTCTTGACTCTTTGATCGACTGTCTTTTCTAAAACGATTCGAGTTTCCCTTTTGTCTCAGAACGAATTCCGTCGATTCCTGCATTCAATCTAAATCTCTGCCTTGGCACCTTCCCTGCATTTTTCCCCGTTCGCGGGTCCAACCCTTCCAACCTCCAAAGTTCTTATTATTCAAAGTCCGGTCTACGGACACCTCAAATCCTTTCATAGTATAGGCATGGACATTCCACCTCCTCCAGTCCATCGCTATTCACACGGATCCCGTGAACACAACACCATCACACCAGGCATGGACAATCTCGGTCCCAGTTCACCGGGCGGCGGAATCAGTGGAATCGCCCTAGGAATCGCCAATACACACAGTCGTCAAAGCGGAATCGAAGCGTCCCACGGCGTAAACGACGGATACACCGGCCCCGCCGAGCGCGACTTTAATACAACCGGCTCCGACACACCCTACGTGCCCTCCGCAGGCTACACCAGCGGCGACTCATTTCGTCCCGAACACTCCCACGCATTGAACATGGCGAGGGGCGGCCCGCTCGCTTCGCCCCCCCATGCAGACTCCCAGTCAATCCTCGTCGCATCTGAGCGATCCCGCACACAGCACATACCAATACCCCGCGCCTTACTCTGGTCTCACTGATGGGCCTTACCAGCGTCACTCGACTGCGTACAGTAATGGCGAGATGTCGAATATTAACCCCGAGGACATTGCCGATGACGGGGATGAGGACTTTGGTCCCCCGCGCAATCGGGCTGCGCCTGCTGCGGCTGGCGCGACTGGTGGTGCCGCTGCTGGTGGGATTCTGACGGGCTTCTTTGGTCGCGAGAAGAATGCTGATGTTGCGTACAACTCCGTTCCCGGTGGTTTGGAGAGTGGCGAGGGATCGTCGGGGAGATCGGCAAGTAATGGAGTGGACGGGCGCAAGAAGATGGGCTGGATTGTCGGTCTTGTTCTTGGGTTCGTGATTCTGGGTGCCATCATCGGTGGTGCGGTGGGTGGTACGATTGGGAACAGACATCACCAGAACAAGTCGAAGATTTCTAATGCTGAAACTGCTTCCGGTGATGCGGAGACTAATGGCGACCTCGACAAGGATTCCTCGGAGATCAAGGCCTTGATGGGTAACAAGGATCTGCACAAGGTCTTCCCTGGAATGGACTACACGCCGTGGGGCGTGCAGTACCCGGACTGTTTGAAGTGGCCTCCATCGCAGAACAATGTCACCCGTGATATGGCTGTGCTGTCGCAGTTGACCAACACGGTCCGTCTTTACGGTACGGACTGCAATCAGACTGAAATGGTTCTCCATGCCATCGATCGTCTCGAGCTGAAGGATATCAAACTTTGGCTCGGCGTGTGGATTGACTCCAACACCACCTCTACCGAGCGGCAGATCAAGCAGCTCTACAAGATCCTCGATGACACCAAGGACACATCCATCTATAAGGGTATCATTGTCGGCAACGAAGCCCTCTACCGCGCCGGCGCTAGCAAGCAATCTGCTCAGACGACCTTGATCTCGTACATCAAAGACGTCACGAAAGAGGTCAAGAAGCGCAACCTAGATCTATCGATTGCGACCTCCGACCTTGGTGATAACTGGAATGCGCAGTTAGTAGATGAAGTGGATGTTGTCATGTCCAACGTCCACCCCTTCTTCGCCGGTGTCAGCGTCGATATTGCTGTCGGGTGGACATGGGATTTCTGGCAGAACCACGACGTCCCTTTGACCAAGGGCACGAACAAGAAGCAGATCATCTCAGAGGTCGGATGGCCCAGTGGCGGCGGCAAGGACTGCGGTGACAGCAAGGTCTGTGACGAGAACACGCCTGGTTCCGTCGCCAGTGTCGACAACATGAACACTTTCATGGCTGACTGGATCTGTCCGGCGCTCGAGAATGGAACTGATTATTTCTGGTATGTTTTGTCTACTGTTCATTAACCGGTTTACTCAGATCACTAACACTCTACAGGTTCGAGGCCTTCGATGAACCATGGAAAATCCAGTTCAACACGCCTGGCAAGGAATGGGAGGATAAATGGGGTCTGATGGACTCGGCACGCAAGCTGAAGAAGGGCCTCAAGATCCCAGACTGTGGCGGCAAGACGGCCTCCTAATGCTATCAGATCCAGCCGTGGCTCTCTTATGGAATCATGATCATGAAATTTTCTTTTATCTGCATAGGTATCGTGTTCTTAGTCTTGTTGCTTTCTCTTCTGCACTGGCGTTCGTGTTTCGATACCATTCAATACCATCAATTCATCACAAAGGAACCCCCGAAGTCCTCACCTCTCATCCTCATACCTTTTCCCGGATTTACACCCTTCCATTTCGATTTCACAATCTCGGGGGTTCTCTGTCTGGTGGTTCATCATCGTTCCTGTCCTATTTTCCTTCGTGCAGTCCTTACATTGTTGCCTGTCTTCGAGCCATGCATGATTTTACCTTGCATATCTTCCTTGGGCCTGCTTCTTCCTCTTATTTTCCGTTCCGTTGATGAGGAGGTCTTCAATGCCTGCTTTCGCGGAAATTTGTCTTCATGGGATATTCACTGGGATCATTTGCGTTTGTGTTTTGCTTTCCGTAGCTATCCTATATACAGCTATCCTCAGCCTTTATGTACATAATGAGTCAATGCATCAAGTTTGAATTGCCTAGGAATACCTAAGGGAACTAATATATTATACGTATGCCATCGGTTCATTCACTGATCATCATTATTTTACCCTCAAGCAAGCCCTCCGATGTTATTGTACAAAAATAGGAACAAGACAACAATGCCAGTGGAACCACGAATAGAATGGAACCTTGAAAAAACAAACAGAGAGCTATCTCTGTGGAAAGGTTCCAAAAATTGAGTCGAAGGAGATGACAACAGAGCCCCTTCCGTTTGTTCAGGTCTCGTGATGTTCAATGGAGAACCCAGGAGAGTACACTCTGTATCCGCAGCGGTGAGGTTGAAGAGCGCCCCCTAAGGGTCTCAAAGGAAGTCCAGAAGGGTTCCCTGAGGGGTCCTGCGGGTCTCAAGAGAAGTCCCTCTGGATTCCTCGAGTGGTTCTCTAAGACGTCCGCCTCACATGCTTCGTGCCATTAGACCAGGGCCGGGGCCCAGGGCTAGTTTCAGACTTAACTGAGTCGGCAAAGACCCATCAGTGTCCTCAGGGTATCTCTTCCTTCACTGGACAACAGGAGACATATGTTGAATATGAATCTGGAGCTGAGGTCAAAGAATTGAAGACTCGACAGGGACCATGGTGTGCAATGTGGACCTGGAGTGGTGTGAGGAAGGAAGGGAAAGAAGAAAGAGAAATTGGGGGGGAGGGGGGGTATTTATATTTTTCCAGTGAAGGACAGGAAGGAACTGGGGGGACGAGTTTTGACAAACAGGGAAGCTGCAACACTGGGAAGGAACGTGTACTTCGACCTTGGAAGGAACATCGGGCGTATACAGAAAATATCATGGTATTCGACTCGATCTGAAGAACTAACAGAACTAACGCCATCCCATGCATACCTATAGTCTATAACCCCATGCATCTCTAATAAACCAAAATGCCAAAAAGATCTATATAGATATCACTCCCTGCTCACCTCCTCAACCCAATAGAGTCTCATGTTCCAAAAAGCATGCTCGAGCGCTTCAAACACCGGCAAAGAATAAGACCCAGCCCCATCCACATAACCTTGCAGTACACCACCAGAGTCTGCATGCTCAAGCGGACCACCGAACAACAGCCACGGCTTCGATGGCAGCAGTAATTCGAGGTGTTTGCGTTCTGCGCCGGGACAGAAGAGCATTGTGTTCGCGGTGATGTGAGAGAAGGCCTCTGGGTGTTTTATGACTGTTATATTCAGGGCTGCGAGAAGGGATTCATCTAGTGTGTTGAAGACAGGGTCTTGAGCGTAGACTTTGACATTGGACGAAGTTGTACCTGTAATCCGGGTGTACGGTTAGCGTGGGGTATAAGAGGACGATGGGAAGTGGACCCTAGATATATCTAAAGAAAATGTATGCAAAAAACGAAACCAAAGCAAGAAATCCAAATCCAAGAAGATGGGAAACGAACAAGCAACTTGATCCTTAATACTCGCCAGCGCAGCAAGCTGATAAAGCGACACAGAGCGCCGATCAACCCATCCATCGCGCAAGAACCCACTCGGGCTCCCAAGCCCAATGCAGACAATGGCGTCAACGGGGCAGCGGGCCAAGGCGGAAGTAGTAGGATCAGCACCAGAAGAAGAAGCTTGTTCCTGTGCCCTCTTCAACCGTTCATCCAAAACGCCAGTCAACCTAGTCCAGCTCTCCGAACCCTCCCACCTCTCACGATGAGTTTGGAACTGTGCCTGCAGTTCAGACAGCGTGAGTCGACCCGGTGCCTCTGCGGGGGTCAGAGTGGGTTCTTCGGGCTGGTCAGAGAATATCCCGGACTCCGATTCCTTGATTGCAGTTGTGCCTCGCGGGCGTGTGCGCATTACGCGCCGCACGTTGCCGCCGCTCGCGACATGGGTCCAGCCATCGTCGTCGGTCACTTGGGTTCTTTTCTGGGTTTGTCGTTTTGGACGGGAGGTACGGGATGTGTGGGGCATATTTTATATATGTATAATTATATAAATATAGTGGATTATTGATGTATTGGGATAATGTATATGGATTGGACTTATTGAAGCTTTTTTTTTTTGGAGATGCGGGGGAAATGCTTGGCGGGACTCCAATGGGCTTACTAAGGAGACTGGCTGGACATCCATGGATATTCCAAGGCAAGGTTAGGGTGAGATAGAGATACATATTCGGGTGAAAAGGGTGAAATGCTTTGCAGGAAACAAAGTCCAACAATTTAGAACTTACCCTCTGAGCACACTCGGACACTCTGTAAGCGCTCAAGTTGTTCCCCCGAACGTTAGCGTACCCCCTCGGCGCTTCCACCGCTGGTCGCTCAGCAAATCATCATGCAGTATCACCCTTTAGGTGATGGCACTTGCAGCGGGCTGTGATGATCCCAGGCCACCCCTGCTCTTCATCACGACTCGGAGCCAGTCACAGCTGTCTCATCATGCAGTCTCGGTCACATCTGCCTTCCAGGGTTCTGACTCGTCCGCCCTGGTGAAGGCCAGTACCCCTCAAAAAGCCCATTTAGCCCTCGAAAATCATGGCTTGGTCTTGGTCTTGGAGTTTCTATGATTTTGGTGTCCATTTTCCCATTACTGTTGCCCTCCATCTCCTTTCTGCTTCGTTTATCCTGCGATCGGAGAATTTCAGTCTGAGTCTTGCTCAGCGACAGGATTCCTGTTCAACTCTTGCAACTTGTCACCGTCGCTGTTGTATCTCACCATGAGCTTCACACAATCCATATCGCGATGGGCTTCTGTCCTACTCCTGCTATGCTTGGGCCTGGCGCAAGCTCACACCGTTATTACTTACCCTGGCTATCGAGGAAACAACCTCCACCTCAACGGCACTGTTCAGCAGTCTAATGGACTTGGTGTTTCCTACGATGTGAAAAATGGCTCATACATCTTCCCATACGGCATGGAATGGATTTATCCCTGTAAGCCAAAACTATCTACTTGTCGCTAGTTATCAATGACTGACTCGAATTTTCAAGGTGGTGGTATGCCCAGGTCGACCAACCGAACCAAGTGGCCCATCAGCGGTGGTGCTGTCGCCTTCCAGCCGGGCTGGTTCCCAGGCCACTCCACTGCTCTGATCTACGTCAATCTCGGCCTCGGCGAGGTTCCTCTTAACATGAGCCACCCGGTCGTCCCACCCTTCCAGATCGTCGGCCCGACCAACAACCCTTACCCTGGTACCGTGTGTCTGCCCCAGGTGCCCCTACCGGCCAATATCTCCGTCAGTCCAGGTGACTACGCCACGATTCAGCTGGTCGAGACCGCCAAGCACGGCGCTGCGCTATACAATGTATGTCCAGCCCCCTTATTTCCGACCCGGCAATCAATGTACTAACTTGTCTCTAGTGTGTGGACATTGAGTTCGCAGAAGATGGCGACCCGTCCGTGGAGACGGTGACTCGCGACAATTGCTTCAATTCCTCGGATATCAGCTTCGAGTACATGTACACCACCGCCTCCATTGGTTCGGGCGCGGCGATGCTACAGCCTCCGAAATTATCGGCTGCGGCTGTCGTGTCGCTGTTGTTGGCTGTCGCCTTTGGCGTGTACATGTAGATCTTTTGGGTTGTCTTGATTGCATTTCCGCGCGCCTTGCTTTTGTCTTTCCTTTGCGCCATACCCCTGGTTTTTATTAGTCTATGACGCTTCAAAATCAGTCCTGATGATACTGCATGTCTATGTCTTTCTGAAATGGACTATATAATTGACCTTTTGGGTCATTCTGGCGTTGACTGGTGTTTGGGATTTATTTCTATAGTTCAACGAATATACCTGCCCAATTTCTTGACGATCCTTTGAAGTAGATCCCAACCTCAATATGTACTTGTTCTACCCTCCCTTCCTGACGATATTGACGTCTTTCTTAATATTCTATAACTTCAATGCCCTCTCAGGATTCAGCATTAACGGTAACCGGTAGCCAATCAGAAGATTGGCAAAAAAGAAAAAGAGCGACCACTGTGAGATTCGAACTCACAATCTCCCGATTAGGAGTCGGGTGCCCTAACCATTAGGCCAAGCGGCCACCTAAGTGGGTATTTACTAGCTGTTTTGCATCGTCCGAATTCATCGCAAATAGCACAAACGGTCGACGTTGACACTACAATAACAAAGAGAGATCTATTGAACTGTGTAAACAAATAGGAACTGACTGTCCCATCGAGTACATCTAATTATCTGCAATTTATGTGCAATTACCCCCGAGCGGAAGGCTATTTCTACCTGTAGCTACTGATTCACACTTGATGGTATCTCGCTCACCCGCCTTGGTATTGGCATTGTATCTTCCACCCTTCGTCTCACGGAAGATGTGCGTAGTGCATTAGCCCTCTCTTACCCACACTGGTACTAAGTCGCTGTTTTAATGATAAGAGTGCTGGGAACATTGACAATTAGTCGCGTAGAATTCGGCTTATATGCGGCTACTAGGTCCCGGTGGGAAGTAGTGAGCGCTACCTTATAGTTAGACGACTATAGGTGAGACAGGTGAGTTGCTGCTTATACTCATTCCGAGTTCGTACGGTAAGAGACCCCCTAAAGCCAAAGATGGTCCCTGATCATGTATAGAAATGTGGTCTGTACGCTTCATGATTTGCCGTCTTCTTGGTATTCTACTATTCTATTATCGGACTTGAGTACGTTGTACATCATAGTCAGATAGCCCCAACATGTCAACCTATGTAGGTACACTGTACTATTAGTCCCATTACTAGTGGCATTTCTGTAAGTAATTATTATCCCTCCAGATACGTATTTCGTGAACTAATTATGGTCGTATTTAGGTACGTAGTAGCTAAAGAATGGGGAGTAACATCTAATTTATTCTCAGTGTTATACTTGTGGTGATTATTTAGATGTCTTTTCAGATGTCTTTCCAGATTCCCTGCAGATGTCCTTTTGATGTCTCTTGCTAAAATATCCTTGAAGCCATTTATATATAAGCTACTGCCTAGCATAGGCGTCTGAGGTTGGCAGACCCCATCATCACCTACTATTGAGATAGTACCATATTCTATGGATGCCTATTTTGCTAGCAGGCTAAGCGCTTGTTTGCTAGTGCAGCCTATAAGCGGTCTTCGCTAGATTGTAGTTTTTTCCTTCCCTCTCTCGAGTCCTCCAATGTTTGCAACCATCATCACCTAAACATTCGCGTCTGAACTCGTCTACCATTACTTTATTGATGATGGCTTCCAAGCCACATCCCCGGAAGCACTCCGTGCAGCTTTCACAGCGCTCGGAAATGCACTCGGTGGTGAAAAGTACGCCCTTGTCGGAGGCGGTGCTTGTGTGGCGTTAGGCTCCCAGCGAGCAACCCAAGACATCGACATTGTTGTCCTTCGGGGCCACACTCCTGATACGAGAAAGCTGCTACGCAACTCCCCCGACTTTGAGGTTGAACCAAGAACATCTCACACCTATTACAGGGCTGCGGAGGCTGTGGAGATCGAGATCCTCGCGCCTCCTGCTTTGTTCCGGGAAACATTCGACGAAACCACCGAAGTGATCGCAATCGGAAACTTGAAGGTTCTGAAGCCGGCATTACTTCTCAATGCAAAATGCGGGTCGATCGTCAGTCGGGCCAGTGAAGCTAAGAGGAGAACCGATGCTCAAGATATCATCTTCCTTCTTAGTTACTGCGCTGGCAACTCTGCCGAACTTCCAAAGGGGCCTGAGGTTCCTAACGCGAGCAAAGAATTTGTTGAAGCATTTGTCCAAAAGTACGGCGCTGAGGAGTCTTGGACTAGAGCTGGATATGACCTGCAAATGGGCTTGTATCTGATTCAGGTTTGCACTCGGCACTCATACTAACAACCTATAGGCTGCTTTACAAGGACCTAGTGTGTCTCGAAGCTCAATGGTTCTAATTTCAAATACGTCACGGACTACCGATGATAATAACTATCCTTTCTCTGGCCTTTCCTTGGCAGAATGAACATTATTCTTCCTTCTCAGAATTCACTATTACAATGTCTTTTTGGATTCCTTTATTTTCAGGTACATTTTCTTCTCGGTGTTATAGCTTGAAGCGTACTCAATAGCCGTAGAAGTGCTACCAGGAATGGGACCACAGGGAAACTAAGCAAGAAGAAGAAAGCTAAATTAGGCAATGGATGAAGCTATCTAGAACGATGGGTGAGACATCCGCTAGCAGAATGGGTAGGTTATCCATTACCCTCGTGATAACCCTCATTGCAGTGAGATTAGAATCGGAAATATATTTCCATATATTTGTCTATCTTCTAATCATTCAATGATTTATCTTGCCCAGGTAGAACAAGACTGATGCCTCATCAAGTCACGTGGGTCGGGTTTATTTTGTATCGTGTCAGTCTTTCCTTTGAAGACCTGACGACATCACTTTCTGTCATAATTTACAACATCAGACACCTTCTCCAACGACTTCCCACTTTAAACCAATACCTGCACGTCACCGTTGTGGATTCCACGTGCGCCATGCCCCATCACAAGTCCGACACCGAGCCAAGATATAAACCTTGTCAAGTGTTATCTGACCACCAAGTCCCCTACGCCATCTGGTTCGAAGATACTCTTCACCATTATGGCGTTCCTACATGGAAATTCGATCTCTACCTCCTTGTCTCGGATCTTGACAAGGCAGCAGAATTACTTGTCAAGGCTGGATGGGCTATTGATTCGCAAGGGCCACATCAAATCGGCAATGCGAGAGTGGAACTCCCACAAAAGCGGCTCGTTTTTCCAACCAGCAAGACAATAACTGTCCTTCTTCCGGCCCAAGAGTGGAAGTTCCCTTTGTTGGGATTACCTGACGATGCGTCGTTGACAACAGACTCACACGAGAATGTGTCATTCCCACCACTACCCGGCTTCCTTGATGCACTGATTGAGAGCTGGCTGGACTGTCCTAGTGATGATGCAATGTTGCTGCTTCATTTGGCCTGCCACATCTCCTATCTTTACGAATATGTACCCGCCCTGAAGCAGCGGTCATTCGCCGAACAGATGAAATATGAACACCAGCAGTTCCACTTTGATGTGTTGGCAGGAATGCAGACGGGAACTATCCAGTTCAGAAAGCATCAACGTGCTATTCGAGATGCGTTATTACGGGGCCAGTATGAACTACGGGAATGTTCGGCATCTCGTGATAATGAAGATCTTTTTGATACAGGGAGAGTGGGAATATCCTTATGAATGGTTGCCAGCGATATTCTACCTCGGAGCCCTTTCCATCCTGCAGGGCTTCAAATGCAGAAATCATTGTTGATTATTCCGGTAATTCAGGATTTGCATATGGAAACATCAACAAGACCACATGTGTGCACGAATAAAACTAAATCTGTAAGACACGTAGTTGATTATATAGAACCAGAATCCCAACCTACGTGCCCATAATATGCCGCTAAGTAGAGAAAATCATGTAATTTCTAACGGGACCAGCACGGCATGCTTGTTACATATATATGTATTTCAATCCCAACATTTACTGACCTGACTTGCGAAATATAACAGAAGTATTAGATCATATTGTGTTGTTTCATGACCAAATCTATATTAAAAAAAAAAGTCTGAAAACAGCCAGAAGGACACACCATCTCATTTGGAACTCACCGAATCATAGTAAGGGACTGGGGCTGAGATATAAAAGAACGACAATAGTACAGGGTGGGAAGGAAAAACGAGGGTATCATGGAAGCGAACAACTCCAATGGGCCACACCGGAAGATCAAAAAGAAATAGAAGGAAAGAAGAGAAAGAGTAGGAGCGAGAGTATAATGCCCAGTTTTAGGCAAACTTTTCCCAAGGAGAGCGAAAAAAAGTGGAATACAAGCCACAGCCAAAGTAGGAAAAAAAAGGAAAGGGTGAGCCAGAAGCAGCAAACCAAAGGGCGTATATCAGTCATTAGAGATTAGATATTGTCGAAGATGGAATCGAGTTTTGAGGGAAAGACAACAGCAGCCACCGTGGACCACAAGTCTTCCTTATAGCAAAGGGGAAACAGAGAAGGAGGGAATTAAAAAGCGTTTGAACTGGAACGTGAAACATGGGTATCTGCTCAATCGTCCGACTCAAAAGGTAAAAGGAGCCATTTCAGACCTGCAACATATGATCAAGCGTGCAGACCGAATGCCTTCCGAAGAAGAGGAAATCGTTTCTTTCGTCCCGAGCCAGCGATCACGACGTCGCGTGCCGAAGGCCCATGGTCATCAGGATTCGTGACTTCGGAGGTACTGTCATTATTCGGATCTGGTCCGTCGCGGGGTGCCTCGGTCCCCTTCGCAATTGGAGACGCTCTGTGAGCGCCATTCCCATTGACAACAATGCTTCCGTTGTGTGTCGCGCCTGCACCATCTGTTGGCGGTGCGGGATTCTGCGTTTGTAGAGCAGATGAAGGGGCGCTGTATGGCTGTTCCACGACCGGCTGGAGAGACTCTTCTTCCTTGGCATTGGGGCGAAGGGGCCACAAGTCTGCTCCTGTCGACTGGCGTTTAGAGTTTCTCTTCACCAACTTGGACGAACGACTCGGCTCGGGATTCCCGGCAGACACTATGGTTGTTGTGATGCCGTGGTTTCCATTAACCATGCCGTCGCCACGTAACTGATCGAGTTCCAGGCGCGACCGCTCTAGGGGTATGTCTCTCCGCGAGGGGCTTTCAGCTTCGCGAAGTCTATGATCCGAGTTCTTGGATTTCTTGATGCCAAGTCGGGCGAGAAGTCCTGGCTTCCGACCACGGGGAGGAGCCATGATGAACTCCTCCAAGTCCCTCTGCGACATGCCACGTTGTTTGGCCACAGCTGCCATTCCAGACATATTTGTTGCGTTCTTCGATGAAGAGGCCACTGGCTGGGATGCAAGCACTGGCTGCGCTTGCTGCCGGGCGCTTTCTTCTGAACTATCGTCCAACTCTGTCGAGTCACCGTCGTCGGCACCTTGTGGGCGGGGATACCGCGGACAGGACGTAGCTTATTGTTTCCAGGCTCATCTTCATCGCTGGAATCTGCGAATCGACTGGTGAAGGCCTGTGGCCGGGCTTCATCCTCGCCATCCGAATTTGCGAACCGGGTCGTGCGCAAAGACTTAGGGGGCGACTTGGTAAACTTCGCTCTTGGCGGGGCCTTCTTGTTAGTCGAGAAGAACGAATATCGCTCACCTCCAGTAGGTCCTCGGAGAGTCTTGCGCATGGTGCCATTCGAGGAGCCAGATGAAAGAGGACGATGTTCAAGGGGAAACTCGTTGTGTTCTGTTGGAGATTGGACTCGAACGTTGGCACTAGCAGTACCGGCTCTCATTGTCCGTCGCATAGAGTGGTGATCTCCGCGCGGAGAAGAGCGTTTGAAGCTGCTTGAGGAATCACTTCCATTCGACATTTTCCGGCGGAGAGTGCCAGGGATACCTGTCTGTCCTCCTAGATTGTGGAATGTTGGACCCAGAGACAGTGGACGAGGTTTGGCCTTGCCACCTCGCGGAGAAGTATCGTTGCTCGACCACCGCGGATCTTGCATACGTGACATACCATTCACATCCACCGACATAGGCCGAGCTCGCGTGGTGGGCTGTGCTTGGACGGTGCCATTTTGAGCAGTCGTATTACGGCTTTGCATCTGGATTGGCACTGGCGGGTATGCAGAACCAATCACATGGCCAGCCGAAGAGGCAGGGGGTTCCTCTACCAGACGGTTGACCGAGCCTGGAGTCGGTGTCACGGAGCGCTCCTGCTCAAGTGGCTGAGCTTTCACATCTTGTGACTGACTATCCACGATGGCGGCTCGACCTACGGGCCTCGGTGTTGCGTCCCGAGATTCGCTCGCATTCTCCTCAGTCGGTGCCGACCTCGGAACTGACCGGCTATCAACAATGGCGTTGATGGACCCAAACCCATCACCGTCCATGTCTTCAGCTGCATCGCTGTAGACGCTATCACCAGATTCCTCCTCGGTATCCACGTCGTCCAGTTTTGAAACAGCGCTCGCCACGGCCTGGGTGCTAGTATTCTTTGCGGTCGAATGGAGACTGCGGTCTGAGCTGGAGGGCGGGAACCCACCCGGAATCCTATACTGGTCCATGCTAGATCTCTTCATGTCGAAACTTTGCTTGGTTCCGTCTGCTGGGGGCGTAGCAGGCTCAACAGCAATAGCAGGCACATATAATTTTGAGCCCACGCTAGAATACGGGTGTTTCTCAGTAATGTCGTCTGTGACTCTGCCCTCTTGCTTAGCCCCAGTCTCTTGCTTAGCCCCAGGGTCGGTATCGGAATGCGAAGTAGGCAAAGTGCCGTTGACAGACAACTGCTCCAGAGTGCCCAAACCGCGTGGTTGGAAGTATTCATTTGACAGCGACATATCCCGCCTTCGCGCCACATCAGATGCAGATGAAGAGGTGGACTCATTGTCACTGAAATCTGGAATTGGCGACCTTTCAAGGGCACCGCCTCGGCTGCCCCGAATGCTACCGAAAGATGGAAGAACTTGTCGGGGCTTGATGACTACATCCCAGTCATCGTCGCTTGCAAACTCCGCGGGTGACTTCTTCTTGCCAACACCAAGCCAACTCATGCGGGGCCTGGCTTTACCGCCGGGTGGAGAATCAGGCGTATATTCTTCCAGCGAGGTAGGAGGGCTGGCTGCTGCATTGACAACCTCAGCCTCATCATCGAAGCTGACCTTGACAGGCTTCTTCCTGGTGTCAACCCGGGATCCTTCATCTGATGCCACTGAGGTACCATCTGATAGCTCGCTCGGTGGTAGGACTCGAGCGGTTGCCCCAACCCTCCCATCAGGCGACAAGGAGGTTCCTCGTGGGTGTTTCAATGCCGATTTCACGGGAGATACTGATCTGGGCGGAGGCTGGTGAACTTGATCTCCAGCTCCAGCTACAGAGAGCAACCTGGAGAACCGTGCAGTTCGACCCGGACTACTTGACTGACGGTGCGGCTGCTGCCCTGATTTGCAGTTCCGACGAGGGTGATGAGGGCACTGGCGCTGCCTCTACGTGATCAACAGTTGGCGATGCACTCGTCATCCGGTCTCTGCCTTGCCGTATAGAGATATTTTCGACATTCGTGTTATCATCTTCGGGCTCTTCTTCTTCTCGAACGGTGGATGGCCACCGCTCAGGAAGAGCTCGAGAGGATGGGTGTGCACTTTCGACGCTGGCCACAGTAGGTACTGCGTTACTGGTATACTGGTCTAGAGGATCGGTCTCTATAAGCGAATTTCGCACCTTCCCAGTCCGACCATTGGCAACTGGGCCGTCCTTTGGTATGCTAACCGCTTGGGCTGCAGCACCCGCGGTGCCAGCCAAAGGACCGGATTTGTTGGCAACCGGGCTTTCCACTAGACTGCCAGATGGCTGTGCCCTAGGCTTCCCTTTAGGGAATTTGTCAGATACCTCAGCAATTGATTCTTGAATAGCATTGTGGAGGCTCATCGGATTATTCCCAGATATCGCAATCGGCGAGGTAGGTCGCGAGCCCATGGGATACGAAAAATTGACCGAATTCCGGCTCGTCGAGCGTTCCAATTCTGGAACGGTCCCGAGACCAGTTACACGTTCATGCGTAGCTAGCTGAATCGGAGATCCTCGCCCAAGTTCCCGATCGACGCCCCTCATCCCAGAGCGCGGCGGAGAGGATGGAGTGGAACGCATCGATGGCTCCACACTCATTGCACGTCGACTCGGCAGTTTCCGCGACGACAATTGCGTCGGGAGCGCAGGTAATGGAGGTACATCCATGGGTGGAGCTGCAGGCCCGAGGGGCCCGGAGCTAGTAGCTGGGCGATGGGGGGACTGATCGCGAAAGGTACGTGCGCTCATCGAACCATTGCTACTGGAGCGGCGCAGCGTCCCACTCACGCTGGCCGAACGGCGTCCGCCAACGGGATTAACCTGTGACTGGGTCGAGCTGCGCCGCTGGACCATGCGTTTGGTCTGGACATTTTCAATGGGGGTCGGCGTGGGTGTGCAGTTGCGGAGTGCTGCTGCTGCCGCCGCGGAGGACAAGCTGGTTGTGGAGGGTTGTGATTTCAGGAACGCATGGCTGGCGGCAGACTGGGCGGATTGCGCGGCGGGACTGGAAAGTGGCTAGTGGGAAGGAAGGGGAGCTGTCAGTTTGATTTTCATGCATAGGTTGCAGGTACCCGTTGGGTTGCATCAAATGCTGCAACGGGACCCATTTGCAGATAGGGAACTCTGCTATTCTTGATATTCGACGCGCGAAACTCACCTGGTGATGGGCAGAGGCACTTCTCTTGCGACGACCGAAAACCATTGTTTAGAGTCTTGGGGCCTTTGAGGGACTGGAACAGGTCAATGATCGGATGGCCGGACACTGCTTGGTGCAGCGCCGGGATCCCGAATTGAGGTGGATGAAGTGAATGTGGATCTCCAGATGACGATGCGATGGGTAGCTATAGGAAGAAGTGGAATCTGGGAAACAGGGAAACAGAGAGGTTGAAGGGGAGCAACTCGGGAGTGATCGACCAAGTTAGAACCGGCGAAGAACAAGGAGATAGGAAGGCAACGCCAGGTAACGAGAGCTGGAAGGGAAGAAAGGAAAAGAAAAAAGATAAAAAAGTCCAGATCCAGGCAGATCCGAGATGGAGAGGAACTTGCGTCATGACTTTGATGGGTCAGGTACACACTTTACCGCCTTTGTGGACCTGCCCTTTTTAGCTCCAGGGCTTATTATGGGGGTTACAGGTATAACTTGCATACTCCCCGTAGACTTGACTCCTATTCAACTTCATACCTTTCCTACATATCCCATAGATTCAATCCAGCTTCTAATCCCAACAATGGCCCTCCTACCTCTACCCCTCCCTGAAGGCATAACAAGCCGCAATATCCAAACCAACGATCTAAATATCCACATCCTAGAAGCCGGCCAAACCCCAGACAACAATAAACCACTAATCGTCCTCCTCCATGGTTTCCCAGAAATTGCCTACTCATGGCGTCGTGTGCTCCCCAAACTAGCAGCAGCAGGCTTCTACGCCGTAGCCCCAGACCAGCGCGGCTTTGGCCGCACCACAGGCTGGGACACACGCAGCTATGAGGACGTCGACCTGACAACATTCTCGTTGTCAAGCTTAGTGCGTGATATTGTGCTCCTCGTGCACGCGCTAGGCTACCGCTCCGTGCGCTGCGTCGCCGGCCACGACTGCGGCGCTGTATCGGCAGCCATGTGCGCCCTAATGCGGCCAGATTTCTTTCAGAGCGTTGTGCTCATGAGCCATCCGTTTAGTGGTGCCCCGGATTTACCGTTCAACACGGCGAATGCGGATGCCACGGCTGGGTCTGATACGGTGGCCGCAGGTGGGGCGGGTGGTGCCGAGGGGTCGGCTGCTGCGGGGATTCATGACACGCTTGCGGAGCTCGGCCGTAAACATTATAAGTGGTATTATTCGACTAAGCAGGCTGGGCCTGAAATGTCAGACCTGGGGCCTGACGAGATGCATCGCTTCTTGAGGGGATACTTTCATCTAAAAAGTGGTTCGTGGCCGGGGAATCGGCCGCATCCGCTGGAGAAGTGGTCTGCCTCCGACCTGATTGAGCTACCTGGGTATTATATTATGCCGTTGAATGAGACGATGCCTGCGACTGTGGCGCGCGATATGTCGCATGAGCCGTCCGATGGTCTGGCCTCGCACTCGTGGCTGCCGGATGAGGAGCTCGCTGTTTATGCGGGTGAGTATGGTCGCACGGGCTTCCAGGGTGGACTGAACTGGTATCGTGTTCGCACCGCTGCTGGGGGCCGGTACACAAAGGACTTTGATGTCTTTGCTGGAAAGAAGCTCGAGCCGCCTTGTGCTTTTGTCTCGGGCAAGCTAGACTGGGGTAACTATCAGGAGCCTGGTGCTATCGAGAAGATGAAGAACGGGATTTCGTGTGCTGACCTGCGTATATTTCGGTTTGTGGATGGAGTTGGGCATTGGACACCCCAGGAAAGTCCGGAAGAGGTGACACGAGCGATTTTGGATCTGATCGGAGGTCTGCGTGACTAGGTCCTTATAATGTATGCATATACACTATTGGACAGCTACGTGCTTTGTAGATAGCCATTGGGAACTGAGAAAGAAGGTTCCGGGAGATATGAGAACATTACATATGTATCATGAGAGTTAGGATGACAAGAAATATTATTTGAACAAACTGGACATCTTACATTTGCATAAGAGGAGCGTTGACTCCTCAGGAATAGCACTGGGGAGCCATTATTGTGTCCATACTACATTACCATGTCTAGTCTCCCATGTCTAGTCTCCCACGCTAGACGTTTCCTATAGGATCATACCTATACTTTCGATACTATACAAATACATCCTCAAAATAAGTACATACTCTTTGTGTCTACACTACGTATCTCTACTCGTGCGAACTAAAAGCACAACGCTGAAAGCCATATTTGACAGAGTATGTGAGATACTCATCGTTGACAACAATTGCAATCAGTCAAGAGAGAGATCGAATTGAATACTTGCTTATATAACAACATTGGTGGCCACCTAGCCATCTAGGTACATATGCAGTAATAGGTGAAAACACCTATTAAATCTCGACCAGAGAATGGAAACATCCAGTGTTCTTAGTGTGCGCATGCGACCGAGGTGCTCTTTTCTTGACCACCCGCTTGGTGGGTGTTGCACTGTGTCGGGGGATCGAAGCAAGGCTGTTGGCGTATTTTGCAACAGCGTAAGCAGTAGCCTTTGAATTAATCAGGAATGCCTCGTGGTTGAGATTCTTGAAGTCATCCCCGGCAGCATGATAATTCACATCGTAGGCTACACCTGCTTCGCCTCCGAACAGTTTCGCCTCTTCTTCGGTCTTGGCGCCTTCAGCACCAGTGAAAATGCCACCGGCGGGAATCCCACGCGAGATGAAACCATCGTAGTCGGAGCGGCCATTGAATTCGGTTGGGATATACGGTAGCTTCTTGGATTTGTAATAGTCTTCAAACAAAGCCTCGATCTCAGCAGAACCCGCCGGTCCAGTCTGGTTGAAGGCATCTCCGTCGCCATCATAGATCATGAGTGCGTAATTGGGTGAGGCAATCATATCGAAGTTGAGGTAAAGCCTGATTTTCGCTAGCTCATCAGCATTCAGGTGCGAGGTGTAGTACTCGCTACCCAACAGGCCGAACTCCTCCGCCGTCCAGAAGAAGAACCTCACGGCATTTTTGACAGAGAATCGCGTCAACGCTTTTGCGACCACGAGGTTGCTGATAACACCAGAGCCATCATCGTTGATACCGGGACCGGCATCGACTGAGTCGGTGTGACCTCCGAGTGAGACGACGTTATTGTGATCACCGCCCTTTGTCTCGGCAATCACGTTGAATGTGGTGCGATTCTCGACTCTGCTGTCTATCGAAACAGACAGAGTGACAGCACCCTTCGCTGCTGCATCGAGTAGGGTCTTCCCATCGACATCAGAGATTCCAGCAATGGCTGCATAAGGGCCGAGTTCATTGGTCACTCCACCCAGCGTTCCACTAACAGGCCCTGCCTCGTTGTTATAGATAATCACTGCAGACGCCTTGGCCGCAGCAGCCAGAACCGACTTTTCTCCGAAAGTACATTCTCCACGCTGGACTAGGGCAATTCCACCAGCCACCTCACTCGGGTAGTCTGATGCACTGCATCCGAGGTTCGAGACCACTGCCATCTCCGCAGTAACATCAGCGCTGGGGCTGTATGTCATGGCGGTCGCCTCGATGGACTCGCCATCGAACGTCAGGGAGGTCTTTGCAGTAGTCCATGTGTGCACTTGTGGCTGTTTCCACACATGATAGTAGCCAGTCTTCTTCAACTCGCGATAGATGTAGTCAACAGTATCATTGTGTGCTGCACTGCCAAAGACACGGTTACGCTCGGGATACGCATAAGCGAAATCCTCAAGCTGTTGGGTCCCTTTCAGGAGGTCCTTCAGCCGAATGGCAGAGGGGAATTCATCCTAATAAGTCAGACTACTTGATAACGGCGGCGGGGATACACCATGCATACATACTGGTGAAACAAGGGGCTTCCTCCGACCAGCTTCAGCAAAGGCCACAGACAGGTGGGTTATCAACAAAAACCACTTCATCGTCAAGTAATGCGTGGATCGATACCCATCCCGGGGTAGGGACGGTGTTTTTATACCTCTTCTTCATATTGTTTGTGACCATCACGCGACGATAGAGTGCGATGGTGCGTGATTGGCAGGGGCGCGAGGGGTAAGCCAAGAGCCTGGCTTGCTGCACTTGGCAAAGGGGAAGCAATTTCATAGGGCCGGCTATTGTTTTGCAGGCGGAAGCCCGACGGCACTTGATAACATCACGGCTGAGGTTACAGTGCCAAGGCATCTGAGGCGGGAAGATACTAGGGGTAGATAACATTATTGCGGGGGGTTGCGCTCATTGTCCAACACTATAAACCTTAGGACTAATTGTTTAGTCCGTATTCGTAACGGGTTTGCATTAATCCGTTGATTTGGATATTATGGCCAGATACCGAAGGTCGAGGGCTAACTTAGCCGACTGCTTATTAGAGGTTAGCATACCTAATCCATATCCTCTTTGGTAATGCCCATTTCAATCATATCGTCCCAATTCACATTCGGGCGCTCAAATCAGGCTCAAATACATCCTTGAAATCCTGATAGGATCACGATAGTATGTATACACAGCATCCTCATGATCCAATGTGGAAGGACAACGCCCAGTGCAGAGTACAAAGGCTGTGGTGGAGTGCCCAGCATGTAATTCCACAATCTGATGATCTATGAAATTGACACCACAGACGGGACCCCTTCTGCATATCAATATCAGCTATATCTAGAACTGGTTAATCGAACATCTGAAGCGGAGCAGGTTGTAGAGCGAAAATATACCCCGAATTTCCCTATGGAATGCTAGTTCCAGAGACAGAGCCTGGGGTTCAAGAGGCCCACGAACTGCCGTATTTGAGACCCGTTGGATACATGTTTGGCCAATAACCGGATCCTTTTTTATCTCTCACAAAGATAATCCATGCGGCTTCTTGGCTCTAGGTGTTGTCCTGTCTCCAGACTCTGCGGCGCGAGCGCAATTAGCACTGATTGGCATGGCCACCGGCCCGGTCCCAGCCCAATTCTTCATGACAACCGGTTGCTTACAATAACAGAGTTGCAAGATCAGTCGCGGCAGTGGAGATAGGGACATGTGTATATACCACTCTCACTCCGGCAAAAACGTAGCGTACATTGCCGTAAGCCCAAGAAATTAAGTCCGTTTAGTATTTTTATCTACCGACATCGCTGGATACGCAGGTCAAGAATCGGCGGCCTGGGTAGACGGGAAATGACTAAATATACAACAAAATTGTGCATGGAGTTGACTATCACCATGAAAACTCCGACAGAAGCTAGTATCCTCCGGTCTCCCTATAGAACATATCGACACCCTGGAGTCTCCCAATCAGTCCTATCTTCCAAAAGCAGCACTTCTTGTGGCACATCCGATGCCACTTCGCTGGCTCGCTTCTTATTCTGCCACTGTAAGTACAGCCGTAGGCACACCACCCAGAAAAATCCCAGCCCAAACCCTATCAGGCTAGCCGTAATACCTTTTCTATACCTCGGTGCCTCAGTCACACTAAAGAACTGCGGACCAACGATATTTCCCGCGCAATACATCACCAAAACACTTGCATTGACCACTGCCCGCTTGGTGAGCCCACGCACATTACTGGTGACCAAAGACATGGAAATCGGCATGTTGGCCGAGAAAGCCAGGCTGAGGCAGAAACCCGCCATGCGGCCAGCTTGATTGCTTTCCTCCAGGGCGTACATGAGCACCATTCCCAGCAGGCTGGTCAGCGTAAGTGCCATCATAGTCAGCGTGCGGATATTGGGAATTGACGAACACAGCACGGCACTTATGATCACGAAGCATAGCTGGGCACCGCCAGTAGGCATTTGGATCAAGAGGGCTTGAAGGCCTTCGTATCCGAATCCTTGCACAACAAGCGACCCAAAGGCTGTCAGGCCCCCGTTGGCGATGTTCACGCAGAATGTATACAGACTTAGGAACCAAGTCACCGGGTCACGTAGGGCTTCGACTACCTGCGACATCTTGTAGGAGCCCTTTATGCCGGCCTGGCCATCAGCCGTGACGTTGTTTATTGCGGTAGATCGCTCCTCGGGGGTCAACCAGAAGGTTTTGGACGGTGTGTCCGGGAGAAAGGCAAGCATGATGATCCCGCATAGAGCAGTCACGGCGCCAAAAATCAGGAATAAATATTGCCACGCAGTGAGGCCGCTGTCGAGGTGTCCGATGCCGTAGGAAAGCAAACCTCCGAACAAGGAAGCTATGGAACCACCGGCAAACCACAGCCCGTACCGGAGAGGCTGCTGGCGTCGCGTATACCACATGCCAGTTATAAGGGAGAACCCTGGGGCAATGGATGCCTCGAGGGCACCGAGAAAGAATCGGGTGATGACCAGGCCTGTGAAGTTGTGGCAGGCTGCATGGCACATCAGGACAGCGGCCCAGAGGAGTCTATAGAATGTGATTTGTTAGTCTGGTTCCTCTACTGGATTCACAGAAACTCAGAAGTGAGGCAATACGTACACTGTGGCACCTAAGTACTTTCCAATTGGCAAACGCACCGACAGGTACATGGTTGGGTATGACCAGAATATATATCCAAAGTAAAACACCGAGGCCGTCCATGAGAATTGTGTGCCCTCTAGGTGCGTGTCTTCAATCATTCCCAGCAAGCTGGCATAGCTCAGTGTTTGTTTGTCCAGGAACTGGAGAAAGTAACAGAATCCGAGTATTGGTAAAAGGATGAAATCAACTTTTCTTCGTACTCGGCGAGACTCCTCAGGGGAGACATCGGTGATGCTCCCTAAAGAAATCTCTCGTTTCGGGTCCTCTGGGGGACATGATGGTTTTGTCTTGGGGTCAACGGATGTCATGGTTGTAGGCAAAGTGTTAGGATGAAAATTATCGGACAGGGAGAGATATCATGGTATTTATATTGTCTTTTGTGTTTATTTCCGTTTGTCAGTACCAACATACATTCATACATTGATGATACATTCATGGATGTCTGCTATGTACCTATAAACTCAAATGATATCAAGATCTGGGGAAAGCTTCCCAAGGTTGTTCGTCCCGCAGCGCAATTACCCCTGATTGGGTATCCATGTGCCCCACTTCCCCAAAATGAATGGTCGCGGAGATTGTGGAGACAAACCGGGGAAGACCTACGAACGAGTCCCGGTCCGGCCACTCGCTTCGGTAAAAGCATTGCGTACATTGCCATAGAACTCCTCATTCACCAGCAGCTTCCACCCGGTTATCGCCATGGCTTTTCCAGCAGTGACCATTCTCTGGTGAGCAACGCTCGTGCCAGCTGCCGCAGTGAACTGCCGCGTATGGTTCTTAGCCCCATCACTTACCGGGATCCCAATGATGCCATGCAGGGCCGGGATAAGCTGCGACACATTCCCCTGATCAGTGGACCCTGGCATCTGAATCTCATCATAGGCCAATATGTGTTCTCCTTGCTCACGCATACATTCCTGAAAGCTTTCACATAAGGGAGGGTTCACAGCCAAATCGGCAAATATTTGACTTTCCTCCAGTTCAACCGTACATCCGGTGGCAAGAGCGCCTGATTCCAGACACCGCCGTACGCGGTCTCCCAATGCCCTCGCGCCTTTCATTGTCGGACTGCGGATCGAGTATTTGGTGCGCGTGAGCTCGGGAATTGCGTTGGTAACGGTGGGCGCCTCGAGAATTGCGCCGTGAACTCGTTCATCAGGCTTCATCTGCTGGCGTAACATGGAGATGTTGTTGTAGGCAGTGACTAGGGCGTCAAGGGCATTGACTCCTTCCCATGGACTGGCAGAGGCATGAGCGCTGACGCCACGATAGACTGCTGTGATGTCGTAGCAGGCAATCGACGAGCGACCGGCGATACCAAGGACGTCTTTACTGAATTCTTCCTCGGAGAATGGGTGACTGCCCTAGTTAGTCGGCTTATGTCTTGCTTTGTGGTGTCGAAACGACGGAACTGTCATACATCATCAAAGACACATCGGCTTTCTGGTACGCCCCAGAGCGAATCAGATCAATTTTTCCGCCGCCGTCTTCTTCGGCCGGGGTTTCCAGGAGCTGGACATGGCCAGGAATACCAAATTGGCAAATGGCAAAAGCTAATGCTAAAAAGCCGGTAATGCTAGAAATTGCAATAAGGTTGTGACCGCATGCATGGCCAATCCCGGGGAGTGCATCATACTCGGCGTTGAAGTTCACACAGCGACCATCTCCATTGCCAGCCTTGGCCTCAAAAGCAGTGCTGAGGCCGTAGGAGTGGCGCGTTGTCTGGATACCCTGGGATTGGAGGAAGTCGCAGATGGCGTCGTGGGCAATGTGTTCCTCGTACGCCAGTTCTGGATTTTCGTGAATCTATGATTTATTGTGAGAAAGAATATATCACATAGAGCCGGGGATTTACCTTCTGATTTAGCATGCGTAATGGCTCTGCTAAACTATCAATATATTGGTCGATGGCCGTTTGGACTGCGCTCTTGGATGGCGTAGCCATGGTTGATTCTTGTGCTTGGATTTGAAGGCTTCGAATAGTTAATGGCCCATGGTGGTTATTGCTCTCTTATGGGACTTCAGCAAAAAAGAAATATAGCCGCAGCCCGATGCATCTGCCGTGTGCCGGATGAACCCTCCAGGGCTACCTTATCGGCGCAAAAGTATTTGATTGGCTTATCCCCCACACTCCGCACCGGACCTCGGGACTATGGGCTATAAATATGACGACGGATGTCCGCAGTCTCGACCTGAATATCAGATTCTGCTTCCCCGCTCTCCTATTTGTCACTTTGAACTGTTTGCAATCGATCGCCTCCACATCGTTCATCGCCCATTTACCCCAAGTTATCTTTGGAAAGCTGAACAATATGACCAACCTTACTTGGCAAGACAAGTGTGCTGCCAAACAAGCCGAGGCAGACGCTAAGATTCCCACTGAATGGCGACTGGCAACAGAGATTCTCCAGCAGGTCGATAGTAATGAGCTGGAGATCCTCGATGTTCCCTCGAAGTGTGGCATCCTTAGCAAAGCAGAGCTCGCCATTACTGAGCTGCCTGATGCAACCTCGCTACGAGACAAGCTCGCTGCTCAAGAGCTCAGCGCTGTTGAGGTGACCACCGCCTTCTCCAAGCGTGCTGCCATTGCGCAGCAGTTGACTTCATGCTTGACGGAGACTATGTTCTCCGAGGCTCTTGTTAGAGCGCAAGAGCTAGACGCACATATCAAGTCTACTGGAAAACCTGTTGGACCACTTCACGGTATTCCAATTAGTATGAAGGAAACCTTCAACATCAAGGGTGTACCGACCTCTCTCGGGTTTGCGTCTTTCTTGGATCGTGAGCCCGTCACCCAGAACTCTGTCTTGGTAGATATTCTTCTGGAAGCAGGTGCAGTGCTGTACGTGAAGACCAACGTGCCCCAGACAATGATGACCGCGGACTCCCACAACAATGTCTTTGGACGTGTGCGGAACCCACACCGAAGTACCCTCACGGCTGGTGGCAGCAGTGGTGGTGAGGGAGCTTTGGTAGCAATGCGTGGATCCATCCTAGGAATTGGCACTGATATTGCTGGATCGATTCGCATTCCAGCACTCTGCTGTGGTACCGTGGGCTTCAAGCCTAGTATCGGTCGCGTGCCGTATGCCGGGCAGACGAGCGCAGGTAGACCAGGGATGGCCGGGATTGCTCCATGCGCAGGACCATTGTGCCATTCTGTTCGCGACGCGGACATGCTTCTCCGGGTGGTCTTCGATGCAGCTTCTGATGATATGGACGACATGGCTCTAGGATTCCCCTGGATGCAGCCCGTGAAAGCGCCCACGCAGCTCACAATCGGGGTCTTGCCGGAAGATCCCCAAACTCCATTGCACCCAAATATGCAGCGCACTCTTGGAATAGCCATTGAGAAGCTAAGAAATGCTGGTCATCACATTGTGGATCTATCTAAACAGATTGACTTCGTGGGAGCTGCCGCAGACCTGGCATTCCGCTTCTTTCGTATTGACCCAGACCAAACAGCTTTGCAGCATATCCGGAAGTCTGGCGAGCCGCCGATCCCGTCTCTTCGATTTACGTTCGACATGGAAGGAAAGGCAGGAGAGCCGAATTTGCGGGAATTCTTTGACTTGAACGCCTCTAAATCAGAGATCGCGGCTAAAATGCGCCGCGTGTTCCTCAACAACCACCTGGATGTGATTATCGGGCCGGGATACCAGACCACAGCAGTCCCTCATGACACCTATGGTGTCCCAGTATACACAGTTCTTGCTAATGTGGTTGATGTATGTTTCCTTTGTATCATTTGTGAATATTTACACTAACTCAAAGACCAGTATCCCGCGTGTGTCATTCCCTATGGCTCCTCTCAGGAGACCGCTGATGCCGAGTTCGTGCGCGACGTGAACTATTATCCTCCTTGTAAGTCCTATCCCGGATATATCGCAATCACATATGCTGACTGAGCTCAGATCTTCCCAAAGAGGTCAAAAATGCACCCTGCCACGTGCAGCTTATCGGTCGTCGCCAGAAAGACGAGGCGTTGGTCCAGCATGCGCTGATTGTGGAGGAAGTTTTGGCCAAGTGATAGATCCGTTGGGTAGCAAATGATACTATGTCGTTCAGGATGGTTCCATCAATAACTGTAATTGTTGCAGCGGCAGTATGTCTTCGGGTTCCCGTGATGAGGCCCAAACATGCATCAGTTGCTCTTGCAATCGCACTGCCTGCCCGCGTCTCAAGCTAGCCGATGGGGTAATCTTGCTGTTGATGATATGCTGTTCATATGCATTCACGGCAACAGCACCAAGCACGGCCACAGGCCATAGAGCATAACTGAGTAGGCAGTTTGGGATGTCTATTGGCTCCAAAATGTTCAGCCCTTCGCGCAAGAGGGAATTGATTCCGGATATTCTTTCTGACATTGTCCGCATATGATCTTTCTTAAGTAGCAAAATTCGGACAGCTCGTGAGTAGAGCCTCCTCATGGGATTATTGGTATCATCCTGACGCTCATATTGCAGGATGTCACTCTGGAGGCGTGTCCACATCTGGCGTTCTTCTTGGTTTAGGTCGCGGGCTAACCGAGCGATGCGGGTCACATTTGCAATCATGATGAAGAAATGATAAGGTTCATCCAAGATAGGTTGTGCAACAGCCTGTCCATCATTGACTGCAAAGGCCAAATACAGAGGTATGTTGCCTGCTGTCGCATCCAGAGAGGGGGTAAACAGCATCGTAAGCGTACTATGGTACAAAAACGACTCCACACAGGTGCGTTGAAATATTACTGCTGGCTGGGAAGGAGATTGGATGGTCTCTTCTGGGCGTCGTCGCCAAAGGAGCTCGCCAGCAGCCTTCGCATGTAGACCGATATTTGGGGGTACATCTGACCGGGCATTCTTTATTTGTCTTAGTCCTGGTTGATGCATAGAATCTAATGCAAATAAGGAAGGAGGAAGCTTACTTCAAACACACAAAGACATATCGTCGTCGCCAATAAGCCATCTTCGTTCCCGGTGCCGGGGGCATCTATTATGCAATCCTGCAGGCTGCGCAGTGCGTGTAGGTAGTGCTGCATTGCGAGTGCATCGTCACCGAGGTCAAGAGCTGCAATGGCTATCATAATCGCCATCAGCGGAGAGAATTCCTGGGCTAGTCGTAGTATGTGCGATTGATCGCTGTACACAGATGGACAATTCGGTCGCACAAGCCGCGGCATCACGGTTGTCGCAAAATGTGTATACAAGGCTTTATCGTCATTTGATAAACCTGGGCACTTAGGATTCCATTGACGTCTTTCACGCCTTCGGCCGTCCATGAGCTGGGTAGTAGTTGTGGGCCAAGTGCAGGTAGAGCCAAGGTTGACGCATCTTTGGCAGGTTGGTCTTTGCTCATCGCATTTTTTGCGGCGTTTGCGACCTATCGCAAGTCAGTTAAGCCACTCCAAGCGGTGTATTTAGTGCTGACATTCGAAGCAGCCGGTGCGGGTGCGCACTCGGGCTTTGGACTTCCAGGTTGAGGTTGGCATGGCGTGGAGGGGGGTCTAGTAGTGTATATGCTTCTTTCATAATAGGGTGACCTGGTAGTTTCTGAGGTCATTTACCGATTCCTGACCTACCTAGGTAGAAGACTCGCAGGTCTCGTGATAAGCATTTGCACCTCAGGCTCTATCTATTCTAATGTTCGCATTGGCCGTGGGGACCCCTCAAATGCGGGGGTGATCCACCGCGCAATTATCGTGGATTGGTTGCCCTACTTCCAACCTTGGAAGGTTCCAAGGTTCTGATAAAATCATGGGGTATAATCACTTATAGATAATTCCAAAGTCGAGCAATACAGTCGTTCAGCCAGCAATGATACCAGTTGACAAATATTGAATCACTCCGGCTTCTGGTTTAGATATCCCTCAAAGATCGAATTGCCCTCTGTCAGTGGGAGAAGATCAGGAATAGTGGATGAAGACCAGTCAATGCAAGAGCTCCGTTCCAAGCAGATAGAGCACATTTCCGAGGAGGGCAAACTAGTTCCCTATGGCACAGACAGCCGGAAATGTTGTCACTAGCGGATCGCCTTTATGTTGTGGGGGGACCCCGGGGCCCTATGCCGTGCTTAGGCTTTATACAGCTGACATCGGTGGTATTTTTTCATAATATAGTTGTTCGTATACTCCTAAAGAAATATATATGTACAATTTAGTATAGCTGTTTACTCGGTCTCGAAAGCCTCACCGTTGGTTGCAGCGCGATTTTAAAGCCTAGAACTCAACTTTGGAACGTGCACCGGATTATATCGCATGATACCGTTCCCTAAGGAATTTGTGTTTGAAACTCACATTGTTGCTTTCATCTGAGGCAAGGCAGTATAGATCGATGCCCGCTTAACAGCAATATTATGATCATCTTATCAAACTTAGCAATTTTGTCACATATATAACTGGCAAGCTTGGAAGTTTGGTATATCATATTACCTGTTTGTCTCCAACTTGGTGAAGGTGAACTAATACGGTAATTGTATGGATCTTTCAGAAAGTGTCATTAGGAGGAAATCTTATATCTGAGATCCTACTGCATGCAATGGTGTCAGTCATTTACACAGGTGCTGTTATGGTTTCATTTCCTGTTGGTTCGGAACGAGGAAAGTCAGTCATGGTCCTAGGTTGTGGTGTAGGCGTACAATTAAGAGCGGTGTGGACAATAATAAGGTCCTGATAGTATAATATCAACCCTAAAAAGGTATAAAAGGTATACAGACGTACGTTGTACGTCATGACCTGGCTCTCGTCGGGTCTCCAGGGGAGTTAGATGAGTGAGATCCTCACAAGGCTCAAGGAGTGGGCTTGCTGCGCTCGACAGTCTCTCTCCAAGGGTTCTGGCGAAAACGGAGCCGCAACTCCGGCCGATACCATGCGAGATTCCCAGGTGTTGGATGTTCCCCGCTCCCCTACTGTCTCGGAAACTCTGGGTTCGTGACCCATCCGCCGGAGTAATGTGCCGTGGTGATAAGCGTGACACGTACTCCGGGCTCCAGCACGCCTTTAAGCCTCATGACCCTCATGACATGCAGACCCTTATGTCTATCCCATTGTTAGGCAGGTCAAAGTTTAGGAATCCGTGACAGAAGATGTGGAGGAGAAGGGGAGCCGACGTTCTATTCACCTGTTCGGAAATCCTCTTCGCTTCCGCAAGAAATTGGTCGATCATCTTCTTCGGACTAACCACTGTTACGGGCGAGAGCTCGTCACTGTCCAGGAGCTCTTAGCTCAGGATATCCTTCCCTCCTCGTGGGGGTACTTTAGTCCATAACGAGGTAGTCACCAGGATTCTTGCCATGCCTTGGGCGTCAATCTGATGTTCAAGAAAGCGGCGAATGACACGCCGGAGACCGGAAACAGTGGACGTAGAGGAGGTGTAGGTAATGGAAATCACAGAAGGCAGGATCCATAAAGCCCGGTTGTTAGGCCGGAGTGCAGCGTCTGGTGTGCACATGGTCATCAATTTTGCCGCCACCGGGGTATGGGAGCTGAGGTACCACGATCTTTTGCGAACGGAGTATAGCATATCCGACCCACAGGGGCGAAAAGTGAACTGGGCGATGGTTGTATGTGAGGAGACTCGAGCTATCCACAGACACATGGTTAATAATCAAACTTTCAAGCAGTTCCCATATTGCTTATTGACTGTAGTCACGCGGGGCTTATCAGTTCTGCTGATGGAACGGGCCCCCTCTGACTGAACCAGATACTGATCAGTCAACACTCTTTGTAGATGTCCCAGCTGGTATGACCGCCGTGTCTCTGCGCGGTATACAACATCGATGGTTTTGAAAGAGGCAAGAAGCACACACAGAGAGAGAGTGTGTGGAAGGAGAGTGGAAGGAGAGTGGAAGGAGAGTGGAAGGAGAGTGGAAGGAGAGTGGAAGGAGAGTGGAAGGAGAGTGGAAGGAGAGTGGAAGGAGAGTGGAAGGCGAGTGGAAGGAGAGTGGAAGGCGAGTGGAAGGCGAGTGGAAGGAGAGTGGAAGGAGAGTGGAAGGAGAGTGGAAGGAGAGTGGAAGGAGAGTGGAAGGAGAGTGGAAGGAGAGTGGAAGGAGAGTGGAAGAAGAGAGGAAAGAGAGAGCAAATTGGAAAGCTGCAGGAGCCACCCAAGTCATCCGGACACATTCTATAGTCATATCTAAGGGGACACTTCCACCTGGGCAAGGTTGTCCGTCCAGAGCATAGCTTATTAAGTTGAACGTACGTACATATGTGTAGTGTTGTATGTTCTCAACTTGCTCTAAGTCGACAGATCCTTCAAATACTAGACAGTCTCCCAAGATCTCAAGTCCATACGTAGCCACAGGTTGGTATTTGCTCAGAATATCAGTTACAATAAGGCCAATACCTCTTTGTGATCGAAAGGTCAACATAGTAAATTCTAATGTTAAAGCTATTCGGATCAAACCATCTAGGCCAATCAATATGAGATTGACTTGGAAGGCGATGCCCGCTATTTTACTATAATAGAGGAGATTTCCTTCTTATAGTTCACCCTATTTCCCACCTTATATGGCAAAGCCTTCCTTTTAGATTTAGTCAAGAGTCTGCTTAGAAGATTAGAAAAAATAGCAGACTGCCTTTGTTTAGATTCAAATTAATCTTTCTAGGCTACCATTCCTGGCTCTTTCCCCCTCGAGCTTGACTACTACGGGAGGCAGGAGAAATTAATCAATAAACTATGAGAAAGGTTCTGGTCATCTATGACTTGATACCTCACACCACTATTCTGCACCCGCCAAGCCTTGTTAGTCTCCAGCCTGCGGTGGTCCATGATCCTAGCAATCAAGCGCAGCGAGCGTTCTCTCGTTTTAACCTGGAACATATATTCCAAATAATGCACCTGACTATTCAAGCTTGTTGAGACTAGGTATTGAAGCAGCCAACAGCGAGGCGCGAGTAAACCAGGGATGACGCCAGTTCGGATTGCCGATTCGCGACGCGTTCGAACAACGCCAGTTTAAACGTGGTCCTGCGCCTAATCACCTACCGCGGTGCCTGTTAAGGATGGCATCCTACTTTATTCAAACATCTACTCTTACAATTGGCTTACGGTCAAACACTACGCGCCCTGCAGTGTGTATTCACGCCGCTTTTCCCCAGAAACTGAGGATGCCTCTATGGACTGCAGCCACCTCTTCATTGAAGTTATTTTCAACTAAGTCTGGTAGTAAAGCAACGGCGGCAAGTCCTCCAGAAAAGCCTCGGACACTTCCTACCACAGGTTTCAGAACCATCGGGATCGATCAACCAGTCGAAGAGGAGGGATTGCCTGATTATCAGGTTCACCGGTTCTATCCAGCTCGACTAGGAGAGGTTCTTCAAAATCGCTATCAAATAATTTCAAAGCTCGGATTTGGTACTCCATCGACTAGTTGGCTGGCTAGGGATCTGAAGTGAGCGTCTGTATATTAACTTTGGTTCTCAGCTAACGTGTGCAGAGATCATCAGTATGTTACGCTGAAGTTGTATGTCCATACATCGTTGGTTCACCGTGAACTTCCTGTTTATCATCACATTGCTCGCCGTATGGCAGAAAGTTCACACCGAGGACGAGGTAATATCCGAAGATTGTTGGATTCCTTTGAAATTCCTGGTCCGCAAGGACAACATGTTGTTCTAGTTTTCGAACCTGCGCAAATGAGCTTGCGTGACATGAGGTTGGTCTTTCGACTGGGTGGATTCGATGAAGACTTCGCCAGGGGTACTATTATTGAGCTTCTTGAAGCATTGGATTTCCTTCATACCCATGGAGAAGTTGTACATACCGGTACTGCGCTTCCATCCACCCCATTTCTTGTCCCGTTTGTCTGCTGACGCGCTACAGATGTGCACCTTGGAAACCTACTACTTGGCGTCGATGGCAACGACCTGCTGAAACCTTTCGAGGAAAGGGAATTCTCATCGCCGGTGCCTCGCAAGCTGGTCTCTCCAACGCGGCTTATTTATCTGTCGCGTCTCATGCGACCTAAGGAAGGCCCAATGCTTCTATCAGATTTCGGCGAGGCGAGGATCGGACCAGGACCACACGGTGGCGATATAATGCCTCTGGAATATCGCGCTCCGGAAACACTGCATTATGTGGGATGGAGCTATCGTTCTGGAGTCAAAAAAGCTGTTTACAGCCCGTGATGAGGATGGAGATCTTTATGACGCTGCTCACCTAGCCCAATTCATCGCCGCGCTGGGACCGCCGCCGCCTGAGTTCCTAACCAGGATTTCAGAAAGGAAAGTCGATTTCTGGGACGAGCAAGGTATGTTACTCCTGTAATAGAGTAAATAAGGAGAAACGCCCGAGGTAGGCTTCTGCTTCTTGCTCTCAATATTAACCATTGTTACAGGGAAATGGCTAGGCCTTGCACGACCGGACAATCGAAGCTCTGGAGACCCGCTTGGAGGATAACACAGGCTTTCTTCGATTCATTCGAAGAATACTGACCTGGATACCCAAGAGGAGAGCAACTGTCAAAGAGCTCCTACAAGACCCTTGGCTAACAGGTAAATCAACTTGCTCTTAACTCCGATGTTATCCACGGCCGCGAATATGTGAAAGTCGTTGTCTAGCGACGCTAAAGAAAAGGCACTTGTATGGAGAAATATGGCCCAGATATATAAGTTTATTCTAGTTGTCATCGGGAGAAAATACAGTGATTACTTCATTGAGCCTATATTGATATTTCAGCCAGTTGCTTCTCAATGTTTCTGGACCCTATGCCGGATCTGCTCCGGACATATTTCGGCCGTTGGGAAGGGTACCGCTGTGGATACGAATGGCACTGCCTGAGGATATAATACTGTGTGGGTGCGCCCTATCGTAGAAAATAGCAAGTATTCATGTGCTATAGAATTTTCGGTCAATATTTATCGATCTAATGTTTCTCCAATGACACAGCTCAGCGAATGGGGAGTCGAGTCTGGAAGTAACTCAAAGCCTACCATGGCTGTGAAATATATACCCAGGGATGTGTGGCAACTATATTTTGACGGTGGAAGAGAACGACAGTATCAACATACAACATATATATCTTCAAGTCAAAGGAACATCAAAGACAAAAGACAAGAAAACCTTGTTGCTCGCCAAGCCAAATAATACATATGCAAGATGGGTTTCTGCCCAAGTTCAATAAGAGCTCAGAAAGTAAACAAGCGGAGCAGGTGTTTGAACATGAGCCTGATTTTTGTACGGAGTATTATGGGCTAGTTACAAGGAAGCAAGACCAATTGAGTACAGATAAATTCATTGACCTTTTTACCAATACACAAATAAGGGGTTGCATACATGAGATCATCATACAAAGGAAAATTAAATCACACAAGCAAAAGGAAAAAGAAAACTAAATAACTATTCATCATACCATGGATGAGGGACAAACGTATCCAGACCCCCCTCTAGGAGAAACCCAGAAAAAAATTTACAGACGGGAGCCGTGGATGACCTTGTAGTCGACGACGAGCTCACGGCCACCGTCGTTGATGACGAGGCACGGACGGAACCACGGCCGTCAGCGAAGGCATCGCTGATGCGCTTGAAGAGGTGGCCCTGGGTGATGACGGGGAGACCCTGCTTGACATCACCGGACTCGGTCATGGCGACGAGGCGGTTGTCATCACGGAGGTCCAGGATGCGGTAGGTCTTGAAGACGGGGCCGAGCATGGTCTGGACAACCACGGAGGGAGAGGGGTTGGCGACGAAGCTGGACTCTTCCTGCAGCTTGCGGGTGAAGAGGTCGACACCGAGGTAACGGTGCTGGCCAGTCTGGGGGGAGACCGAGATGCGGATCACCTGGCAAGGGCGGCCCTGAAGGATCAGGATGTCGCCGACGCGGATGAAGTGGCAGGGGATGGGGACGGTCTCGCCAGCGGAGCCGCGGTTGCGGGGCTCGACGATGCGGACGTTCTCACGGGGAGCAGCAACCTCACCGGCGTGGGACTCCTCATGCTCGGAGTGGGAGAAGGGGTGCAGGACACGGTCGGCAGCGCGCTCAACGCCGCGGCGGAAGGAGTGGTACTGGCCTTCGTCGTCGTAGTAACCCATTTTGCGAGTGGGGGCGGTGTCACGGGTAGTGGACTGAGGGACGTTTACTTGGGTCGGGGTGGAGTAACGAGCACGGGGCTGAACTTCACGAAGGTAGACGTCGTCTTCCTTGTAAGAGTCGGTCTGAGACTGGTAGGCCCGGTCGTACGAGACGTCGACGGACTGGGATTGGTAACCGTAGGCGGAGTCTACGGGTTGACGATAACGACGGTCGTAAGAGACGTCGAGGTCGTAGGAAGGAGAGGTACGTTGACGGTAGTCTCTCTCAGTTAGGTCGAGTTGGTTCTCGACGACTTTATCGTAGACTTGAGTACGGTCCTCGTAGTCAACGGAAGGTTGTTGGTAACTGGGGTAGCTGGAAAAGGGTCAGTCCACATGGGTACCGTAAACATATAAACAAAACAAGCCAGTCACCGCTAATTGAAGTGGATCAGGTTTTGATGACACGTAATTTTAGTCCCCGACTAAATCCGTAACCACTCTAAACCGAGATAGGAGATCTCACAACAAATAATGGTAGTTCAGCTGCAGGTCTCCACTTTCGGTGGATCTCTGGAGGTTGGGCCAAAAAAAAACACAAATTGAAAAATACAGAAAAACAGTTACATACCGTTCACGAGTAAGCTCAACTTCAGGGGCGTAGTTGTGCGAAGGCTGGGAGTGCTGGTACGACGACTGCGAGTACTGCTGCGGTTGCTGCGTGTACTGGGGGTGCTCTTCTTGAATGCGCGGACGCTCTTCTTGAATGCGGAACTCGACTTCTTGCTTTCCTTGAACAGGAGCGGGAAGGGGAGCAGAACCTCGAGTATCTTCCCGTTCGACGCGCGAAGTACGATCGAAATTGACTTCTCCCTCTACTCTCGTCTGAGTAGTTTCAGAGACAGCGTCACTCCGGTACGACGACGGGAAGACACTGAAGGGGATGGGAACACGGGCGTCAAAGTCCAGATTGACGGACTTTTAGCGTCTTTTCTCGAATGCCTTTCGAACTGTCGTTAAACAACTCGAAAGACTAAACAAGAAAAGACTTGAAAGGGAAGTCTTTCTCGGAAGTGGGGGAGGAGAAAAAGAGAAGATCTTTTTATCCTGAGATTGGAATAGAGGGGAAAAGATAAGCTTAAGATGAAGAATGTTAGATCGTAGGAATGGAAGAAGAAGAAGAAAGAGACCAGCGCTGTTGGCGAGCATGACGATTATTTATGCCAGTCCATTTGTTTACGCCGCCTTGCCGGTTTGGGTCCTCCGCTGATCACCGAGGCTACCTCTTCTCCTTACTGTCTCTCTACGGTATTTGAATTGTCCTGTTAGAATTGTGCAATGTCTCTAATTGAATTCTCTTTTTTACATTTTGTCAATCACTCCAAACCATCCAGGACTGTGTCTCCATTGATGGATACCGAGCTGCAATACAATATACTCCGTACACATCGGGCCCTTTCACATGGGGGGGCTGGCCAGCCTGCGCGTATTGTCACCGCGCCACAAACCCCATCGCCATGGCAACCTCCGGGTCGAATCGGACATCTGGATCCTCTTGGCGCCGATCTTGTTTGGCTCCATCACATCGGCACAATTGCATTGGGGTTGCGGAGACACGTTCACTGTACTCCGTAATTCCCTCGGCTTATGAAGTGTCCTGTTGCCTTGATTCTGCCGCTCGGCGTTGGCTAGACAGTCATTGGCCCATATCTGACTCTATTCACGACACAACACGTTACAGGCTACGGCACATTAATACCAATACCAATACCGCCCAATGCACTTTCTCCACTGGAAAGTGATTCATCGAGATCATTAGACCCTCATTTGGGTCCCCAGCCCCGGCCCAACCACTGTGAGGCGCCAGCCAACGCATGCAGCTCATGTCTAGACCGTCTTACCGCCAAAGAGGCTGGGAAATGTTTTTCAAATAACGGTAATTATCGTACGAAGTACAGTGTACTCCGTACTTTTGTTTCCTTCATGATGAGACCGAAGAGCGTGATTACAGACGCGTGTTTTGACTTGAGTTACATCGCCATTGGATCGTCCAATGGAGGATCTTGATAATGTACCTGCCCCTTTTCCGAGGTACACGGGGTACCCGTACCATGGTACAACCCTATGGGGCTGGGACCAATCGTGTCCAATCTAAGTGGAGGAGTTCCAAACAAAGTACGACGTCCGGAGTACATCGATAAATCCCATGGATTTTCAGCTGGGAGCCCAAGAACAGTAATCAAGAGTCCGGCCTAGCAATTTTGTACGACATATTTATTTTTTCCAATTGTTCGACGCCCTGAAAGGTCGGCTGTACAGCGGCTCCACCGTTCTTCCACTTGTGTTATTGTGGTTCCCTTAGATCCCTCCGGGCTGCGGAGTACGGGGTACCGAGTATGGAGTATAGGATCAACATACCTCTTTCCGGGGTCAACTGAGCTATACATGTACATACAAAGTGTGATTATTTTACGATTGGATGGTTTCTTATGGCAGCTAGCTCTAGGAAATCGGTACTGGGGTCGTGGAGTTCACGGCTACCTAGGTAGTCCCCGTACTTATATAATAATGTTGTCTTGAAAGCAAAATAATCATTGAGTAACAAAATTGCAATCGGTTGTGAAACGCTGCTATGTATAGCCAATTGCCTTTCGTGTCTTGTATCATCGACCAAGGTACTCCGGATTGTTGGGTCAACGATATGAATTATCTGCTTCTACACAAAACAGTGTTTCTAAAAGTTGTGGCGCATATAGCTGAGTATTCAATGCTTCAGATTGGTACCAGTGACCAGGCTACTAACATGCGATGATATAATAGCCCTGTGAAAAGTACTGAAACGCGAATTGATCGAAGGTCTCAGCGGCCAGACGCGAGTGCTTGGTTCTTAGACACGCGAATACCCATTCATCTCCATATGCGCTATAATCTCGTCTCAGCCCTCGAAGCATGGCCGTCGAGGCTTTCCCCCTTTCATGAGAAAGAATGTCGAGACTACTCGCCAAAAAAAAAAAGATGAGCGGCTATCTTTTCGTTCTCTGGGAGACTTAATAACCCGAGTGTAACGAGAAACCGATGTTGCACTACTACAAAGGTGAAAGGCGTATAAATGCAAGAAGTCTCCTATTTCTTCATCCAGCAGCCATATAACGATGTCATGGGTTGCTTTGCAAGTTCTAGGGACGATGAACCGCACCAAGAGATAGAAGTTTCTGGTTTGTTGCGCTCGAGGCATGGATTTGTACATGACTCCGCCTTCGAGGTATTTCCTATCATGTGCAGTGCGACAATGGAAGTCTCGATGTTAGAAAGGTCTTACGTTGAGCTTCTGGTTATTGGTCTCTATATGTGATACCAGCGATACAACAATGATATAGGTAACATCTTTTTGGTATTAACCATCCATTGAGATATTGTTGGATCAACAGGGCGAACATCAATCTGCCTCCCCAACCAAATCTATGATCTTTGAGAAGTCGCAGTGTGGATAGCTTCAAATCCCCGGGATGTTTCCGGTTCACCGGAATGGCTCCGGATATTGTATCTTGGATCTCCATGGGAGTAGGCCGCATTGCCTTATCAGGCTTGTTTATTTATATGGCGTAACTCTATAATTATCGAGATATACCCTATGCGCTTTTCATGACAGTAGGCCGTATGCATATGTCCGGATGATATTGTCCTATTGAACCGTGGAATATATATCTGATGAGTTTACTACAGTACCGCAGGCAACACTCTTTGCTACGTCAGTATCCGGATATCCCCCTTCTATAGCACATATAGTAACAGTTTCGATCATCTTGTAGTCGGAATTAAGGACTCGAGCTTCTGGCTTGACATGGACCCCGCATCAATCATGCTACAGTTCCTCGGCTGGAGAACAACCGACGGACGATCTTCTGGCCGCCATTCACAATAGATCCTAGGCGTTGTATAAAATCTAGCTACATCAACCGTTAACGACATTCACGCATCTTCCAATTCATCCACCCAACATTACCACGACTTCTATATCATCCTTCGAGACATCATGTCCAACGGCATGTAAGTCTATATTCCTTTGTCACTTAAAGATACATATACTAACACAGATCCTGGCATCAAGAAATAACCCATCCGGTATCTTCCTCGCCGCGACTGGACCGGCATACATAGTGAGTATGCCTCATACTTGGATATACTAGTTACAAACTAACAAATAAAGGCATTCGCACCTGTAGCAGCCGCGATTACAAAGCCCGAAAGCACAGTCCAGAAGCTCGTCGAGGCAGTTCTCGACTACACAGTTGGCAGCGATGTAGAATCTGGTCGTGCAATCCCCGCGCTTGCAGTCCTATATGCATTCTGGGCTTTTGCCGGCAGCGGCTCCTTGTCCGTTGCCGGACAAGCCATGTCCAGACCAAACGGTCTCGACAACGATCATCCTCGGAAGCACCGCGGGAATATGGAGGGTCTCCCACTGCGTCTGATGTCGGCCCATCATTCGCTGGTTGAAATTTTCCCATTGTTTGCGGCTGGGGCATGTCTCGCTCAAGTACTGGCTCCTGGTGATCAGCAGATATTGAATCTCTTGGGTCTTCATGTGTTGCTGAAAGTCTTCGTCTTCTATCCTTCATACGTTGTCGGTTTCGCACCGATAAGGTCACTGGCACATTTGTTTTCTATTTCTGCTATGGTCAAGGTTTTGTGGCTGCTGGCGAAATCTTGAAGGATGTGACTACTAGAATACAGGAGGAACGTTTGAATCAAGTATACTGGATTATCAACTCAATTTTCTTATGGTTATAGCTGGTCTCAGGTTGACAAGTTGTTGGAGCTCAACTCGAGACGTCCTACCGTACCCATAGTCCCTATGAGAAATGAAAGATAAATACTAAACTGCTGTAATCAAATATACCTAATTGGTTGAAAAATGTACTTTTGAAAGTCTAGACTCTGTATATCATAAGTTACAAACCCCGAAATACACTCTTGGAATACATAATTGATACCCAATTCCGAGTCTATTGTATGTAATATGCAAGGCAGTGGAAAGGTAACCATGCATCCTTACTCTAAATATAGCCGGCGATCCGGGTTTATGCTGATGCAGCCTTGCAACGTACCAAGACAGAATATATTCAAGGGTTATTCGGCAGAACCTTTAATAAAGGCCAAGCAAGCTGCCCACGAGTGACCTCGGGAGCGCCATGGCCTTTTAAACACGTTGAGTCTTCGGCTGTTCAGCTATGAAACAGCGTCATCTCCTATAGACAAGTTATCTATGTATAGCATACTCAATGCTGGGCGAGAACACCCTTCCGTTCCTAGCACCTCGAATATCTGTAGTGGACAAAAGAGTAGTGATACTATTCTCACTAGAAAAAGAAGGAATTTCTTACAAGACAAACAGGCATATATAGGCCCTGACTTTTCCCCCAACACCAAAAATGAAACCCGGCACCAGAATAACGAAAGACGCAAGTAAGAGCCAGACAGCAAGACATAATAGTCATAGCAAAGCATGGATCACAAATAAACAGATAGAAAACGACGGGCAATGAAACTTTGGAACCAAGCAAAACGATGAGGCGCCAATAGGTCCATACCATCATTGTTCCCAGTATGATCATGACGCCGGACCAATATGGAATGACAAGGAGAAGACAAAATATAAGAAAGGAAAAGCAACTGAGAGGAGGTCTAGTGTACATCGATAGGACGAGAAAAGCAAATTAAGATGGGTATCGTGATGCGAAGCAGCGGATAAGCTCAAAAGATGGGATAGAGCGAAAGAGGGAACCCTGCAGTGTGGTAGTCGCGGAGACTACCGTTCTCCAAACTTGCCGTACTCCTGCTGCCACTTGAGAAGATGGCGAGTTAGCACGTCCATCATCTCGACGCTGCTGAGATCCTTGAAATCCTTTTCATGGTTCGTCGACGACTCGCCGTAGCCGCCGTCTGTGGTTGCAGGGCCAGACTCGCCGCCGTCACTGCGTGTGGATGGCATGGCACTGTCGATTTGATCAACCATACTCTTCAAAAGCAGACCCTGGGTCCGGTCGCCGTTGCCCGTAGGCGTGGAGGAATTCTCGCTGGCAACGGCCATCTCCACTTGCATGCGCGAGATGAACTCCAGGATGGCTGCTACTCGGCGCTTCATCTCGTTCATCGTTGTTCGCTGTGGGTGCATGTGGCGTGGCTTGCTTGGCCGTCCTGACTCCCCACCATTGATGTGTGCTCCGTTGGCACCTCCGTAGCCAACTCGAGGGAGTCTCCGCCGATTTCGTGGGACTGGCCGCGACGCGGCGAGTTTGCCATATATCCGGAATCTCCATTCCCATTGGTGTCCCGGTCTTTCGTATATTGGTTTCGCCCAACACGACCACGACGAGCGGGAGGTCGACCGGACTTGCGAGTGGACGGTCGAACAGGTGTGGGCTCTTGGGGAGTCGGCGTGTTAGGGCTCGCTTGGGACGGTTCACGCTCTGGTGGTGCTGTCTTGGTTGGGGAACCGATTTCGTGCTCGGATTCTGTTATAGCGGTGTAAGAAAATGGACAGTTGTGCACTGCGGCTATGTTACTTACCATCTCCTTTGCGCCTGCTTGATCGTTCTTTCCGAACGGTTGGCCGCTTCCGGAGCCTCCGTCTCGCCCTCATCGGGCTCGTTCGCTGGCTCCTTCTCCAGCTGGCCTCGAGATGCAGTTCTTTGTCTGCGAGTCCCGTTTACCGGTTGTTTTGGTTTCGTCTCATCATCAGAGGGCGGGTGAGATGCGATATTGCTATGCCTCGAGATGGCGCTAGGTGACGGTGAAGCAGTTCGCGGACGTTTCGTGCGTTCTCTGCTCCTGGGTAACTGGTTAGCCACCTTATTCGAGTCAATGCTGTCCAGTCTGGGAATACGCACGTCACACTGTCACTTCGACTTCGCTTGCCTAGATGCGTGTCTGCCTCATCCGCATTGCTCTTGGTCTCGGCTTTGCTTTCCTCAATTGCGCGTCTGATCAATTCTTCTTCGTCGTAAGCAGCATCCCGGCTGTTCATTGTTGATCGCCGCTTGGCGTGCGCGGCGGCACTCTCGCTGGCCCGGGACTTGGGATCCTTGGAACGCCGTGATATATCTCTCGAGGAGGCACGAGAAGACGGGCCGGGTGACGGGGCCACCGTGGAGCTGACAGGTCCAACTGGCACTGCTGGCACCTCAGGTACCTCGGGCACCGCCGGGGCCGGAGCTGGGGCTGGAGGAGGTGGTGGTGGCGGCGGAACTGGTTCAGGTGCAACAGGAAGGTAGGTAGAGGAGCGTTGTCTGCCGGATTGTCAGTATGCTTCTTCAAGGTGTTCAATGTAGTGATATCGAGTAGTCGTTTGGGTATTATAACTGCTCAGCGGACTAATTGTGCACAAAGCTGCGTCTGAAAAACAGCCCCTCCAAGCAGAAAGAGCAAAGCACAACCGGCGAAAATATAGACAGCAAATGCAGGAATAGTAGAGCCGAGTGAATCAATGAATAATGGTGTTTCACTCACCCATCAGGTTCGTCTTTGATCTGGTGCAAATCCTTCCGGCACTCCTCGCAGAAATATTCGTCAGGACTCGTCGCCTCGTCCATGATTCCGACACAACCACCGTGTTGCCAGACTTTACACAAGTCACACTGGATGAACATGCTCCCAATCTCCTCTGACAGAGGATCAGATGGATCCGTGGGGACTTGTCCCGACTCCAGCTTGATAGTGCCGCGACCGAGGGCCTCGCGACGAGAAGCAGGCAAGCCCGGATAGTCTTGCTGACCGCAGAGACATCGAGTCACTTCCTCCTCCTCATCATCCAGGTCATCCTCGTCTTCTTCACGGGGTGGATCATCGTCGTCGTCGTGAGCGCGCTGGCGCTGCCGCGTATGTGGAAGGTCCTTCGAGCCACCCTCAGCATCATCGATGGACTGAGAGCGGTGACCGGTCGATTCGTGAGGGGAATTATTTTTGTGATTTGATCGAGTGCTTCTCTCTCGAGTAAGAGAATTTAAGGAGCTGGAGGAAGAGTTGGTGTGTTGTGGGAGGGCAGGAGAGGGCTGAGAGGTGCGAGCCCGAGAGGAACGACGAGGAGTCATGGTGGGAGAGGGCTGAGGAGTATAGGAGAGTATAAAAGAGAGTTCTGAAGACTAGATTAGGAAAAATCAACAGGTTCTCGAGACGCTGACTGGTATGGTTCCAGCAGTAACTCGAAAAAAAGCCGTTTGCGAGGGAGCTCTCGCGCGCGATTGAGAGCTCTTGGAGGGTGCAGAGTCAAGTGAAAAGGAGCAGGACAATTGGAAATCACAGATCTGTATAAAGGCGTCACAAGGCTCGATGAAGAGCCCGATGACTACATAGTCCGAGAAATGATTCCTTGTAATGGCGGGGAGGAAGAAGAGAAGGAGAAAAGCGCCGGAACGGGACTCCAAAAGATCCAATCGCCGGCTTCCCCGCTCTCGACGCCTTTCGACGCGCGAATCTTTCACCACTCATGCTGTTCGTGTTTCACTTTTTTCCCCCTCCTTGCCTATGAAGGAATTTAATGCTCGGTTTTATATGCGGCTTTTTTTTGCTATTCTTTCAATCAGATATTTACAGTGTACAATGGCTTTGTGGCCCACTAATTGAGGGTTGTATTTTTTCCACTATCACAACACGATAAAACAATGAACGAGCTTCCAAGCGAAATGGAGCTGGCCAGGGTACAAGCATACATATGTAAAATGCGATACTGTATAGGGCTGCCGATGTTCTCCTTTAAAAAACCGACGCAATGTGTCCCAGTGGGAATAACGTAGAGAGGCCAAGAAGGGCTCAACAAGGGTCAATGGCCTTGGGAGGCTTAAGCCGCAAAACTTGACTCTGGATCTTCCTATGCTGTAGGATAGGAACGATAATAATGACTGATCCTATGATTCCTATCGCCTGAAGTTCTGTATGTCTGTACCATCCTTCGTACGAAAAGTCCCTCTTATTCCGAGCCGAGCCCGTTTTCAGCATCGGCAAGACAACATTCGTCTAGTTGTGTGTTGAAGTTTATGGCATCGATTCTTCCCAACATATAGATGATGTGATTATTCTTCCGGACAAGCTCCAGGGTGGATGGGTGGTTGGAGAGGTGAAATGAGGCAGTGGGCAAAGCCTTCCGGAGGGGTTCCAAGAGGTCCGATTACGCGCGGTCGAGGTTCGTTGCGCGAGTTAGGGCTATCGTTCGTGGTAAGATCAGCAAGTCATGGCCAGCATTAATCAATCACTCCCACCAGCTCTTAGATGTCAAATTCCCTATGAATGCAGGTACCGGGAGTACCTATCTGGGAGAAGATCGGAGAGCTGGAATTTTCTTTTCTCTCAAGCAGAGAACCTGTCAATGCAATGGCATTATGTAGTCCGATGATAGTACATGGTGGTACCTAGCACGTATCACACCAAACATAAGCATCCCAGGTCCCTGATCTGCATTGTAGTTCTTCAGAATCATATATCCGTAAGTAGGTTGGTATTGCCATTTCTCCCCGAAGTCATTGGGTACGATTACCAAAAGTAGATTAGCGTGCTTTCTAAATTCCCGTGACTTGTCTCTTTCTCTTCATATTCCGAACCCCTCTTAAGTAGTTATTCCAGTTGTTCATTTGCCTTGTCTCTAGCACAGAGTCTGGGTTCCAGTTTGTTGCATTTCCTACCTTGGTTCCTATCCTATCTTGAATTTACAAAGTGCTGAGTAATAGCACTATTTCTGTGGGTAAGTTGATATTCGTGTCTCCGGGATTGTGGACAGCGCGAGGAACGCGGGGATTGGATAGATTGGATCGAGTCCCAGTTACATGTTGACCTCACCGCCTATGCACTTCTCGGAAGTTGTTGTTGAAAGGAAGAAAAGCTCATGACCTCGGACTACAGACATTGAAGACCTTACCCCCCAATTCGATACTCGACACCACACCCGACTTTTGATTTATTGGCACCTTCAAAAGCAAATACGGTGGCGGGGAAATAAAAGGACAGAGCCAAAGGGCTGGAATATTATCCTCGTAGCATCGTCGGCGGTTGATGGCGAGCGTGGATATCTTGCATGATGACAGCTACATTGAGTATGCCTGCTCAGGGACATCTGGTCCGGATGATCGGGGATTCCCCAATTCAGGACAAAGATGAACTAGTTGACGGAATACTGACGATGCTATGTAGACGGGGTATTCAATTCGTCCCCTGATACACCCTCTACCATTTACCCTGATCGTCTGATCCGTCCTCTGCCTCGACGGACCCTCCGTTCACGCCTTTCTTCTGATGCTGCCGACAATCTATTCTATCCTCCTACACCGCCGGCGTCTCAAATATTCTATGGTGTCTCTGCGGATTCCGAAGAAGCGGTGAATGAGTCCAAGGTTTATGTGCAGCAGACCGTGGAGACTGAATTGTCACCGGAGGCTGATAACCATGAATTTGAGACGTCAGTAGACTTGGAGAGCGGTGATGAAGGCGGTCCGATGGTTGTCCGGAGGAGTGGTGTTATTCGGAGATCTTCTCTGTCACCTCCCGTGTCTGGAAATCCACATAGCTTCCCTCACGACACACCACACACAAAATCTTCAACCGGGGACGGTTACGACGCGTTTGAGAATACGAACAACAAGAAAAAGCGAAAGATACCTACACCTGGGAACTTGGGAGGACACCATTCTGCGTTGTCTCCGGAGTTCGCCAGTATGGGGTTGGTCAACTCCACCCCGTACGGGTTCCCACCCCGACTGAAGCCACTGGCACATATTATGGGAGTGGAAACCCTGCATCACCTCTAGGAAATGGGATATCTGGTTCAGGGAGAGGTCGGTTGGGACGTCCTACTGTTCGTAGCAGCAGCAGGAACCCGTTATCGCCCAATGCCCAGCATGGATGGTTGAATGCCCGGACGCCCAGTCGGCGGGACGGGTTGATGTCATCCCCTGGCCCTTCTGGTATGCATTTCCCCTCCATTTCTAGTACACTGTTTGTTCTAACTTCTGCCCCAGGTGACTCTGCTTCTGACCAGGGAATTATCTCCACCGCCATTGCCAATGCCGCAACACACTCATCCCCACCTCGAGGTCCCAGCAACGTCAGCCTGTTGGAGAAAGAGAAAGAAAATACCACTCCGACGAAGACACAATTCACGTTCACGTGTGAGTCCGACTCGTCCAAGGGCATGGCGATGCAGCGAAATTATTCAATCCCCTATCGATCCCCCACTTCACCCCTCGGTCCGGCAAACCAAAAGCAGAGGGGCTCCTCCACACAAGGGACACAGACTAGCCCCGTGAACCACCAGGCCCCACCCAGTACGCAAGCACCCGCTCAAGGTGCGGAGCCAACTCCCGTGGGCCCCAAGAAGAAACGATCTCCAAGCAGCACATACGCACTGTCTGCACGTCAACGTAAGATCCAGCAGCAATACGCAAACTTCCATCATCCCCCGAGTCTCGAGGACATCTGGATTTGTGAATTCTGTGAATACGAGAGCATCTTCGGACATCCGCCCGAAGCCCTAATCCGACAGTATGAAATGAAAGACCGCAAAGAGCGCAAGCGACTGGCGGAGAAGAAGCGCCTTTTGGAGAAGGCCAAGATGAAGGGTCGCAAGACCAAGAAGGCGACGAAGAACGCATCGAAGAATGGCTCACAGCCGTACCAGCAGGGATACGACCGCGCTTCGGCTGACCACTCCTCCGGTGGGTCAGGTCTTCCGGATGATGAATACCAAGGACATGAGTATGATGATGATGAAAATTCGCCGATCCCACCCTCCGCCCCTGCGTCCCCCGTAGAACTCAAGCCTCCACTGCCCAATGGAAACCATCCAAAGGTTGCAGCGTCTGTTCACGGCATTAAGGGTGCAGCGGATTCCGGAGCAAGTCGACCGGCGTAGTCGATCTACCGCGTTCCCATAACATCGCATTTCATCATTTCATCATTGCAAATGTTTTATTTTTCTCGGGTTGACAGGGTGTTTGGGTGTTTTTTTGAGGGGTGTTCTTGGAAGGAAATCCCCTTCTCAAGGAGATGTTATGGCGAGCCACTGATGAAAGTTCCTTGTTGGAGTCCGTTATTCTTTGTAATTGTAATGTCCATCCATGATATGTACTGAGTCAGATGTGAAATGATCCAATGTCCTTGTAGCATGTATGTGTTTTAATTATCTTAATTATCTTAACTTGATTTGTATACTCTGCAGTAAACCCATCCCAAAAATAGATCGTATTTTGATTGGACCTCGAGCAACTTGCACTTGAAACAATCTCAAACCCGAATTGGCGCGCGCGAACTGAAGCTGCCCCCACTAAGATGCCAGGATTCTAAGCCCTACAAGACCCCAGACTGCTAGCTTGGTGTTAGCTTTTGATTCCAGGGGGTGCTCGGCATTCTATTTTGATCTACCCGTTTCATCTTCTCATCCCCGATGGGTTGTTTTTGGATGAAAGACGAGGATACACAGTGGGGAACCCCCAGTACCGCGCGCTCAAAGGATATGCGTTTCATGTTGGACTGCAGATGTAAGAAAATAGCAACATTGGGCTTTGTCTTCACGTTCTGAAGAATATACAGGAAACGAGCATAGGGCTGGTCTATAAAGATCAAAGCCCCGGCTATGCTATTGATGGAATCAGGCACTTTCATTCTATTCTCATTCTTCATTCTTTTGTTCTATTTCTATTATACCTTTTGAATACGGGGCTTCTCTTTATCCTCCTATCCAGCTATACAATACAATAGCTTCATCCTTATTTGGCATCTGGTCTGCTGAATCTTTGAAGACTCGTCTCATTCGAATCCATATTTCTCTACTTGTCAACATAATCGCTGCGCTGTGCGCCATATCCTAAGCATTTCCCTTTGCTTTCATCCGCACCTTCCAACTACCAGCTACTCCATCACCAAATCACCAAATCACCAAATCACCAAATCACCAAATCACCAAATCAAAAGAAACAAAATGTCTTTCCTCGCCGTCCCACTCCTCAAACTGGGCTGGTCCCAAGCCAAAAAGCACAAAGCCAAAAAAGACGCCCAAAAATACCAAGCCCAAAACGGCGTCTATCCCCCAACCTACGTCGAGCAACACCCAATGAGCGGGTATCCAGCCGGCGCAACGCCCGGCACAACCATGCACTTCGACCCACCCGAAGAAACCAAAAGCACCAAAATAACCTTCATGTTCTTCTCCGGCCTCCGCTTCCTCCAATTCGTCTTCGGCCTAACCGTCATCGGCCTGTACGGCAAAGACGTGCACCACGACCACGCAGAGAAACACGTCTGGCACTCGAAATGGGTGTATGCGCTCGTCACGGCGTTCCTGGCAACCGTCACCGCAGCCATCCACCTCGTCTTGCCGTTCGTGATGCGCAAGGCTAAGACCAGTGCTGGACAGCTGCTGCTGCCGCAGTTTGTGTGGGAGTTTGTTGTTACCGTGCTGTGGTTGACGCTGTTTGGTATCTTTGGGAAGATGTATATTGGTGTTCATCCTGTGGAGAAGGGGGAGAAGACGGATGATGCTGTTTCGGCGCTGGGTGATGCGTCGAAGATTAATCGTATGCGTCATGCTGTTTACGTTGATGTTGTTAACTTGGCGTTCTGGGTTATGACTGCTTCTTGGGTTTTGGTGCGTTGGTTGAAGAGTCGCAGGTCGGCTGTTGCTAGTGGGTTTGATGCTGAGAAGGGTGGGCAGATTTAGGTGGTTTTGAGGGGGTGCGTGCTCGCTTCGATAGTGGGCTTACTAGGTATCTGGGATGGATAGATGCCTTGGTGGCATCGGATGGAAAAGGGGGTGATCACATTTTCATTCGTTTGTTCTTTGTATCTGGTGCTTGGGCTCGGGAGTCATGGTGTATAGTGGTTTTGCCTCTTTTCATGATGGCGTTATTCCAATACAAGGAATCAAGCTTACTTCCGAGACATAGTTCCGTGACTCCGGCTAGAATTTAGACTCATCTGTAGAGGCTGACGTCGTTTACTGCGCAAATGCTGAATTAGAATACACAGGATAACCCCCAAGGAGTCACTTGCATATCATGCATATTAATGTTTTTGGTATTGGAGACACTCAATTTCGATACAGTGAGCGAATGCCACCTCCTTATCTTCCATATCTTCCATAGTAACCTGCATCTGCTGTGGAGCTATCCCTTCACACGTCCAGTATTTCCGAGATCTTCAGGTCAGTATGCTCTGAGGCATGGTAATGTACAGTATGTTGAGCTGCCAAAGTCATCGCTGAAACAGATGTGTCTTCCCCGAGGAGTCATTAACCTCCAGGTCAAGACTCTGTGTTCCAGTGAGATATCACAATCCCACTCTCTTCATCGCAGATGACAGCAACGAAGCCTCCTTCACAACGGGTGCAACAGTCGGTTGTACAGCCGGGAGGCCTTGGTCAACATTCTCATGGTGCGAGACCAACTTCTTGAAAGGCTGCAACACAGGAAGTGTCGAATCCAGAGCATCGATATCCGTCCAGTCCCCCTCAACATCATCCGGAGAAGCCAGCTGCGGCCCACCAGGCATGTCGAGGTGGCTCTCCATAACCCCAAACGATGGGGTAATCTTGCAAAAGTCCTCGGGGCTCAACATCGGGTGCCGGAGGGAAGAGGCCGGGGAAACGGAACAGGAGACGTCTTTGGTGCTGCTTTCGCAGCCTCGATGGCGGAAGGCTCATCGAGGAATTCGTCGTCGAATAGTGGAACAGACGGCTTGACGGGCTTCGGCTCAGGCGCAATTTCACGTCCCAGATCACGCGCGATTTGGTCCTCCTCGTCACGGAAGCTGAGGTGCTGCAATAGACCCAGCTCAACATAGCTGTCTTCGTAGAGGGTGTCAGCTCCATCGGCATTGTTGGTGGGCTCGGAGCGCCGGCGACTTGAGGGTACAGTTTTCGGGATGGATGTCTGCGAGGACTTGCGGCGGTTGAAGACTGGACGGCGGCGCGGGCCACGTCCGGTGCGTGCCGCACTAAGGTAGGTCTTCTTGGGACCTTGCTGGCCCACGTTCTCTGGAGTGGCAGCTGACTCAGTAGATACGGATGCCTTCCTGGAACCCTGGTTGCCCACCTTCTCGGGCACGAGTGTAGACTCGGAATCCATCGAGGTCTTCTTGCGACGCTGATGGCCCACGGTACCTGGATTGGGAGTGGGCTCAGCAGCCATATTTGCGGTGGGAGAGTTGGAAGGGTCGAGTGTTATTTTTGTGCCGATGGGGAGTGTCAAGAAGCAACCGAGTTGCTTTCTGTATTTCAACCTGTGAAGGCTGCGGCTTTTTCAATATTGGTTGAGGAGAACAGGCTACGGCAGCGCAGCCTGGCTGATTATTATTGATGAGCTTGTATGAACCGTCAATATGGGGTTGATATGGTGCGATGTAGAACAAACTTGTGTTTACCTTTTCCTCTTTGTCGCCAGTCCCAGCAGTCCCAGGCAACGGTGGGATGATCACCCTTTGTCCGACTAATACTGCCGATGCCTTGATGCGTAGGATAAGACGGTCAAGTGTATGGGGATTCATGTGGCTGGAGAGGTTTTTAGCACCCCAAATCCTCCAGAAGAGATGTTCTAGGCGACGGTCGGTCTCATCCTTACTAGCCTGGTGCGAGGTCGAGTAGGCTGTCTGTCGTCAGTCAGCCCGTCTAGATATGTAGGGGTGTTACGTTACCTTGCCAAAGGTTCTTGTAAACACCATTATTTAATGTACCCTGCTCCAAGATCTCGCTAGGCGACACACTTGACATGGTAACCAGACCTTGGGGGAGCTTTGGCTCCATCTTGTATGTTTGTTCTGACAAGTCGAGCTTGGGATATTCTGAGACGTTGACTGTGCAGGGAGAGAAGTCCGAGACAAGTGACGTGAGAATTGGCGATCGAAAGAACGAATCAAGTGATACTGTTGAATGGCGGCTGTACCAGTCGTGCTGATGTAAAGTCAAGGCTCGATATCATCCTTTGTATTCAGCACAAACCGAACGCCGGCAAGAGAAAAAGAAGAAAGAAGCCAAAAGAAGAAACGAAGAGCCAGTTCAACCGGTGAGTTTCGAAGATAGAAGTTTTCTCTATTCCCAAGGTGTCGTACTACTTTGTATAGCAAGTCGAAACTTTGAGGCTCCAAGATATTCAAGGTCAACTTGAAGCTGAGGTACGTCAGTTGGAGCTTTCAGACATGCTCAACTGGTTTTTAGGTATGAAGATCATGACTGTAAACGCTTCATGCACTCCGCACTCCACAAAGGGGAAAAAAAAGTAAAAAGTAAAGAAGTTTGGGGACAAAGAATTTGAGGAATGTAGTACCCCAGGGTTCGCCCTTGCCTGTAGCGGTCAAGGTGGGGGAACCCCTTCGATTCCAAATCGGACTGAATAGATCTTCCTTAAATCTCCCTTAATCTCTCTCCTGCCTAAATCTGCCTAAATCTCCTAAATCTCCTCAAATCTTCCTAAATCTCCTAATTCCCGAACTTCATCTCCGGATCACCGGCACGGGCCGGGATTGGGCTTCACCGGTCTTATAGACGTGAAGTCTATATGATAGAGGAAAAAGAAGCGACTACTACTTCACAACTGCGAATAAGACTAAAACGCTACAACTAAGACTAAAACATAAAAGAGAAAGACTGAAAGAAGCCTCCTCATCGTTACATTCCGAATTGCGCGTCCTTTTTGCAAGCAGGGATATAGCAGACACAGCCCTATCGGCGGCCGACTTGCTAAATATGACACAGAACACCCTAAATACGACCTAGGAAAGAACCTTGGAAAACCCTTCAGAGCAAATCAAGGAGCTTTGCCGAGGTGACATTCACATCCTGGATTCGGTACATCCACTAAGGGAGCATCTCTCAAGTATGTGGTATGCGGAGAAATCCCGGGGGAGGCTGTGATTGGGCCTGGTGTGCTTCTCCGGAATCCACTGCAAACGATCTAGAAGATCCATAGTAAAAACGGTAGTCTTGGAAATCTTCAACTTCCTAGTTGGTCCGTCAGATATTGAGCTCACAGGGAAGTAGACGAAGCAGGCCAGTAGAGAGACTACCAAAAGCGGAAGTTCATCTATTTGGTGGTTGGGTGTGCAGCCCAGTTTATGCGTCAAATTCACAAGCCCTAAATAATTCCTGTAGTTACAGCTATCTATACATTCTTGCATGTAGACATCTTCTCGCGAAACCGCAGAGCGACAAACCTGGCCGCCATAAGAGACACCCCACTTATCACCATGAGCAGTAACATGACCCAATTTCCTCACCGGTAAAATTTGCACAGAAACAGCTCCAGTAAAAGTCTAACTATCACCGCCGCCAGCAACACACGATAAGAGATAATGGATATGCCAATTTATTTCATAGGAGATCCGCAGAAAATTGCAAGACTCAGCCTCTCGTTTGAAATACACCTATTGCTTGTATGCGTCGGGCTGCGAACTCTGTGCACACATGCACGTACTTTGCTTTTGCCGAGAAGCCGCTGCAGACGAGTTCCTGCTAGTACGATAACTTCATCAGGCATTGCTGGGACAGAAATGAAGGAGGCAGCCAGTCCTATACTCTCGCTATCAAGCTTATCCGTTGTGCTAAGATCGGCGATTTCCAGCCCATCACGTTCTTCTGTGGCCCGGATCAAAATTGTCACTATGCTACTGTCCATATGAGCTGGACTGAAATAGACTCTATCGGAACCCAGTTTATCAGAGTCATAAAAGTTGACACCTAGAGATTCATAGTCGAGAGATGGTGTGCCTACCAAGGGCTCGGTCGAGTCTAGTATAGTAGACAATGTCTCGAATAGCGGACTTCGCATATTGGCCCACTCCTTAGAGGGAAGAATTAGTTCTGGATCACAACGCCAAGATACGACTTACACGCTGTAACTCCTCCACAGAAGATTGAAATCCTGAAGGGGGAGAATGAGTGTGATAGTTCTCCGCGCTCTTTTTATAGCAAACGGTTTCTTTAGGAATGGCTGTTTTCCCACGAATGAGTTCTGTGTCGAAGCCCGAGTAACCATTCGTTTTCTCTTTCACTTCGATTGGTAGATTAAAGAATTCACGAGCCTACGGCCAGAGGTTAGAAGCAGAACTCAAAGCTGGCTTTATAGAAAGAAAGGCCATTACATTTTGGAAAACACTCTGTACAAGATTTCGAGTGAGGTGAGGGGCCACAACGCGAAAAGCGCCAAATTGGCGTAAAGCTGCTTGTGTACTAGAGATAGTAGAAGAGGTTTGCTTTCTAGTCAGATCGATAAGTGGAAGGCAATCTTTCGCCAGCATGCTGATGGGAAATGGTAAGGAATACTGATTGCATAGGGGAAATTCCCCGCTTTCCACGGAAGGCATCACCTGTACTGACACCCAAAGTATCAGGCATCAACATTACCAAGAGCCTCATTTAGAAATACATGCATAGTAGTCGACTTGTCTTCCTGTTACGGTCATTGAACCGATGAGAAAGATAAATTGGTCAATCTTAAAGGTTGGAGAGCTGCCAGAGTGGTTAAAGGACTCCTTGATGTATCTAGTCGGACAATAACGGCAAGTGGCACAACCTTGGAATCATCGGCCGGGGCGCTTTGGACACTGATACTTTTTAGGTTTGCGGCTTAAAGATTGTATCCATGGATCCATACAGACAAAACCTTGGAACTATAAAGGTCCATCATCTTTAATTTCCAAGGCTCAGGCTACAAAAGATAGTAGTAATTCGAATATGTAGCCATTTTCGAAGGATCATCTACAAGAATAGTCAGTCGCTTACTGGCGTCTGTCCTTGATCACATACCGTTTTAATTATCTGTTCCATTTGGCTCAAGATGTTTCTTTTTTGGGGTTGTCTTGTATGTTCATACTAGCAAGCAATCCACAATGCACACATTTCATCAATTCCTGATACCCACACCAAGTACTTTGCACGATCGTAACGGGGAGATCGGAACAGGTTCCGCCGGAATCCAAGTTCCAGTCATCCGAGGTGCATCCCGGAATGTAGGTGCGTCAGATTAGGTCTATTAATTGTTGGATCTTACATTCCGCAAGGAGGTGCCGAGATATCTAATTAGCTAGACAGGGCGTGGATGTTTCAGATTTCCTTTTCCTGGGTAGGACACAAAGGTCTAGACCAGCTATCGTGTCATAGCTCTTTTTTGTGGGGAGCTATTTATTATTATGGGCTCCCACAACTGCATGATTCAAGTTATACAGTGGTATTTTTGAAAGCAAGTCAAAGTTCAATGTGCTTTTTAACCGAAGTACATATATCCCTCGGTAATTTCGTGGCTTCAAAAAATGCAAAACGCAAGATGCGTGGACAGATTATCCCGCAGCTTATGCCGTAAAATCTGACCGGTCTATATGTCGGATTCACATCCGTAAAGGAAAGAAAAGCCAGTATCATGCAATAGGGATATCGCAAAGCGAGATTAAATATCGCGCAGGTAACGTGCTTAGGTTACGGTATAGCCGCCGTCAACGCGGAGATCCGCTCCAGTGATGTACTTGGAGGCATCGCTGAGCAGGAAGGTCACGGCACCCATCAGGTCCTCCGGTGTACCCATCTTACCGGCGGGGATGAGAGCTGTCCATTGGTCGCGAAGCTGGGGGTTCTCATCAAGGATCTTGCGGGTTCTAATGATGAAGGCAACATTAGCAACAATTCGATTCTCTACTCAAGTATATCTGTCATTTGGGGGTACTCACAAAGCAGTAAGCATATAGCCGGGGCTAATGCAGTTAACACGGATACCATGTCCAGCCCACTCCACAGCGAGTGAAGCAGCAAGGTGGCGCACAGCAGCCTTTGCGGCGTTGTAAGGAGCCTGGGGCTGGGGAACGTTAACGATGGAGCCGGACATAGAGCCGATCATGACGATGCTACCGGGCGCTTTGCGCTCGATCAGATGCTTGGCAACATTGATAGCGAAGAGGTATGTGCCATCCACATTGACGCCCCACAGCTTCTGCATACGATCGAAAGGGTAGTTTATGGCCTCGAAGTTCTCCGTGAAGCCCGCCGAGGTGACCAGGTTATCGATCTGGCCGTGCTTGGCCAGGACTTCGGCCATGGCGGCATTCACAGAGTCGGGGTTGGCGACGTCCGCATAATGGGCGGTGACATTGGGCATTCTGTTTGGAATTAGCCACTGCGGCAAGCTGAAATGATATAGCAATGGACTTACTCTTCCAGACCAGGATTCTCTTTGCGGAACTGCTCGATCAACGAGGCAGCCGCGGACTCGGCTTCGTCCTCTGAGATAGATGTTAGGATAACTGCATTTTCTCCGGGTATGTATGGGGGTTGTATGGCATACTGTTAAGATCAATGATAGCCAAATCTGAGCCGGAAGCGACTAGGCCTTGGCCCATGACCAGACCCAAGCCACGAGCACCACCGGTCACCATGCTGACTTTCTTCTCAAGTGAGAATTGGGCCAGTGTACGCTTGAAATGCATGCCGCCGCGCCCCTGGGCCACGGGCTGAGTGGGCATCTCGCTGTCGGGAGGGTATTCGATTTGGACACTTTCATCAGTGCGAGCAAATTGGCCCTCCTTTTCACCAGAAGCACCCTCAGGAGCTGCGGTCGTAGCGGACAGGATGGGGTCCTTTGCGGGGTCATCGCTCTTTTTCTTTCCGAGTGAGGCTGTGTATGAGAGAGGGCGGGTGAAGCCTGTAGCTGGGCGAGCGGCTGCAAATGCAGGGCGGGCGGTGTTCAGGGCCTTGATGGCATTGCGTGCGACTGCCGGCTTGAACATTTTGAAGGTCACAGGTTCAAATGCCCTGGAGCTGGGGAGGTATTAGGTTGAGAGAAACGCGATATATAATGTATGTACGGAAGAATATAAGGGAAGATATGAGGTGTCGGCAGGAGGAAAGGGCCTAGCTAGGGGGATAGCAAACAAAGCAGGTCATCGGACCTCATTATTTTCAGGTCAAGGGCTGGGGAATGCGACAATTGCGGTGAAAACAAGCCAATGGATAGCTGGCGTGGGTCTACGGACTACCTATTCTGGTCTTAAGGTGTTTTTTTTTATTTATTAACTTGAATCAGAGCTCGAAAATATAGAAAGTCAAAGGGCGAGACCGTGATGTCAGATCGATCGGCGGTTACCAGTTTCGCGGTATCACATTATAGCGTGCTTTTGTTTATTAAACTATGGAGTACTCCGTACCTCGTACGCTAATATTCTTTCAAATATTTTCCAATATCTCCATATTTTAGAGCTTGCTCCTTGGAATTGCCTATTATTTGCCAAACCAGTCACTTTCTGCACTTCGGGGGGCAACGTGGCCACATAGGCCAATGGCGAGCTCGGATTTACCTCTGTGGTCATTTTTGTGTCATGCAGTTTGCAATTTGCCACCGAGTAGTTACTTGTAGGGATTACTCGGTGAATAAATAAAGCCCATACATGGTACTTCACCGGGGCCATCTCTATACATAGATGCCTGAAAGTATGGGGTAAATGGTAAATAGTGGACCGTCTTTGTGTGGGGAACCCCGTTGGACCCAGTTTTGTGTGGACAAGTCAGACAATCCTTATTGAGGTATTCGGTATTTGCTATTAAGCTGCTATTTTACTATTCATTTCATATAATACTGAATTTAATACGACATTGTCCCTATCTAACTTTCATGGGATCAACAGTCATTAATCATGTATAATTGCAAGGCGAGATCGAAATTGATACCTAGGTAGGTTAACTCCACATTTGCGTATTGACCTTGGAAGCCATCCGCAATAGTATAGACATCAGGATATATAACCTGGAATCTGTACGTCTTAATAACAACTGAAAAGTACCTAGGTACCACTCTACTCGGACTCGGCGAATTCCACCAGCGGTGTTCCGCTTTTGCATTGATCCTGCAAGGCAAATGTTAGTCAGTTGTTCTTGAATCGTTCATTGTAGGGTCTTTTTTTTCTCTCCCAAGTGTAACTTCCGAGGAAGAAAAGAAAAACGGCCCAGGCAGCTAATAGGGTCACAGAAAAAGACAAAGATTCAAATGAAACAGAAAAGATGTCACGGGGGTCTCTAGTCAGGGGGAAAGGCGCGTGACTTACTCCTTTTTTATGCACGACCCGCGCAATGGTCCCCCGTTGTGGACTGCGAATCACCGTCTCCATCTTCATGCTCTCGATAACAACCAACGGCTGATCCTTCTCCACCACGTCTCCCGCCTGCACCTCGACCCGCAGCACTTTACACGGCATCGGGGCCAGAACGCTGTTGGTCACATCCTTCAGTCCCAACGCCTTCTCCATCCACTTAGCCCGGGGCACCGTAAGCCGGTACTGAGTCCCACGCTGGAATGCTATCAGAGTGTCCTCGTCTCGAATCACTGTTGTATCTAGCCGGGTGTGTGCGAAAAATGATGTAACAATGTGTGATGCCTGATCCATGCGGCTCACAGCCTGCTCAAAGACTCGCCCGCCGACTTCAACGTTGAATGTGTCATCTGCCGTCTGCTGCACTCGCACATTGAACGTAGTGCCGTCGCTAGATCCTGGGACGGTGGTCTCGGTAAATGACAACTGTCGCTCTTGGTAACTAGGCGTGAACCCGACCGTTGAGCCTGCAACACCTGCCGAGGATCGCGCCCCTGAGACGGCATCGCGATGTAGACAGGCCAATGCGACCTGGGCAAGCACCTCTTCCTCGATAATCTTTGGAGGGAAGAGCTCTTCGCGGTGCTTCTCAATGTAGCCAGTCTCGACCTCACCAGCAATGAAATCCGGGCTCTTGCAGATGGTCTTTAGGAACTCGATGTTGGTCACGGGTCCTGCGACTTCATACTCTTCCAAAGCAGCAGCCAGTTTGCGGAGAGCCTCCTCACGATCCGCGCCGCGCACGATAAGCTTGGCGATCATGGGATCATAGTGGGCTGAGACCTCGTCTCCTTGCACAAATCCAGCGTCAATGCGAATGTCGTCCGATGTAGCTGGCGTTCGAACATGGAGTAGCCGTCCTGAGTCAGGGATAAATCCCTGCTCTGGGTTTTCGGCGTAAATTCTGGCCTCGATACCATGGCCACTCTGGGCGATATGCTCTTCCACTTCTTCTTGTGTAAGGGGAAGTTTGGCTCCTTCAGCCACTAGGATCTGCCAGTGGACAAGATCCTGTCCTGTGACCATTTCAGTCACGGGATGCTCGACCTGCAGACGGGTGTTCATCTCCATAAAGTAGAAGTCCCCGGAGTCATTATCAAAAATGAACTCCACTGTACCGGCACCTTCGTAACCGACGGCCTCTGCAGCTGCCCGGGCCTTTGCCCAGAGGTCCTTTCTGGTTGCATCGGGGAGATGAGGCGCAGGGGATTCCTCTAGAACTTTCTGGTGTCTCCGTTGAATACTGCAGTCTCGCTCTCCTAGTGCAACGGAGTTACCGTGCTTGTCTGCAAATACCTGCACTTCGATGTGCCGCGGTGTGGTGATATACTTCTCCACCAGCACATTGTCATCTCCAAACGAGCTCATGGCCTCTGACTTGGCCGACTCAAGCTGAGCTTGGAACACCGCCTTGGAACTGGCAATACGCATGCCCTTTCCACCACCTCCTTTGACGGCTTTGATAAGCACCGGGTATGTGATACGGTCCGCCTGCTCCTCGAGGAAGGTAGGGTCTTGATTTTGTCCGTGATAGCCTGGGACACATGGTACACCGGCAGCTGTCATAATCTCTTTGGAACGACTGGTAGGGAAATCTCGTGAGTAAGTGGGCATTCAAATAGCACAATGAACGTACCTCTTGTCACCCATATCCTCAATGGCCTTATACGGCGGACCAATGAAGACCAGCCCGGCCTCGGTACATTTTTGCGCAAATGCAGAGTTCTCACTCAACTGTGTACCAAGCTCTAAGTTAGTATTGTACCTATAATCCATCATTAAACTATGCACAGCCAACTTACAAAGCCGTAACCAGGGTGTATCGCTTGACACCCTTGTTTCTTTGCAATCTCAATAATTCTATCACCATCGAGGTATGCTGACACAGACCCTAAGTTAAAGGCGAAGGGAGAGCTCAAGGCATGCTGAGCTCGGCTATCCGGGTCGGTGTAGAGTGTTGTTACGCGGATCCCACGTTCGGCGGCAGTGCGTCCAACTCGTCTAGTATGTCAAAGTTAGCACCACCAATTTCATTTAATTCAGTGCCCAACATACAAAGCAATTTCTCCTCGATTAGCTATAAGAATTGAATCCAACGGCTTGGTTGTATTTGATGTGTTGGTGGCCGATGATACAGCTCGCGATGTTCTGCGGGCCGCATTTGGGGTTAGGCGGGGCGTAATGCGGAGAAGGGATGAGAGGGTCATGACGGTGGGAGAGCAGCCCTTTCAGCTGCTATGAGGTTTTTACAGAGAGTAATTTGGATCACAATGTAAGCATAATCGAGGTAATTCGAAGGGATAAAGTAGAAGAATGGGAAAATCTCAAGGGATTTGGAGAAGCTCCTGTTGAGCCGACGCAAAGCGAGATTGCGGGGAAAGCCGAGGGTATGACATAATCAGCCGCTTTGGGAAGTGTATGGTCACGAGGCATTCCACAGTACTAGTACGGAGTGGATGTCTGCTGAAATTTTTGTATGGCTAGCCAAGTGTATAAAACACAGGGGATATTGGTACCGACCAAACGAGGCATTATGGGTGATGCCTCGTTATTGTTGAAAACGCATGGGAAAACTGGGAAGTCTTGGATTCCGGGTGGGTTACTTGGGACATATACACCCGCCTGTTACTTTAACAGCCCATCTATGGATTTATACGCTGGGTATATCCGAAAATATGTACCCATACCTCTACCTCCTCTGCTTTATTGCAATCTCAACAACATTACAATTGGGAGTCCCGCGAACAAGGCCAAGTGATAAGCCAGCGCACTGGCCAACGGATGCCGTCGCGTCACACAGTTCCCGATAAACCTGAACATAAGCAAGTGAGCCAAGCTGATAGTACAAGGAATGTAAATGGAAAGACAGAACGCTGTGTGGTACGAACACACTCTGGGATGGTTTAGCGGACTTCCACCTCACCTCTGCTCCCGTGATATCAAGTCTCAGGCTTCCAAATCATTAAGCAAAACCTTGATAAGGTAAAGTAAGCTGACGATGGCGACAAGTCCCTGGTTGAATTTCGGGAGATAAAAAGAATGATAAATCTATCTCAATAGTAGTGGGGGATCTTCTTGTCCTGGAGGGTTATGGAATAATTGTAAAGCCATACATAGCTCACGAGGGCAACCTCTATTGCCAGCTTGGATCTTAATAGAACAGCGAGCATCCAAACGTGGACATGCGATCCTATAATACTGATGTAATCCCGGCGATATGCCCCGGACAGGACTTCCTGGATAGGAATGTCTTATCTGTGCTGTAGCACACTGCCTAACTGAGTCAATCCAAGCCGAGTACTTTGTAACTATACCTGCTTTTGTCGCACCGACTATTAAAGAAGGGTGCTTGAGATTCGATTATATCTTTCTTGCTCCTATGCCATAACACCTGTTTTCTAATTTGAGAACCAACAACAATTACCTTGTTAGGTTCTGGCTATTTGGTCAACACATTATAGCCATGATGAATTCTTTCAGCCTGCTAAAGCAATATATCTGGGACTCTTCCCAAAAACCCATCAAGGAAGATGTATTCGATCCAAAGGTATGTGAATCTAGACAAATTTCGACGATTAGCCAAAGCTTTGCCACTAAGGTTTCATCCAACAGGTGCACCTCAACTACACCCCGCCTTCAAAGAAATTTACAATGCGAGAGTTGCTTCTAAGGCAGAGTCCAGCTGCCTCGCCCATTGCCGGAACAGTGCCATTCCCACTGTTGTCAGCCGAGGGAGTCAAAGCCTACCGAAGGGCGTTATTCCAAGAAGATGTTATAGGCAAATGTGCCAGTTCACCATTCCCAGGGACATTGGTTCTCCGTGACGCTGTGAAACAGTCCAAGTTCATCAATGACTTTTGGACGCACCCAGAGACAATGAGGATTGTGTCCGAAACAGTCGGTGTACCTCTGGAGGTGGCGATGCCAACGGAGATAGGACACACCAATATACAAGTTGAAGGCACTACTATCGCACAGATGGCTAGTAACCTCAAAGTTGAGCCGGCGGTAGAGAAAGTCGAGTTGAGTGACGAGGAACGACACTACGACCCTCTGAAAGACGATAGTGCTATCATTCCGTGGCAGTAAGTTCATCCTAGCCATCTTGCTTGTAGCAGACTGTACTGATTAGAGCAAAGCCACGACTCATATCCTTACGTTTGTGTATTGATGCTGAGCGATACGGACGGTATGATCGGAGGCGAGACATATATCAAGAAGGGAGACGGGGAGGTACAGAAGGTGCGTAGGAATCTAATCTTACTGAAACTGAAATATTCTCACTAACCCTGTGAAGGTTGAGGGGCCTCAGATTGGTCATGCCGTCATGCTCCAAGGCGGCGAAGTCTGTCATCTGGCTGCCCGCGCGAAAGGTGTGAAGGAGCGGATATCAACTATCACTTCATACCGTTCGAAAATGCCAAACGTCTATGACTCCAGCTATATTACCAACGTCCGACCTTATGCGGATACAAACTCTCTCTATCCCGAATGGACACAATACCGTCTGCGCAAACTGAGAGATGAACTTACCCATCACCTCGACCTGATGGAGAAAGAAGAAGACCCTGTCCAAGCGAGGAAGGATATCCAAAACCTTGTAGACCAGCAGATCGATTATTTACAACGAACCTCTCGACAGATGGTTGACCCTGAGTATACTCAGCAAGTTTTGAGGAAGTATGGCAGGCCGGCATACTATGACGCACCTAGTATTTGGGAGACTGTTCAATCACTACCGGGATTTGAGAGACTTGCATCGGCCGCAGATGATGAACGACGTTGGAAGCCGGAGAGTATCTATTGGATGGACCTTTGGAGATCCATTGAAACGATTCGGTTGGGGAAGCCTCTTCACAGTGCTCTCGGAACTGCCGTGCGGGAGAAGACGAAAAGGTATTACATGGGGGATGAACTTCTGCGACAAGGACTTAATGAGGCATTCTTGGATTATTTGGGATGCTCGGGTATCTGGGAACTTTACTGCACCATTTGACTGGGAAAGAATTGAGTCAATGTACGATGATTGTCTTTCTATACTGTTAATATAGTGCGATGTCTATACCTACATGAAGAACCCAAGTAATTATAATAAATTTGATTCTTGTTGGGTCACCAGACAATCCGGAAAGAGGTGCCATGCCCTCCCCGAACCGTCCAGCAACAACTATAATAAACCTTTGATTTTGTCACCGAACAGGCCGAAAGAGAGGTGCCATGCCCTCCTCGGACTGTCCAGCAACAATACATGGAGTATCATTCAATACAAAAAGTAGAGCCCAATACCCATCTCTCCTCCAACATAAATTCGAGGCCTCGTTAAAACCAGCTGGAGGAAAACCCTGTGGGACAAATACAACCAGCTGGAAAGAGTACCTCGTACATAGATTGAATCCAATTTCCCTTTGTTTTCCCTTGAATTTCCCCCGTATTTTGTTTTTGATGTTTTGTGGTTGTTTGATTTGATTTTTGATTTTTGATTTTTTGATTTTTTTTTTTTGGATCGTGCCGGTTGACTTGTTCGTCGGTTTTGTTCGGATGTTTTTTGGATGTTTTTTGGATGTTTTTTGGATGGGGATGTTTTTTTTTGGTGTTTTTGAATGTTGGAGGCATGGGTTGCCATGCCCCTTTCCCTGGGGCCCGTCGAACGGGCAGTGATGGCAGCCCCCGCCCATTTCCTCCTCGTTTGATTCCCAGTGGTGGCATGGGCTGCCATATGTTTTCTTCTTTGGGGCCCGTTCGACGGGCAATGGTGGGCATGGCAACCCAGGCCAGTTTCCTCCTCCAAGGCAAGTTCGATGGGCAGGTGGCATGGCAACCCGTGCCCATTTTCTTCTTCAGCGCGTGCAGTGGGCAGTTGAGTACTTTGTTCCAGGACTCGTCGGGTGGCACGGGTTGCCGTGCCCATTTTTCCTTCATGTCGGACCGATTCGATTTTCCTCCGAAAGGGGTTCCCGTTCCAGGACGGCAGTGCCGAGCCGTCAATGTCTTTGAGAGATTGTCTTGAGTTGTGGAATTGAGGCCTCGTTAAAACCGGGCAGGAGAAAACCCCGCGGGGGAAAAGCTTCCAGCCGGAAAGAGTGCCTCGAATGCTCGTGTGTTGTAGTAGGAGCATTGTGGTATCAATGACACCGTGGTGAATGTCCAACTGGGAGAAAACCACGTGGGAAAAGCTCCCAGTTGAACGGGGGCTGTTCACCAAGAGATGTTCAACAAAGTCCAGCGGGCAGAAAACCCTGTGGGAAAAGCTGCCGGGCTGGATGGGATGAGAGAGGCATTCACAGACATAGAATGGACCAATCCCACACGATGTCAACTTCGGGTGCGGTTGTTTTCCTTCACACATTGAAGTCTCGAAACATGGAAGTAGGTATCAAGTCACCATCTACCAGTCCCAAACAAAGACCACAGGCGCCGTAGTCTTCATTCGGGACATCAGGGGGATCAGGGGTATCAGGAATGCGGATGTTCGGTATCTGAAAGAGACCCGGGGCCCTGGGTCTCTCCCCAAACACCATGAGAGTCCAAGTTATCAGCCACCAGCGAAGACCGCAGGCGCCGCAGTCTTCACTGGTCACGTCAAACCCAGATATTGGAAATTGCGGATGCTCAGAACTTGAATAAAGGCTAGGGCCCCTCGCCCCTACCCAAGCAATGAGGTGATGAGGTTCTCAAAATTCAAAGCAAACAGGTAGTTTCTTCCAGAATATTTTGGCGGGTTTGTTGAAATCAATCTTCTTCAAAAGGTGGGAGTCCCAGTTGGGACGAATAGTGGGGGGCCCGCTGTAGTACATCGTGTGGGATGGTTGTAGGAGGAAAGAAAAAAGAGGAGGGGAGCGGGACAGGGCTGGTATATATAACTTGCTATGACGAAGGCCTCCATGGTGTCCGACACCTATTTAAGTAATCGACGTGTATTCTGTGTGATGAATAGGCTGTATAGTTTACATGTCCGGTCCGCGATGAAGTGTATACCGAAAAAGGCATAGTAATTCGAATTCATGGAATGAGCCAGCACATCTGAACATATCACCTGAGCGCTTGTGATATCATAAGAAGTAGAAATGGACGAAGTCACTGGATGTCCGAATCCTAAGTATTACGTGCGCTGTTGATATAATTGTTGGCCGCTGCTGTATATAGAACGGAGGGCGAAGCCAAAAATATATGCGGACCACGAGACCTGACAGCTATCTCATGCAGAGAAAGCCCAAAGAAAACCCCGGAGAAGAAAGTTTAGAATGAAGCAGAAAAAAAAAAAAAACAAGAAAAAAGAAAAGAAGCGTAAAGTCCTTGTCTCTATCGAACTCATGAAAAGTCACATTGATGCCTTGTTTCTCAGGCATTCACTCTGCTTTCTTTGATAACTAGCCAATAGGTATACCCCGGTATTCAATGAATAGAACCCCTTTTTCTCGTTTTCTTCATTCTTTTTCTCCGAACTAAAGACTCGAAGACAGAGGACAACAAAGATGAGCCCATACGGTAGATGCGATGTAGATCTGAGGAAACGCCAAGGCTTATGTTAGCAGGATTGCCATCTTCTTCAATGCACGATCAGCCCGATCTTCGCTCTGTCATGTCAACTGGGCATCCTTGTTTTGCTTGCGCTATACATCCCTTTACTCGATTTGCTTTCGTTCAAGTCTTGTCATTCATTTAACAAACGTCTCCTCGAAACCCTCACCACTCGATCTCTTTCAACTTTTTTTGGTATCCACTCCAACATGTCCGACGACGATGAGTACTATGAATTCGAGGATGACTACATGTACGAGGATTTAGGCCCAGATATGGTCGTAAGTTGAATTCCAAAGGCGATGCCTAGACCTACTTGTGCCACGTCTGCACGAGAAAAACAGCATCAATTCAGTCACTAACCAAAACTTTGCTTGCCCAGGACGATCTCGCGGCCTCCTCACACTACGAAGCCGCCCTATATGAAGACCCGGGGATCGATGTTGAAGACTATTTCAGCGACTGGGACTATTATTCAGACGATTACCACGACGATGACGCCACTGTCGACCAAAGCGCAGAGAGAAAGAAAAGAACCGAGATCGCAGCGACAGCACCACGACGAACGAAGACCTCGTCTCGTCCAAAGAGCCACACGGCCAGAATTCCGCCGACGAAATCCCCCCTAGTGCCTGATATCGCCTCCTTTCAGGGCGTGGTGTGGAAAACACCGGCGCTGGACCGGGACCAGGACGTCGCCATTTTGTATGAGCCGGACACGGGCGAGAAAGTCGCGCTTCTAGAGAACTGGCGGGAAGTCTTCAAATCTGCCCAGCCGGCGTTGGATAAGTCACGGTTGAAAAAGCGACAAGTGGTTGAACCCAAGCCCGTCGATCCGTCTCTGGCTGACGATGAAATGTTCGCTGGTGACGGTGCCCATGACCAGACTGATAGCTCGGACGAGATGTCTGATGTTAACTCGCCGAACACTTCAGGTGTTGATGCTGGGGATACTGGGGATGCTTCAAATACAACTCCAGACCCGGACCCGGACTCTGTCCGTTCTCTCAAACTGTCCTCGCCGCCGAAGGTCGTGATTCCATTGAAGAGAGGGAGCAAACGGAAGGTTGTTGCACAGAAAGATGACACCGACGAGGACACGGAGGCGCCCCGTCCGAAGAGGGTTGCGTTGCGGAAAGGCGGTGGTGACGGGGTTATAAAGCGTGGTGATGGGGCTACAAAGCGTGGTGCGGCACCGCCGGTGCGCAGATCGGCTAGACAGAAGAAGTAGAACTGTTGTGTTGGTAATGTTGTTGGTAATGTTGGATATAGGGCTATTTATGACACGTACAACGATTAAAATAAATTTGCATATACTCTCTAAAGAGATGGCATCCTCCCAAATGAATAATTTTGTGTACCATTGTATAATACTCATGCTTAGGCATACTCCTTGTTGAATGCGCGACCAATAACCATCCTGCGGATTTCACTTGTACCGGCACCGATCTCGTACAGCTTCGCGTCCCGCAGAAGACGCCCAGCAGGGATCTCATTGATATATCCACTGCCCCCCCATGAGCTGGATGGCATCAAGCGTGCATTCAGTCGCGCGTTCAGCGGCGTACAGGATCGCACCCGCACAGTCCTGAGTGCGGACGGTTAACTCACCAGGTTCCACGGCGGCGTTGTCTACCTGCCGTGCCGTGGCGTAGGTGTATGCACGCGAGGCAGCTAGCTTAGTGTACATGTCCGCAAGCTTGCCTTGGACCAGCTGGTTGTGGGCGATCGGTGCACCGAATTGCTTGCGCACGTGTGTGTAAGGAAGGACCAGGTCAAGTGCGGCTTGCATGATTCTAGAGAGTGTTAGAATGAGAGACGTATGCTGTGGTGTGGGATGGCTCACCCTAGTGGTCCCGCACTCAGGACTAGTCGCTCCAAGTCCAGACCCTCCATCAATACGCGAACACCGCGGTTGACTTCGCCCAGGAGGTTCTCCCGGGGAACGAAGACATCCTCGAAGATGAGCTCGCCTGTGTTAGAGCCACGCATACCCAGCTTGTCTAGCTTACGTGCGCACGAGAAGCCCTTGAAGTCCTTCTCAACCAGGAACGCCGTGATACCTTTGGAGCCGAGTTCAGGCTCTGTCTTGGCGTACACGACAATGTAATCGGCATCGGGGCCCTGTAAGAAAGTGTGAGCAACGAGGTCGGAACTTCCAATCTCATCTATACCAAACCGACTTACGTTGGTAATCCACATCTTGGTTCCGTTCAAGAGCCAGCCTCCATCAACTTCCTTCGCCGTGGTCTTCATGCTGACTACATCGGAGCCAGCTGAATGCTCCGACATTGCAAGAGCACCGATCTTCTCGCCTGATAGGAGACCGGGGAGAATGCGCTCTTTTTGTTCTGTTGAGCCATTGAGGGAGAGCTGATTCACGCAGAGCTGGGAGTGGGCGGCATAAGAGAGACCGATGCTTCCTTTTTATCCAGAATCGTTAGATCGATTTTCAGACTGCCATATACTAGGGGACATACCGGATGCTCGGCTGATCTCTTCCATCACGACGCAATGTGCTTGGTAGCCCATACCCAAGCCACCGTACTCCTCGTTGGCTGTAACACCGAGGAACCTTCATCCCTGTTAGCATGCGCTGTATAACCCACACACTCCCTTCTTGAAGAAGAGAATCAACCATTTGAGAACCCATACCCAGCATCACCCATCTTCCTCCACATTTCTGCTGGGAACTCATTCTGTTCATCTGTCCGCGCAGCAACATCGGCTGGGATCTCTCGCCCTACAGCAAGGTTAGAAATGCGGCTTGGGCAAGAGCATGGGTAACGTACTTGTGAAATCTTGCACGCGCTCTCGCAGCTCTAGAAGATCATCCTCGGACGGAGGTACGAAGCCCTTGGGGTGTTTTGTTGAGATGGAGCGGAAACATGGGGTGAGTGCGGGGACGCGGTTTAGCCGCACCGCTCGCGTTGATGTGCGAAGGAGAGAAGGGAGGGTTAAGGAAGCCATGGTTATATAGGAGAATCGATGTAAAATGCAAAATCCGGGGGGAATTGTCTTTGGGGAAGTGGACCTTTTAAGTATGCCCTCAGTGGGGAGCGGTAGTCCTCGGCGCGCAATCCAGGGCTTGTTGCACTACATATGTACGAGTTTCCCACCTTGGAACATGCAAGTCTTCACGTTCTTTTGGACATCTGCCCGACAGTATAATAATACAACCACAAACTAATTGATCTGTGTATTCTATCCTCTCTCTGCCTCAACAATTGTCCACGTCTTTTGGTCCTTTCTAGCATTCTCGGCGGGATGATGATGGCCCTCGGGTACATGCGGCAATCGTCGCATCTCCGCATTTGGAGAAACCCCAGCTTTGTGCCTCGCTTCTCTCCTGCCACTGCTCGTATGAGTTTAAATACTTCGCGAACCTCATCACACACCTATGAATCCTTCTTTGTTTTGAATTGAGCCTCTGCCATCCTGTTTTCAGAACCAGCTACAGTTCGCCATCTTCCCCGCAATGCGTGCCCCGTCCCCGCTCGTCCTTCGGAGCTGGGGCTCACGACTTGGTCCACGCAAATGTCTCAATTCATTCCGCCAGCCGACAAATATTATGCGACCAGCTTATAGAACAGTAGCAAGTTATACACATCCTCACCATGCGTCAGCGCTCTCCGTCCTTCCCACAGCAGTCGATACCTCCTCACAGGAGTACTGCGAAAACAGCGAACAAATGCAAGAGCTCCTAGACCGGATGAACAGCCTACACACGAAAATTGCACGCGGAGGAAACGACAAAGCGCGCGAGAAGCACATCGCCCGCGGTAAAATGCTCCCAAGAGACCGGATTTCCGCCTAGTCGACCCAGGCACCTCCTTCCTGGAGCTATCAGCACTGGCAGGACACGGCGTCTACGAAGGCGAGGACGTTCCAGCAGGTGGTATTATTACCGGCATTGGAATGGTCGAGGGTGTCAACTGCATGATCGTCGCCAACGACAGCACCGTCAAGGGTGGCACCTACTACCCTATCACAGTGAAAAAGCACCTCCGCGCACAGGCGATTGCTCAAGAGAACCGCCTGCCCTGTATCTATTTGGTTGACTCCGGTGGCGCAAACCTGCCTCACCAGGCAGATGTGTTCCCAGACCGCGATCACTTCGGCCGGATCTTCTTCAACCAAGCCCGCATGAGCTCCCTCGGTATCCCACAACTCTCTGTTGTTATGGGTCCCTGCACAGCGGGTGGCGCATACGTGCCTGCTATGAGCGATGAGACCATCATCGTTGAGAACCAGGGTACAATCTTCCTGGCAGGCCCGCCTCTCGTCAAGGCCGCGACGGGCGAGGAGGTCTCTGCCGAGGACCTGGGTGGCGGCCAGCTGCATTCGAGCATCTCCGGTGTAACGGACTACCTGGCTGTCGACGATGCACACGCTATTGTCCTTGCTCGCCGCTCCGTCGCGAATCTCAACTACCCTACCACGACAACTCCGCTCCAGCTGGAGAACGGTAATGGAGACTCACTTGTCGTGAAAGAACCGCTGTACGACCCTAATGAGCTAAACGGGATCGTTGGCACGAATCTACGTCGCCAGATCCCTGTACACGAGGTCATCGCGCGGATTGTCGATGGCAGTGAATTCGCCGAGTTTAAGCGTGACTATGGCTCGACCCTGGTAACTGGCTTTGCCCGCATCCACGGCCATCGCGTCGGTATCGTTGCTAACAATGGAATCTTGTTCTCCGAGTCCTCTCTCAAGGGAGCACACTTCATTGAGCTCTGTGCCCAACGGCGGATCCCTCTTGTTTTCTTGCAGAATATCTCAGGCTTCATGGTCGGCGCTGATGCCGAGAAGGGCGGTATCGCGAAGAACGGTGCCAAGCTTGTCACTGCTGTTGCATGCGCCGATGTCCCCAAGTTCACTGTTGTATTTGGGTCCAGTGCTGGTGCTGGTAACTACGGGATGTGGTAAGTTTCTTCCTTAGGCTGTCTCTAGTTCTCCTCTAACTGGCATTGCTTTAGTGGTCGTGCCTACTCGCCTCGTCTTCTCTTCATGTGGCCTAATGCGAAGATCGGTGTCATGGGCTCTGAGCAACTCTCTGCCGTTATGGAGGCTGTCGGACGATCCGCTGATCCGGCTTTGAAAGATCGCATTGACCGTGAATCTGAAGCGACATTTTCTTCGGCTCGTTTGTGGGATGATGGTATCATCCCGCCATCTCAGACGAGGAAAATGCTAGGGTTGGGTCTGGCAGCTGCGCTCAGTGGTAAGGCTGAGCCGGATGTGCAAACTAGGTTTGGCGTGTTCCGGATGTAGAGCGCCGACGGGTTGGATCGAGGTATGCAAGCTTTCATGTAGGATACATTTGAAAAAAGCATAGGATGGAAGATATATGTTCACGTGTCATTGACTTTATGTGATATTTGGAATAGTCAAATAGGAATATGCGGTGAATAGTCACCTCGCATCACATGATGTAGCCTACAGCCCTCTGCAGACTATCGTTCGTTAGTCTAGTGGGCCCTTAGAACTGTACGGCCGGCTCAATGAGCTCATAGATGGAAATGGTCGGGATCGCACATCATATCCTGTACTATAATTCAATGCCTTTCTGTCTCGATGGCGAAGGGGTCAACCACATGCCCAACAAGTGATCTAGCGTAACATGACCAAAAGAAAAGAAAGCACTTTTTTTATCCATCTCGTGAAAGTAACCTTTTTAGAGTCCAGATCAACCAAACCTCAAATATGTCAAATATGAAAAGAAAAAGAGGATGACACCAATTGTGCACAGCCTAAAGAAAAGAAAAGATACAAATCTGTAGCAGCGAAGCATGGTTCTATAGGAGAGGCACAGAAATATCGGCAACATATAGAAAGAACATCAGTCATACATGACATGTCAAGATGCATAGCAGCGTCGGGTGGGGGCATATGTCGCAGAGGGTCGTATCGCATGAAAATGAAACAAGACAAGGGCCCTCAGTCACAGAGGGGTCCCTCGAACTGTTGAATCAAAGGATGACACACGGCCCGCGGCGTCTCGGCCGGCGATTGTCTCTCTTGCGGTCATGGCGGTTCGGGCCCTCGCGCTTGCGGTTGGGATCGCTGCTGGACCTTGAGCCCTCGGAGTCTTTGCGGATGATCTGGCGACACAGATCGACGAAGACTTCGTTGACGTTTGCGCGGCGGCGGGCAGAGGTCTCGTAGTATGGGGCGTTACCCCATTTCTGGGATAGACCGAAGGCACGAGCACGTGGTACGGCGCGGTCTTCCTCCAAGTCAGATTTGTTGCCCACGATCACGATGGGGACGTTTTCGTCGTCTTTGATTCGGATGATTTGTTCGCGGAGCTCGGAGAGTTCGTTTAGGGAGGACATGCTAGTGATGGAGAAGACGAGGAGGAACCCTTGACCTTGTTTCATGTAGAGCTCTCTGGAGGGAGTGCTGTTAGTACGGTGTGCTTTTCCCTGGTTGGTCCGCGGAATCAATCGTGGGTGGGTGGATGGCTAGATTTACCTCATGGCCGCTTGTGGATTGTTAGCTTTGATCTCTCACGGGTAGATGTGCTGATTTGGGGGTGACTTACTGAATTGTTCTGTTCCTGCGGTGTCAAGACTTCGAAAATTTAGCATCATGCCATATCCGAACCACCGAGTTACTCACATCTCCAGTATACATTGTCGACCCTATCAAGATTGGTTAACGGCCGAGCAATTTCCAGCGCATTGTAGACAACTTACGTCTACCTCGATCTGTTTCCGGTATGAATCCTCGATCGTGGGGTCGTAGCTTTCGATCCAAACATTTTGCACGAATTGGGCTGGAAGATAATTGTTGATCAGCTTGGGAACTCAGGGCAGAGCTGGGAAGACGTGGAACAAACCTGTCAGGCAACTTTTTCCAACACCTCCTATTACCGCGTCGCATGGGAATGCCTGTGGTCAGCCTGTGACCTATGGAAATATCTCAGGAGGAAATGTTCCTACCAGCACCCAAAACAACAATATGGTATTCGCGTCTAAGCAGGGCGCAGACAAACAATTAGAATTGTCTCCGTGGGGTATTCGAGGAGTATCCATGGACTCACTGTGGCCGCATTGAGAAAAGTGTGTATCGATGTAGTTTAGTGATGCGGAATGGAAATCGAAATAGCTCTCGAGGACCAAAGGTGGATCCCACATGGTGGTGTAGATGACGATCTCAAATCGTAGAACAGTTGGCTGTGATAAATTGACGCATAAACCACGTTGAATGCTTTCAATTGTATTGTGTAGCTCCCTCGGGGATGGAAGAGCTTAGAAGGGCGGTACGCGGGTGCGGTTACATGGCCCGCCTTTTCGAGCACGGGATATGGAGATTCGAGGGATTCGAAGGATTCGAGGGTCCACTGAGGAGTATCAACACAAATAAAGTAATGCGTAGATATTTAGACGTTGCTGCATGGGGGGGTTTGTTTTAGGGGGAGAAAGTCTGATAACGGGGTGTTAGGCTAATTGCCTCTCTCTGTTTAGCCCTTCGACCCAATCACATCATATGCCGAGATCGTCTCTGGCGGTCAGGCACTAACTGTAAGTGTATTCTGTCCTCTCGGCAATGTTTGAATCTTTTTTTGGTCTTTTCTGGGGTTTTTAATCTTTTCTTTGCCGGTTTCAATTGCCATCCCTGTGAATACGAGTCACGTGACTATCATGTGGAGGGTGAAGCACAATCCCGAGGTCATTTGTGTTTCAAGAGGCTCAGCAACTATCAGTTTTTTAAATTCAGATTGATACCTCATGTACGAGACAAAGAGTGTGGGATTAATGCCATGTTCCATAATTGGTCAATGTTTATAGGCGGGGACCTCGGGAGAAGGAGAAGGATGCATCATATAGGCTCGAACAGACCAACTGCTGCAGGGGGAGGCCCACAAAGGAACCTTGGAACTCTCCCCGGTTTCATGATGTAAGGGAAGAAAATATTCGAAACGGGAGGCAACCAGGCTGGGTACATATGTATGTATTTATCTATAGAGCAAACGGCGCTCGATGATTTCGGGAAAAGCCGCGTACGTCATGTGTGGGATGTATGACTATCTCGGGGGATTTGTGGAGAGGAAACTGGCTTCTGATACAATCAACTTGATTCATATGTTCCATTTGAGATCTGTTTCAAGATACATTAATACATCGATACATTAGTACATTAACCCTAGCACTTCTGAAGCTTAAACCTCGCTACATTTTAAGGCCATCAATATGTTTGCCTTAGCCCCTCAGTTAACACTCCAGTAGACAGTATTTTTTTTTAAGATGTAAGCGACCATATCTGCATGATCTTCTGGGCTAGATCTCCTGATACATAACACTACTGATATACTCTCATATACTCAAACCAATAAGAAATTACCAGATGCAGCTTCACATGGCAGGGACGGATACGTCATGCACATCACGTGATACACACAGGCTAGCCTCTGTCTTCTTGCCGCCAGCTTGACCGGTTGCATTCTCACCATCCCTCGCTCCATTGTCATCCTATTAGCTCTTTGACTTGTTCTCCCACAAATACCCTTTATAAGCAAAAATGGCCTCTTTCCAGGAGCGTGCCCAGCACTCCATTTCTCAGCTTGACAAGGAGGTACGTTTCCAGCCATTGTTGTGTGTTTCGCTGGCGCCTCAGGTCTAGCCCTCGCCTTGTGCCTGCAGTGTTCCTCAGCGCCAGCCACCACAGCAGGAGCGACTACAATCCCATTATCTGATAGTTACTTCACTGTGCTATCTATTGCTATGATTTCGAGCTGACATCCGTCATTTTGTAGCTCTCCAAGTACCCTGTCCTTGCCAACCTTGAGCGTCAGACCAATGTCCCCAAGGTCTATGTCATCCTCGGCCTTGTCGGAATCTACTTCTTCCTTGTCTTCTTTAACATTGCTGGCGAGTTCCTCGTCAACTTTGCCGGTTTCCTGATCCCCGGTTACTACTCCCTTCAGGCGCTTTTCACCTCAAGCACTCACGACGATACTCAGGTAAGATTTTTTTGGGAAACTTTTTCCTTTCCAAGCACAAATTGCTAACTTTGTCTTTCTTAACTAATAGTGGCTCACGGTATGTTCATATGATTCTATTAGCTTGTTGTCGCAATCATGCGGATGTATGAAATCACCGCCAGTTGGGGATTATCATACACCATCCACGTGACATCTTTTCCGCTCGCATGCGATCAGTAATTCTAACATATGACCTGATAGTACTGGGTTGTCTTCGCTTTCCTGACTGTCATTGAGAGCGCCATCAGTGCTGCTTACTGGTTCCGTACGTGCCCACAAGACGCCAATTTTCCTACTATTTTGCTAACTGATCGCAGCCTTCTACTACATCTTCAAGTTCGTCCTGATCATGTGGATGGCTCTTCCCCAGACCAGGTATGTTACTATCTCATGACCAAGTTGAGACCGGTAGCTGACTTCTTTCGCAGCGGTGCCCAAGTTGTCTTCCACTCCTTCCTCCAGCCCGTGGTTGGCCGTTTCTTCTCCTCCAACGGTACCTCCTCCAACCTCCGCGCCCAGGCCGAGGCTGCGAGCAAGCCCCACTCCACCTAAAGGGTGTAGTTTCACCTCTCAACTGAGAATCGCATCGACAATATAAGCTCCGCGGAACCTGCTTGCGCGCGGGTCGTGGATCCGATTCTCTGTGCCAGGCGGGGCCCTAAGCACGAAGTGAAGTAGTTGGCTCAAAGCTTCGTTGCCATGATTAAATAGGAGCAGTGCAATAGCTGGAACATGAAATAGAGAGGACCCGAGAAATGTTGCGGCGGGTCCGGGGTTGGATATCCGAATGAGAATGTTTTATTTGGTTCTTGCCATTTTGTCATACTCAAGGGGACTAGTTGTTTAGTTCGTACATTGCGAATGTGGATGCAGTTATTTTCAGATGTTCGAGATCTACGTCATCTACATGTATCTTCGGGGTTGCGCTATGCACCATCGAGCTGCGTCCCCACAGAAGCCACATGACTTGGGTCAAGCCATTTGACGATCCCGAGGTGTATCGTTCAAGCTCTTATTCGCTTTCGAAGGAGCTGCTGTAAAACTTGAACAAGCCGCGCACCTCAGCATGGATGACAACGTGGTCACCATCCCCGGACCGGATTCGCATCTAGAATGAAGACTGAATAACATCGTGCTCAATAATAGAGAAGTCAACAACAAACGGGCTAGTAGGCCTGAGATGTGCAGTCAGTAAAGACGCCGTTTCCATCCTCTCATTACGATTATCAGTCACAATCGTCTTGGCCTCTATCGTTTTAGCATGCTGTGCTTACTTGATATGAGCAAGGAAAAATGCAACGACACAGTCAACTAATATTGATGTCCAGTTCCTAAGAATCCCTTCCGAAATAGACAGTCTAAAGCCAACTGCATCGTACGCTGTATACCGACAACAAACGCTAACCAGTGCTAGCAAAGATACCCTCCACCACCCTTGTCCGACGAAGATTCCAAGCCTTCTTGTAAGTTGCGGAGCTCTTCAGCAAGCAACTTAGGATCATCACACTTGCGGGCCGTGTCAAAATCAAACAAAATGGCTTTCTCATCACGAATCAGGAAGTTGAACCGATTCACATCACCATGCCTAATCCCCAAAGCATGTAACCGAGCGAGAGTCTGCTGGCAAATATCAAGATCCTGAGGCCCAGCATGCCGTGCATTGGCAATACGCTCCATCACGAAACCAATGACCCGACCATCTTCAGTGAGATGTCCCAGGAACCGGGGACCAATGTCATAGCCCTCAATCAACCGGTATGCAGCAGTCTCGCCCTCCATGTATCGAATTTCCCAATCAAAGCGAGCAAACTTGACGACAACAAGTTCCTCAAACTGGGGACATTTGACTTCGTAAACACCCGTTCGAAGTCTCCTGCTCTCTCCCAAGATCCATGTAATCAATAAAGGTGTTGTGCCATGTATTCTTGACTCCAGGAAACGAGGTTCGAGCGGCGCGTGCAAAGTATGGCTTGCCGGTTTCTGGGTGTTTGGCCACTAGCCCATCGTTCCAATTTCCTGTAGGAAGATCGGGGAGAATCGTGGCTAGAGATGGGCCGAAGCACATATCATCTGTGCTCCAGATCCCTTGGGCAATGGTGATATACCTGACTGACCCGTTGATCAGGAGTCGGAAATAACTCTCGTCGTCATTGTCGGCTTCTGCTTGGAGCAATGTGATGTCTCTTTGGGTTTGCATCGGGTTGGTGGCACACTGCATGGAGGGGCAGTTGTATTTGCGGCTAAATATTGGGTGTTGGGATCAGATGAAATATTATTGGCCCAGAGATATATTTTGCTTACACCCTGCAGGCTTTTATGCAGGGCGCAGCTCCCACGGAAGGCACTACTTCATGACAATTACCATGGTGGTCTGGTTGAAGAGACATTGCATGCCGATATCACACGTTGCTGCTCTATGCTATCTCGTTAGGGCTCAACAGATGGGACAGGATATTCGTATCGATTTTCGTAATTGAGTTAAAAAAAGAGAACCATATGTACTTACGCCGCAATGCAAAAAGGAACAGCCCAACCCTCTCAGGAATCCGAGAAATAAACAAACACCTAAGCCCTGAACTCCGTACGGCCATCGCTTGCAAGTCCAAGCACAGCACACAAGGGTTCCCTAGACTTATAGTAATAGCCCTTTTTATAATATGTGAAAATCTCGTAAATCGTATCGGGATCGATCGCCCGATGCCATGTTCTACTGAAGGAAATAAAAGCAACGTGTCCGGTTGGTTGAACAATAATCGGAGTGGGAACGTACCAGACTGGACGATTCCGAGGTGTACCGTCCAAGTCCTTAGTCAAACCGCATAGCTCAGTAGAGCCCCATGCGATTTCCCCAGCCATCAGCGCGAGGGTTAACGACAATCCGATAGGGGAACGGGTTGGAATCGCTAGTGGTGATGGGCGGGATATGGTCTTTATCCCGGTTGACAACGCTCAAGATTTTCAGAGCTGCCTTTTGCAACATATTCCCCATTGCCTTGCGCACCTTGGCTCGTTCTGTAACCAAATTAGCTCTGGATAAAGGGACCCGCAGATTGTACATACCGGACTCAGTGCGCGGTGTCGCGATCGTCACATCAAGTGTCCAAATCTCCCAGCACACCTCTTCGTCGCCTTTCCCTGTCAGTCCGCCAAACCAGTGGCCCGAGCGACGCCGTTTCTTCTCGTAGAACTCGACTGCGATCCGTCCTCGCACACCCCCGCCGCCACCGACAATTTGGCCATCCTGCCCCGCTGCGGAGGACAGGTGCTGCCGGACCAGAGCCGATACGCGCGATTCAATCAGCGTCTCTAGATCTGCATCATTTATAGCGGGGAGTGTGAAGTCGAGCACGTCAAAGGTGACCGGCCGGATAGAAGGGAAGTAACGGTGGAAGAAGATGAGGTTCAGGACACCTGGCACGAATTATTAGTACGAAATACATGCTTATAATGTCTCCAGCTCACCACTAACCCTTCAGTACATCTCGCACATGGGTGGTATCGGCGAAGATCTCCAGGAAGTACTCCGGAGGGGTTTTGCGGGGCTCCATCCCCGCCATGACGCAGCTCACAACCAGGTCGGTTGGGTGCAGTCTCGGACGGTTCTTGTTGGCAAAGGGGGGGAAGTAGTTCGTAGATACCGAATAGAGGGGGCAGTCAGTAATTAAGTTGTTGCATGGAGCTGGATGGATGTAAGGTGGAGTGATGACTCCCAAGGCTGGCTGATATGGCAAGGGGGGCGGGCCTGTATCGGGCGTAGCCGACTGAAGCTTATCGCTTATCATCGAACTGGGATGGAACCAGTTTGAAAGAGAACATTAGAGAACATTTATAAGAAGTACGGAATATACGGAGTACGCGGAGAGTATAAAGAGCAATGAGAAGAGAACAGGAAAGAAGACTGAAGGGGATTAGCGGGTTGCTGCGGGATGACCATGCCAAATCCGGGGGAGAAAGCTCTAGTGGGACACGGTAATTGCAGGAGGACTTATGGGAATGGGAAAATACATGTATGTTGTAGTCAGGTGTCAATAGCATGTAGTATGCTGTAGGTACTTAAATCCTGTATGGTGCTTTGGTTATAGGCTCGGTTCACTCACATTGCATGACGGCGGGCTCTAGCCGAGGCCTGAAACTGGCGATCAGCGCCCGAAGCCTTTCTTCCCCATCTACTGAACCCATCCATCTCCTGGATCTATCATGATTTGAGATCGATTGTCATTTTAACTTCTTCGGAGAGAAGCACCAAACATAAATATGATCGGTGCGACGAGGCGCTGGTTCCAGCGCAATCGCAAAGGTCTTGCAATCGGGGCTGGGGTGATAGGAGCTGGCTACTTAGCCGGACAATATGTGCTGTCCAAGATCTCCGAGGCACGCGAGCGCATGAGCAGCGATCGGATTGCTCGCGAAAAGTCAGTTCCCCTTGTTTTTTGATGACTCCTATCTCTCCACTAGCAAGCACGCGAGCTTGTAACGCGTGCAACCCTTACCCAGAATACCCCGAACCGGAATCACTAACACATGGCAATAGCCTACGCCGACGATTCGAACAAAACCAAACCGATTGCACATATACAGTCCTCGCCTTGTTGCCGACTGCCGCCGAGAATATCATCGATGCCCTCCCGGTTGAGGAGTTGACCAAGGAGCTTCAGCAGAAGCGAGCGGAGAGGTTGGCTCGGCTCAATGCAGGGGAGGCGCCTGGGTCAGATCTGAGCTCGGTATCCCGAGTCTGCCGGACGATGATCGAAGAAGCCTCTCCAGTTTCCAGAGCGAGGGATATGTGCACGCAAGCCAGGTCGGCGACTCTTCTGTGAACTCGGACGGACAACCTCGGCCCAAACGGAACAAGACGCAGCTGTGGAATGAGGTGAAGATTACCTGTGAGTGTTTATTTTGACAGTGTCTGTGTCAGAGGAGAGGCTAACGTTTTCTAGCGGTCACTCGGTCTTTTACTATGATCTACACTCTCTCCTTGCTCACTATCTTCACACATATTCAACTCAACCTGCTCGGCCGTCGGAACTATCTGTCCAGCGTGATCTCACTTGCTACACCACCTGCCAATGCCTCGACAATCAGACTTGAAGACCACGATGATGAACTCACTCAAACATTGGGCGATGACTTCGAGACCAACCGACGTTACCTCGCCTTCAGTTGGTGGCTGCTTCACCGCGGGTGGAAGGACCTGATGGGAAGAGTGCAAGCCGCCGTAGAGGAAGTATTTGGACCTTTGAATCCGCGTGAGGATATCAGTTTGGCCAAGCTCTCTGAGCTGACCTTGCAAATCCGAAAGAAGGTGGAAGGCAGCACCGAGGACGAGCGACGATCTCAAAAATGGCTTTCATGCCTGCTCCCCCCTGCGGAGGAAGAGGAACACGTCTTACAGGAGTCGGGCGTGGAAGGCGTAGCTGACCCTTCCTCTTCCCAGACAGCATCGAAGCTTCGACACCTCCTAGATGAGACAGCGGATTTGATCGACTCTCCCTCTTTCTCCCTCGTGCTCACACTTCTTAACAACGAGGGATTCTCAACCCTCATTGACCAAAGATGCGCCGCTGACGCCTTCAAGGCGCCCACCTCCGCCCCGGAGGCTCACTTGCAATCCTTCGATTCAGTTGCCACTGTTGTGCCCTTGGCTGCCAACTCCGAGCGCAAGACAAAGCTTGCCAACCTCCTGGCTGTCATGACTCGACAGGCACACGTGATCGGTAATGGCGCCCATCCACCAAATGAATATCTGGTCGCCATGGACCAGAACGTGCGTGAACTTGAAGCCTTCTCTGCCGTGGTCTATAGTTCGAACTTTGACCTCGAGCTTCTTGGTGCCAATAACAAAGCGGTGCCGACTAGGGAGACGGATCTGGTCGATACTGAAGCTGCTTCATCGTCTTTCTCCCAGGTGATAGTTGAGAAGGAAGTTGACGCTGACTTAAAGGAGGAGGAGGAGGAGATCATCGAACCACAATCACGCGGTGTTGTTCCTAGTGCCATGCCCGAGGAATCAGCCTTCAATGAGCCTGGGCCTGAGGCTTTGGCGGACCCGGCCTTTGAAGAGGCCTGGGGCAAGGCCACGGATGATGGGAACGCCTCATCATCTGAAGAAAAGCAGCCAACACAGTTAAGGCAATGAAGAAATCTTCCTTGCTAGCGATTTGTGTGATTCTCTCTATAACCTTACACCCCTGTTTTCTCGCACGTCGCTCTGAATCTGGCTTCTATCTTCACCACATACATTATCTTTGCGATAGAATTGACCTGGGAGTTATGCTAATGATATATGCCAACTCAATTCTTTATTCCTAACGGTCCCTCGTAGATTACTATTAGCATAACACAGCGGTGCATACTTTCTCTACGACGAATCAGGCATAAGTGCGCTATTGTTCGCGAGGACTGCATAATTGTACAATTTTATACCCAAGACCAAAGTAGACTAGCGTGGGTGGAGCGGCGGGGGCCTGATACTTGGGGAGAGTGGCGCTGAAAGACATATAAGGATCATAGGGCTAGATGTGAGATTACGGAGAGATTATGGAGCCTTATTATACACACATCCGCAAATAAAACCTTTGGAAAGCAAAGATATGTGCTGGACATACCCTCTAATACCGCAAGTCTCGGACTACAAGTGATATGCAAATGTTAGACTTGTCTAAAAAAATAGTTCATACTAGTGCCTCGCAACTTGTTTATTATCCCCACTGGGACAATTTCCGTCTTCGGCTTCTGAAGGTTGTGCCTCTTTCTGAATGTCAATGTATCATCAGGCACAGGCACTTTTTCCTTTGTCTCTTTGTACAAACTTGGGTACGCTGAAACACCTTGACGTCACGACTATGATTTTTTCCCACGGCAGCTTTCCTGAGCTCCACCAATGAGCTAATACAGCCCACTTGTGTGGCGCAGTTTCCGTTTTGTTGAAATTTACCGTATTGATCTGAGGCATGAGCTGTTTTACAAGAATTACTAGAATATGTTGACGTAGCGCTTTCAAGGGCGGATTTGCGCCGTATTTAACCGAAGGGGTTATAGAAACGCTTTATGCTTACGCCCTTTCTTCGAAGGGTCATTCTATCGATACAACTCTAGAAGAATTGGAACCAATGAGTACATACATATGTACTGTGGATGGGAGTATTACTACATTCCATGTATATGATAGAAATTCGCTTCCACTGTCTTCATTCGTATACGAGGTATACGAGGTATACCCCGCATGGCGCACAGGTCAATGAAGCCCCCAGGGCCATCGATCAACCCGCTATCATCGGTCTCGGTCCGTATTATATGGTGATACATACTTGAACTATAGAGACTTGGAAACATGCATATGGAAGCTAGCACATCACATAATAAAAGCCAATTGTCCTTATATTCAGCGGTACGTGGCTTACATGCAATTAAATGCCCAGGTAAGCATTTGAGCAATATGACACACGCGGCTGTCCCCACTCAGATGGTCTTTCTGCCTATCAAAGAGGTCTTGAACTTCGATATTCCCTCACCATCGAGGGCCAGGTCTGGTCGCAGATACTAGGTGTTCTAGAACGCTGGCCAGAATCCCATTGTCTCTACCGGGGATGGCATGTGCAGGAGTCGAGCCAGGTCCATCTTCATAGGTTAGTAAATCCAACGAGGTAGGCGTGGAAGTGAGAAAGCATGAAAGTAATTGCCACTAGGCGTCTAGTTGGACCACTTTGGACCAATATTATGCACTTCTCGCCGCACGAGTAGCAACAGATTACCACCAACTTGAAGCCGCTTGCGGTCTCCGACGCTAGCTGCCATGCTATGATTTCCGAGTCCTCGCCTAACCCGAAAGCTATACTCCGTGAGAAATGGCGCGCATGTACGGAGTAATGGAGACAACGATCTACCTGGCTCAGACACCGAAGCATGGGATAAGACGTGGGCACTGTGGACTGGCATTGTCCATAGCGTAGTGCGTTGTGGTTACGGGCGGCTGGATGGTGGAGCCATTTGATGGCTGTAGCCCCCTGCTGTGTGGTATACGTCGGCTGGTCTGTAGATCCACGATTTGTGCCATCCTATTTAACATTTCCGTACCAAAGCCGTTATCCTCATTGACAATAACCAAGGATTTCGTTAATATGATGTCGCTTGCAAGCATTCACGTGCTCAGCGGGAGGCGACTTCGTAGGGCTGGCATGTCAATGTAGCATCGATCCACAGGAAATACCTATGAGAAATAAATAATGATGACATTTTGACATGGAGAGCTGGAGAGAGACAACAATTTGAAACATTGCCAGTGTGATCTGAACCTTGAAATGTAACCCCTATACCGTAAGTTTCACCCAGCCTCAGGTGTGGCTGAGCAAAGTACTCCACCTGCCAAATTATGTGGGAAAGTACTTCCTCCGCGGTGTTCCGTATTGTCCAATCACCTTGCTCTACCAAGGAACGGCCGGTCAAAGTCCTCAAGTTCCCCCGATCTGCCCTCCCCTTAAGACCTGCCCATCCCGACCATTCCTCTACATTCGACATTTATTGGGCAGGACTGTTGTGTCCTTTTTTGTAACCTCACGCTTGCACTACGGTCACCGGATCGCCGACCGATTGAGTTGCGGGACTTCGTGTGTGCGCTCCTACATCGTCACCCTCGCCTCAAAATTACCCCGAGGATCACCCCGAGGATCAGCCCATTGCACGTCTACAACACAGTGGTGTCGCTGCATATTTAAGGCATCCACTCTGAGCCTTCCGCTTGAGACCTCGCAAAAGGGACTGTGGCGGCTGCATACTGCAGTGGGCGCTGAGGCCGCATTATTTCCCTATCCGTCAGCCGCGCGCATCGGAAACGCCGCCTTCCAGGTCACCAACGCGGACCAGGATCCCATATCCCAAAATAACACTCAGCACGCGAGCAAACAGTACTCTCCTATAACTTCCGCACGTTGGGATTTTAAGGCTGGTGTACCAGTCCGCCCAGCATGACAGACTTTCGAATGCCCCTCCATCAAGGGCCTCCTGCCCGGAAGCCCCTCTCTGGTGCCCAGCACGGGTATGGTGGATATCAGTCCTACGATTCTCCACGACCCCAACTTGCGCCCCATCTAGCGAGCCCACAGACCACGCACAGCCGGACTCGGACGACATCCTCCAGCGTGCTGCCCTACTCAGGTGGCTCTCAGCACTACTACGGCGCTCCTCCTCCACCTCCTGTTCCCCAAATGACGCTTCCTCATCAACCCTCTCGACGCATGTCTAGCACCACTACCTCGACCTCGAGTACCGGCCACCACCCTACAGTACATGCGGGGCAAGGTGTCTCTGACATCCGGCGAACTGCTTCGTCCCGCTCTGCCAACTCTCAGCTTGGATATGTGGCCCTCATGCGGCGGCAGAAAGCTACCGTATGGTGTGACCGGGCACAACCTGAAGACGCTAGAATGCGAGAACAAGCCCTACGGGACAAGAAGAGAGCATACCTTGAAGTTCATGGCGCAGGGTCTGGCCGGGCAGGAACCTTGGCTAGTGGCAAGATCAAGCACGGTCCTAAGGGAGCTATGGAGTTCTCGCCCTCAAACCTAGTGGGCGCCAAGGTCCCCGTGCGACTCAGTGCGAACGAAGTCGGCGATGGGGATGATGACACTCTCAGCAGTGATGGTGGTGCTATTCACAGACGGACCGGCAGCGGTCGCAGCTCTCTGGGAAGTACCCACCGTTACCCAAGTGGATATTCGAGGCCACAGGAACGATGGGCAGTAACAGCACACCCCCGAATGAGAAGACTGATCTCCCAGAAGTGTCGGAAAATACACCCGCGGAGATACATGAAGAGAAAAAGAGTGGACTGCCATCACTCCACAAAGATGATGCCGCGACAACACACAGCAGCGAGCAAGAGCAAGACGACTTTGTTGGTGACATGCAGGCTCCGAATGCCGCCACTACAGCTGCCGAGAAAGCCCAAAGGGCAGCCGAGTTGCGACGACGCGGCAGTGTAGACGAGCGAACTACTACCATGACCAATGTGCGACTTTTCGTCGCAAATCCCGATTCAGACAGCGACTGAGGCCCTTGTTCTCATGCAGGGTCTATCAACTCTTGTTATCCTTCATCTTCATCCTCATATCCCGCCACCTTCTATCTTTCATGATTTCTACGTGATTTCTCTTAACGCCTCGTCAATTGCACATAATACCTATCTCGTTGCAACTCCACACCTGGCCCCATTCGGCAAATCTTGATGGTTTAGACCAATGCGTCCTTTTGCTTTGTCTATATCTTTGCACGTTTGCTGTCTGATTTACTCCTTTTTATTTAAAGCGCCACATCCCTGCTTTTCTCCAGGCATCCTTCTTTCTTGCTGTATATCCTCGATGGCATTGCTGGTCTATATAGACTGGCTCTCTGTGTTGCGTTCGTCTGTTGCGTTCGTCCTTCTGCGGCTGCATACGGGGCCATCCTGGCGTTGGTTATATGGCCTAGCTTGTCTTAATTTAGAGGTTGTACCTAATTTCAACCCAAAGATTATCTCAATTCATCTCGCATTTAGAATAGCTTCCGTGGAGTAGTCCATGGGTTTCTTTGCAGCTTCATTGCTGTTTCATATAGTGCTAGGTAATTGAATTATGACAGTAACAAAAGTACTTGAGTAAATATCAAAGTACGCTCATACCATATTGATCCTGGGAGTCAAAATGATGCCATACTAGTACTCAAGACCCCACGTCCAGGAATGTCCCTTGGGCACCTCCAACCCTGCCGGCTGGAGGCCCGGGGCGCCCGGGGTCATATAGTGATTACATAAGCACACACGTGCTTATCGGTCGCGAGCGCGAAACGATTAACGCGTCCCAGTGTTGGCCCAACTGTTACCACTCTACTCCGTACACGCATTAAACAACGAGGTCAATACTCCGTGATTGAAGACAAATCGTCCAATTAGAGTGACTTCTATCGTTTCTCTCTCCAAGTCGTGCTTTCCCTTAGTTTTCACGACCTAAACCACCTATGAAGTGAAGTTGCGATCTATCACACGACAGCCTGTCCCCATCGCCCCTTCCCTCGCCCACATTCACTCCTCAGACTTCGGGTTCTTGATCAGCTCTTTACAATCTTTCTGGGTCAATGGTGCCCAGCACATCTCTATCGCCGATGCAGTCAGCTCCGTCCTTGCCCGCATCACCTTCATCGGGTCCCCGAAAACGCTCAATTCACGAGATTGATGATGCCCACCTACCCTCACCAAACGGGAAGCGACCATTGACTGAGTTTGCCGGCGAAGACCAAGAAAATTGCGATCCGTCTCTCCCCTCCCAACCTGACGACACTACCTCCCCACCAGTTGAAACCAAAAATAGTTTTCCACCTCCCCCTCGGTTGAGATCGTGATGAGAAGGACACCGCGCAAGCAAAATGAAGCTGATGACGGGGGATCAACATCTCCAGGCACCAATGCCACTTCTAATCCTGATCCCGATGCCCCGGCCCCTAAGAAGCGCAAGGTAGTCTCTGCTGGCACAGATTCCAAGCAAAAAGAAAAGGAAGCCAAAGAGCGCCAGAAGGCCGAGGAGAAAGCGAAAAGGGAGGAAGAGAAGGCGAAGAAAGAAGAGGAGAAAGCCAAGAGAGAAGAAGAGAGACGCATCAAGGCAGAGGAGAAAAAGAAGCGCGACGCTGAACGTGATGAAGAGAAACGGCACAGGGAAGAAGAAAGACGTAAGAAAGAAGCCCAACGTGAGGAGGAGCGGAAGCAGCGCGATGAAAAGAAGAAAGCCAAGGAAGACGAAAAGGCTGCCAGGGAAGAAGAGAAGCGTAAAAAGGACGAGGAGAAGGAGAAGAAAATTCGTGTAAGTGGCATCCACAATCGTCCTAACAGGAAGATGTCCATATACTAACCGAACAGTCCCAAATGAAATTAAACTCCTTCTTCGCGAAACCACCTGTACCTTCGGCTTCCTCGTCAGCAGGACAGACTATCAGCGCTCCCTCGCCGAAGAAGGCATCTACCACCGGCGAGTCCTCTTGCGAAACTCATGGCGTGCAGTCAGAATATGAGCGAGAGTTTCCCGCATTTTTTTTGCAGTCTCATACAAGCGTAGCACCTCCCCATCGGTTCGAGCGTGACTCCGATGCGCTCAAGCATGTACGAGAAACCATCGATACATGCCTACGCAACGAAACTACATTCCAGACGCATCCATTCCGTCCGTCAGAAGTCTTCCAGATAATCCCCTTCCGTCGTGGGCGTCAACCAATCTCAATCAAGGACATACTGCTGCAACTACAAATATCTGACGATTCAACCCAATCTACTCAAAACCAAAGCGCAATACCGACTCTAAAACCACAAGAGCTTCTACGCAAGGTCCCGATGAAATCTCTCAAGTTTGGCGAGGACATCCGCCCTCCCTATCAGGGAACTTATACCCGCCATGTGTCCGAATTATCCATGAGAAGACTTGCGCGGAATCCCTATCACCGAGGGCTGCCGGATACCGATTATGATTATGATTCCGAGGCAGAATGGGAGGAACCCGAGGAAGGTGAAGAGCTGGACTCTGAAGAAGAAGATGAAGGCAGTGATGAGGGCGAAGATGATCTTGAAGGTTTCCTGGATGACGAGGATGATGTCCTTGCCGGGGGCAAACGTCGTCTTATTGTTGGTGATTTAGAGCCTGTCTCTACCGGAATCAAGTGGGCTGGCAATGGAGTCGACCCTGAAATGGAGGCCTATCGGATGGAGACTATATCTGATGCGGTCAAGTTCCCCATCGACCCGTTCTCGACTGCATACTGGGAGAAACCTAAGCCCAAGCCCGTGGATCAAGTACCTGCGAAAGCGCGACCCGTGACAGCCATAGACGGCTTCCTTGTTCCTGCAGTCCCTGGAGCACCGGCGACGGGCAGTGCTTTACCTCCCACATCGAAAGCGAAACGGCCATTCCCGCCAGATCAACTTGCTGATTTCAAGGAAGCAGTTGAAGGCAGTGATCTCAGTAAGATTGGGTTGGTCGAAATCTTGAAGAAACGGTTGGTTCCCACGGTGTCTTCTGTTAGAACATATATGCTAATCCGGATATATCTAGATTCCCCAAGGTGTCCAAGGATACACTCAAAGCCACCCTTGACCAGGTTGCTGCTCGTGTCGGACAAAAAGAAGTTGACAAGAAATGGGTTTGCCGGTGATACCATGATGGAATTTCCCTACACGAGTATCTATGAACGGAGTTTGGGTGTCTAAGCATTTGTAATGCCATCATGAATGATTCACATAATTGTGATCAAGCATATTTGCTTTTTTTTTATCCTTCTTTTATTTAAAAGTCGGGGTATCCCGGGTTAGCTGCATGAAATAAATGCCGGTTGTGCGCGTGTGTCGTAGGACGATGTATAGCCATAACATCCTTGCATATGAGCATATTGCCACTGACAACGCTGACAACTCGATATTTGGATTTTAGACCAAAGTGGCGATTTAATATGTCAGATCCATATATATTATGTTGTACATATATGTAAAATTAGTATAAAAATGCTCTATAACATATAAATACGTAAGAGAGAGAACACGTCTATAAAATCTGAGGGGCGCATGAGGGGCGCATGGACACCTCATTCCTGCACTGCCAACGCATCGTCTTCGTTGTACTCGGTACCTGGTCCTTTTCGCTATTAGCCATATTTCTGACAAGTCTTTTCTACTTGGCTTTTGGCACTTTTGTAGTCTGCAACTGTCCGTTTCGAGTCTTGCTATTCTAATCCTTTTTATATTTGTTTTATACTCCGGGTTTCATTTACTTGGACTCTTTTAAATCTCCCCTCCTTAACCTTTTCCTATTTCCCTTCTCTTCCCCCGCCTTTTTTCTTCCCACACATTCATCCTGGAAGCCAACTGTTCAGCCGATCGAGTGCATCGTCACTCTAAGAACTTAGTTTTCGTTTCAGAATGCGATAGGGATTCGTCGGCTAGGGGGGGGTTTGCGACTGTCTGTCGCTAATCGCAAGATGGTAGAACACCAAGAGGATCATTCTTCGTCCTCTTTGCATTCTACAACCAGTACGTCATAATATTCATTTTTGCGCGTTTTCTCCCTTCTATGGGGATGAGAAAAGAGGGGTGCTCCTATCGTTTATATTCCCCATACGATTGCAGCCCAATCTGACCAGCTCCCAGCCGAGCAAATACCTGCTTTCCCCAAGGTTAATACACCATGTGACTTGTCTGACTCGTCGCATGGGGCGCAAGATCCCGCATCTGTGCCTTTGCCTCCTTCACCTCCGGAATCGCCAGCCATGCGCGCACTTGAATCTTCGAACGTGGGGCCAGGTGAGTTGGGCTCGGGCCGTGCCAGTCCCATGGTAGAGGCCGCTCTTTCCACTGGACACAACGGGCCGACGCCTTCCATAATACCTGTACCAGTGGAAGATGCGCCCCAAGTTTCATTCGAGGATTTTGCCACTCGTTATCATCAGAACCAGCGCAAGCAGGCCCAAAGGAAGCGACTGGAGAAACGCCTGCGTGCCACCAAGGTGTCCATTGGTGTCTCTGCGCGTATGGTTCGTGTCGGGCTGACTGCACAGCGAGGTCTCGTTGAAGCTCTCCGCCATGATGACAAGGCCAGTTTTGTTGCTCTCTACCATACACTACAAGACCTCCAGGAATCATGCTCTTCACCTGCTCCCAGCGATGGCCAGACTGACTCCGTGGACGGGGAGCCATCCTTGGGAACTGACATTGGCCGTTTCCCGGATTTCCTTCATCAGCTGAGCCCCCAGTCCCGGACGGACTTTTTGGAGATTTTGCGGCTGGTCCGCTCTGATCCCCAGTTTTTGGTTGACCGGTTACAAAGCCTGTCTTCGTCCCAATTGGCTGCTTTTACCTCTCCCGCCACGGCTTTGGATACCAATGATCCTGCGTTCCCTTCTACCTCCCGGGCTCGGGCCCAGACTTTCTTAAACAGGAGCCAGACTCAGTCCGCTGCATTCAAGGACCACGCATATGCCTTTGAGAGGACTGACCCACTATCTATACTTCTTTTTAACGTTTTTGCCGCTCCATTGGATCCAGAGACGCCTGAAGCCCGCTTGCGTATGGAAGTGTGGTCGTCTGTCTGCGCTCAACTAATCTCCAACGGAAGTAGTAGATACTATCCTCTTATCGGCCAGATTCTTTCTTCCTGGACCACCGGCAGCACTTGGAAAGCCCGCCCCAAATTTGAACTCTACCTAATGGACATTTTACAAACCGGTGCTTTTCTCCTAGAGCCTATAGCCACACCACCCGGCCTGGATTTTGCCATGGATTCCCTGGACCCCCTGCGAACGGATGTTGCGGAGGAATTCTTTGCTGCTGCCGTTGATGATTTGTTCCGTGTACTTGATGACCCGGACGGCGGCTTTCCTCACGCTGTGCTACAGTTTGCAAAGGCCGTTTTGCGGAAGCTGGATAATCCCGAGACCCGCAGCCGTTTCTTGGAGTTTTTATTCCTCCAGTGGTTCTTTTCAAAGTTCCTCTATCGCGCATTGACGTATCCTGAGGTATATGAGCCTCTGGCCCTTGGTGAACTTGCGAAGCTGACCCCAATCTGCTATTGCTGTGATAGACCCACGGTCTTCTCCTAGACTTCCATATCAGAAAAGATGCTCGCGAGAAATTGTTGAACCAGGTTGGACACCGTGCCTACGCTCAAGTCTTTGCTGTTTTGCGTTCAATGTACGTCATCCTAGGTTGAACTCTGTGCAGATTTTGACACTGTTGCTGATCTTTTCAAGGCATCATTTCTCAATCCCTCGTCCGATAATCAAGGGCCGTGTCGAAAGCATGCTCTCTCGGTTCCATGACACGATGCTGCCGGAGGTATCGGGTGACCCTTCTATTCCCTCATTACAGGCACGACTTCCTCATCGACGAAAGTCTTCAACTTTCCTGATGATGTCTGCTTTGGATGTTCTCACACTCCTAGACACTCTCTTCCAACATACCCCCTCTTCTTTGCATTCCTCACCAGCCTCTGCAGGAGTTCATTCTTGGCCGTCCAGTTCGCCACCATCTGTCAACCTCCGGCCAGACTCACTTACGGATTCTGGATTCGCTCGTTTCAAGCACGACACAAGTCCAAAACCTATGTCACATAATGGCTCCATATTCTCAGTGGAGACTCATTCTATTTTAGCGCCGGAAAATAGCCTGTCTGAAAAGGCCGCTCGCATTCGATTCGAGCTAACTGACTTAGACCATCCCAATGAGCGGTTGAGCTTAGAGCACCCTTCAAACGAGCATTGGACCATCTTCTCAGTTGCAGCAGACGGCCATGGCTTAACTTGGAGCCTCCTTCCTGATAGCAGATATGAAACGTCCAAAGTCCCGATAATTGAAAGTGACGATGATTCGCACTCCACGACGCTAGGACTGGAGGAAAATCATGAAGCGTTGCAGACAGCTATTGTTCGACTTGTCAACGAGAACCGCATTCAAGACGCGGGCGACTATGGGTTCCTTTCACAAAATGCTGCGCAACCAGTCGCCATGTCATTGAAGCAGCGGTTCAACGAAGCGATGTTCTGCTGCCATCATGACTCCGATTTTGTCGGTGCGCACTACTGGTGGAACGCGTCACAGCAGCTCGGGCAACGAGGGACGACTAGCTCATCGAGGAACACGGACGATTCATGGATATTGGGCCCGATGCATGAGAACTATAGTCGTTCACTGATCCAATCGCGAGCTGTCATTGAGCGTTGCGAGAGTGACTTTGTGTCTCTCGATCACAGTTTCCGCCGACTCCAAACTCAAGTCAAGGACCTGACGGCTACCTTTTGCAAGATCCGAGACAAGATGTGGTACATGAACGACGTCAAAAACTCCATCAGATATGAGGAAGCTAAACACGTGGCTATGGCTTTGAAAACGATGATCTACTCGGCCCGACTTTTCAGTCAGTTCCCCGAAGAACAGCGGTCCCGTTACGGAGCAAGGTCTTTGGGTGGCTCCTTGTTCCAGAAGCCTGAAGTGCAAGTTATGAACATGATGAAGGCACCCAGTAGCCAGGGTGGGCCGAATAAGCTGTCTGACGAGCAAGTCGAGCTGACCCAGAAATGGTTGTCGCACAACGGAATCGACAATTTCTGCAAGGGAGAAGAAAGAATCCATCGGTTCTGTTACGAAGTCCGGATGAGCATCAATAAACTAGTGGGTGAAACGATGGCCGAGACACCGGTGTTATGGGCAAGTGAGCTTTTCCAGGGGGAACGCTCAAGGTTCGAGGGTTACGGATCTCGCACATTCCCAGGAATGTCCATGCCTATCACTCCTCGACCTTCAACGACAACAAGCGAGGACACAAATTCTGCTTCTCACTTCTATGGTGCCAATATGCCAATGCCTGATCCTATGTCTCGTCTTTATCAAGATACACCGTCATTAGGTCGCAAGCCCTCTATCCAAAGTATAATGTCCGATAAATCGAGGCCGCAGCGTGACTTTCCTTCAATTGACATGTCTTCTCTTGGAGGTTCACCTGGTCGCGCTGCTTCGACATCTACCGGTGATACCTACAGTACATTCTGGTCCGCACCCCAGCGGCACCCTACGTATGCCACAAGCGCGTCGAGTGTCTACTCACGACCACCATCTATGTTCAGTGAGACGGCAGCTCGTCAGCCCCGTCGTGTTGAACGCAAAACTCAAGGGAAGACGGCGTTCATGGATGGCTTGAGACAGACACTGACTAGTCTGCTTCTGAGCGATTTGGGCTCTCCGGTATGGAGTTGCGGTAGTGAAACTGACGCTTGGTTCACCAATGCGCTGGACCAGAAACGCATTCAGGTGGAAATGCGCCGACGAGCCGCTGTCCAGAAATTCTACGCCGATTATGAAGAGCGCTCCAAGCATCTTGGTCAGCAACGTGGTTCATTGAAAGGTCGCCGGAGCAGGTCTCTGGGCAACCTGCGTGTCTCCCAACACAAAGCTCCTCATGTGGAGGCCTCGTCACAGCTACCGCAAGCAGTCTTGGAACCGGAAGAGCAGTCGCCATTCTCATACAAGACAGTCTTCCACCGGCTGATCGAAGTGTTTTCACGCCATGGAAACCCCTTTGTAAAGCTTAACGCGTTGCGGGACTTGCGTTCATTGGTGGTTGCATCCCTCATTTCGCCACAAGATGCCAATTCCCCTACAACTCTCAGTTCTTCCCCGGGAGAAGGTGACAGGATGCGGAGCAGTCCTCAACTCCATCGGGCCAATCGCCACAGTTTCTCGGAGGTGCGCCCCAACAACCTACCCCAGATGGACCCAATGCTACCTTCCTCTCCTCCCGAGTCAGTCACATGTGGCTCCCGACGATCTGACTACTCCACTCCGTCGGAAGCACAAATCGTAGCAACCTTGCGTGATCTGATTCTAGATGTGAAGCCAAAGACCCTTTTCAGGGACTTGCAGTTTATCTCCGCGTTTGTCCCAGGAGATCAGCTAAACAAGACGGATCGCGGGACAGCATTCCTTCAATTCGGTCTGGCCGCATTAAGCCTCAAAGAAGAGATCTGCCACAGCATGGTCGAGATCGCCGACCGAATCGTCTTCCAGGAACTCTCCCGTCGCCATCCCCCTTCGCCTCGGACTTCCAATCCCGCCCCGGTCATGCTATCCAAGATGCAGCGGGAATGTGGATCATCACTGCTAAAGAGGGCAACCCGGTCGCACAGCGCGAACTTGCCATCCTTTATCTGACTCACCCAGAGCTTCTTCCACGCGTGACTCTCCCTCTGACCCTCCCGCGGGATACCTTCAAGGCGGAGATGATGTATCGACGAGACAAAGACTCTAAATCGGACCCGCAGAGTATGTGTCTGGCGCTGCACTGGATGCAGCTGTCGGCCAGCGGTGGCGATACTCTTGCTCGGAACCGGCTTCGTGAGCGTGAGGAGTTTGACTCCATTGCATGATTGGGTTTCTGATTTTAATGTGCTTTTTCTTTTATCATTCTTTTCTTCGCTGGTTCGATCTTTTTTTTTCCTTTTTTTCCCCTTCTTTTCTTTCCTTTTTTTCCCCTTTCATTTTGACTTTCTTTTCCTTTCTTAACTCTACATCGTGATTATTACGTTGCATATATATCCATATACCCCCGTTCGGGCGATCTAGTTGGGTGTTTTAAGGCATTCGTGGACTACCGTGGACTGTGGGGCTCTTGCCTCGGGTTTCTGTCTGGGCTTGGCTCTGGAACATGACTGGCGTTCTTGAATACATTGAAAGACTGGGCGGTTTGCTGTCTTGATCTTAGTTTAATGATATATTTCCTTTACATATTTTCAAGTATATTCGTCCCTCCATACTCGAGCTCTATACATTGTCTCTTTTGGAGTCAGGACAAAAGCGTGAGAGTGCAGATTATTTTCATATCATGTAGCATACATATGTAGAAGTTTCTAGTTACTGGACCTTGTAATATGACGTCCAAGGGCATCTGATAAATGTTAGCTAAGCTGGTCGGGTAGATGATCGGGCCGACGTCATCGAGCACCCCACCACTTGACCTTATATTCTTTCTTTTCTTTTTCAACTCGTGACTGAGCTATCTGACTCAGGTTCATTCGATTTATCCGTTTTTACCCGCTATATCAGGCGGTGCTCAGCCTCCCTTTCTTTTGGATTGCAGCTGAACTTTTGAGGCCTGTGATATAATCAAAATAAAAACACCTTTTTGATTTCCCTTCCCCACCGTTGGAAATCGGTCTTCTTATTACATCGTCTACTTGCAAATCGGGCGACAGTCTTTCCTAGCTACTATCCAACCATGACTACCGTACCGCACATGCCGGCCAAGGCGCACAGCTCCGATGATGTGCATCATCGGCCAAAAGGTGAGTCCAGACTACGTCAGCACCAAACGGTGACCAAAAGCAACGATGGGATCTGACCAGCGCATTCTCGCAACTAAACAGGCATCCTCAAGAACTCCAACTCATTCCAAGGCACTACCGCTCCGATGGCATCCATCTCCCCACCCTCCGTTCCCACCATCCCCGAACCTGAGGAGACCAAAGAACTCACACTCCAAAACACCCTGCAGAATGCAGGCCGGAGATCCTCATCCACCGCCCGCCGAGGCTCTAGCTCGCGCCGACAGTCGACAGTCAGCGCCCATGACGAGAACGAGCCTCGTCTAAAGTGGGACGAAGCAAACCTGTACCTGGCCGAGCAGGAGAAAACAGCGAAGATGAAGATCGACGAACCCAAGACTCCATACGCTCCCCACTACGACCCCAGCGAAGATGATGAGCAGATGCGGCTCGAGGAGGCACAGCAAACCCTACTTGACGCGCAGGGCATTGTCGTCGATGAGCTGGACAAGCCGACTAAGCCCGCCCAACACCGGAAGGGTGTGTCCGAGGATGAAATCCCTGACCTGGAGCTCGGTGAACCAGAGGAACACATGCAGGACGTTGCTATGAACGACCCTCGTGTCTTCCGTGACCGTAGCATGAGCATGGACTCGCACAAGAGTGAGAAACATGTTCATGTCGGTGTGGAGGATACAAATGGTGCCGATGCGCCTGATCATGATCCGCTCTTGACGACTGAAGAGGCCCGCGCGAAGCATGCTCATTTCGAGCAGCAGCGTAAAAAGCACTATGAGATGAGGAATATCAAGGAGCTACTTGCGTATGTTGATCTTGGTCCAGCCTAATACTTTGATTTTAAGCTAACTTTATATCTAGCCATCCCGAGGATTTGGATGAGGAAATGGAAGACAATGATGAATCGGAGTCTGGTGTCCCGTCCGCTATGCCTCCGATGCCTGAACGGTTCCGCAGCAACGGACTATAGAGATAGGTTGGCTTTCTGGTTCTTTTCCCGTGCTTTGGTGTCTTTGGGTCTAGTTCTTGCCCTTACGGTGGCGCTAGTTGATCTCAGGTCACCCTCGCGCTAGTATCCCTTCTTTTTTAATTGTGTGTTCTCTTCTTCTGTGTATATTCCCCCAGTGCTATCCCTGTTTACCGGGATTTTTATTCTTGCTCGTTTCCTATTCTGAGTTTCCACTTAGCAAATGATCTCTTCGCTTCAGACCGAATTCTATCCTCCTGTGGCCCTTTGATTCACAGGAATGAATACATGATCTCTAGATTACCGGACCTTATATGTAACATCGTAGGATGATTCTTGTCTGAATAAGCTCGTAAACTCTAGAGATCGTCCCCGGGCTTGTCCTACATAGATAGAAAGGCGAAAATAAGTATGTTTATTGTGCTACTAGACAACCCTATGGTCGTTATAATACTATCAACGCCAGTAATTTAAGAATGGCCCAGGCCATCACTGACATTCAGCTGTTATTCGCTCGAGCCACTGGGCATCAATGCACGTCGAACAGAGGGTTCAGATTGGTCGGAAGAGGGAAAAAGCAATCATAACATTACCTGAGATCTGCAGCCAGTGTACTCCGTACGGCGTACGGAGTGCTATTGTCTCATTATTTGCTTGGTTTTGGGGCAAATATAGGCCACGTCCCTCCCAGGCCATCTACTTCTGGTAAATGTATTTTGCTTGGGTTTTTTTCTGGCTCAATCCCAACCTTTTTCTCTTCTGCTTTGTTTTACTGATCCAAAACAGCCCGTTTGATTGATAAAGTACGCGTTAAAATGTTTCCTTTACCGGATACCAAGAAGCAGGTTTCATTGTCAACATGGGGATATCGCTGGCGCTCGTCCGATACATTTATTCTCAGCAGCATGTCCATGGCGTTATTTACGGGTTCGTGCATTGAATTACAATGAGGAGTGAACATTGAGTCGTCCTATCTTACAATTTCTTTCTGTAGATGAAATGCTCTTCGCCTTCATGGTCCCACTGCTCCCTCATATCTTCGAGAACCGCCTAGGGCTAGACACATCCCTCACCCAGCGATTGACCTCCATATTTCTAGTTGAAGGGGCATTGATATCTATCATCTCAAGCCCATTTGTTGGGGATATATCCGACCGAGCCAGCTCCAAGAAGGTCCTACTACTGGCCTTGCTGGTACTAACGCTAATCAGCGTATTATGTCTATCAATCACAACATCCCGTAAGGTCCAATTTTCTATACTGTGAGTCGCACTACCACCCATTGTACTAACTCATTCCCAGTAACCTGGCTCTTCATCGGTCGATTCTTCCAATGCATCGTCAGCAACGCATTATTTATCGTCGGCATGGCCACAATGGCCGGGAACATCGGATCAGAACACATGGGCAAGATAGCAGGTTTGAGCTCGACCCTAACAGCAGCTGGGACATGCTCTGGACCTGTCATTGCTGGGTTTCTCTTCGGAATTGGAGGATACTGGACAGCATGGGGTGGCGCGACTCTGTTTCTCGTGGTGGATATCATTATGCGTCTGCTCATGATTGAAAAGCCGCAGAAGCGCCGTAACACTTGTCGCAGTCGAAATGGATCTCTATGCGCTGAGGAGGATAGACCGTCGTTGGAAGCAGAACCACTTCTCAACGGAGATCGGTCATCGAGTACAGAGGAAATCGGCGGTTGGCGCTTCTATGTCTGTCTTTTCCGTCAGCCTCGCTTTACGGCGGGGATTGTCTGCTATTTTGTCTTTGCGCTGTTTATCGCCAGTTTCGAGTCTACGATCGCCATGCATGTCCGGTCTGCTTTTGGTTGGGGCGTTTTCCCTGTTGGGCTTTTGTTCGCGTCTATCCAGGGTCCTGGGATGATCTTGGCTCCTCTTGTTGGGTTGTTGAAAGACCGTGTCGGGTCGAGGGTTCCTACTACCATTGGATTTATCCTTGTTGCGCCTTTCCTATGGGTTCTTGGAGTCGCTGGTGATGAGCGCTTTCCGTGGGCTACTTTGGGATCTAGAGGGAAGATCATTTTTGGAGTCGGTACGACTATGATCGGGTGTTTTACGTGCTTGCTTATGGGGGTTGGCACGATGGAAGCAACTGGTAAGCTTGAGGTGTCATTTCTGGGAACTGGAATACTGATATGTTCTTTGTAGCAACTGTTGATGAGTTGGAGGACCTGCATCCTGGCATATTCGGTCACTATGGAGGGTATTCTCGTGCTGTTGCAGTCACAAATATGAGTTGGATGTCTGGTCTACTGGTCGGACCTATCTTGGCTGGATTTATAGTCGAAAGATTTGGGTACTTTGAGCTGCAGTGTGTACTCAGTAAGTTATTGATATTAATGGCTGGCTTCCCACTCTGACGATATCTAGTGGTCATTTCTTTGCTGGCTAGCATTAACGCTGCCTTTAACCTCAGTTCAACCAGTGGGAAAAGGGAAAAGTGTGATAGTGACTTTGGGACGGATGAGCTCTAGTTGATACATGTCCGAGGGAATACGAAATATAGAGTAATAATATTAATTCGGCTTGTTTAGTGAATGCGCTCAATGTGTATAAGAACCAATTTACAGGACTAGACAGCCAGAAATATACGAACGGAAGCCACTTGCAATGGTTGGATGCTATGGAGCACTCCCTACAGAGTACTTCGTACATTGCTGGCATCTGCACCTCGTCAATTCGTCCCGCTGCTTGGCCAATGTGCTTCCGCATACGCAGGTCGAAGGTTTTGGTCACATCTGCGTGCGTCCATTTCCGAGCAGGTGGCTTGGCTGAACCTGACTGCATTGCGCTCCGTTTTATACCGGTGGGCGGAGTACTCGGTAGGTTTACTAGGATCACCATCTGTATACGAATCTAGTTTAAGTATAATAATCGTATAATAATTGTATAATAATCGTATAATAATAGTATAATAATCTTCCAAATCAATCTTCTTATGAGAGGTCTACGGAAATACCAAGATGCATGGTGTAATGTAAGGTTATTTCAAAATCCTTGGCCCTTCATGGCCATTAGCTAGCGCCACTAAAAGAAAGTGCCTAACTCTTACGATCCTCGCAGGCCCGGATGGCGCAATGGGAGCGCGAGATCGCTGGAATCTACAACTATAACTAAAGTATCAAGCAAATACAAGCAACCCTTGGTCATTTTTAATGTAGGAAACCAAAGCATTCTATGTTAGAATGGGCCGATAGTACTGCATTAGTCCTCGTTGAGTCCTACCAGAGGTGACCTATGAGGTGATACTGTATAGGATAACGATGTGAGACTAATAAGCTTTTCAATTTCTTCTAAAGGTATAACCTCGCCAAAGTTCCCAGCATTACACCCTATGTGAGCTGCACCTAACATTACCGCAATGCGTCAATACCTGTCTCTCACTTTTGCTTCCCGTCAAGACCAGTGAAGAGCTCGTAGCCAAAGTCTTTGCTCGAATCATTGAACCGGATCTTCTTGTCGATCGAATTAATCTTTTCGATATCTTCAGGTTCAAGCTCGAAGGCGATATCAAAGTTTTGTGTGATCCGCTCTGGCGACTTTGATTTCGGGATGACGGAACGGCCGTGTGCGATACCCCAGGCTCCGAAAAGTCAGCTCTAGGAATACCCTTTTGGACGATCAAATGGAACACATACCGAGTGCGACTTGGTTCGAAGTTTTTCCGTACTTCTTTCCGATCTCGACCAAGGTCTTATCATTTACCAGCTGACCATGTTCCTCGCGAGAACCATAGATTTCATTCTGGTTGCCGAATGGTGAATACTGCGTCACATGAATGCCATGCTTCCGGTGGAATTCAAAGAAATCCTTTTGCTGGAGCCAGGGATGCATCTCCATCTGGTGAACGGCTGGTTTGATCGTCGCATTCGTAAGGATACGCTCGATTTCCTGTTGGGAAAAGTTGGAAACCCCGATAGCTTTAGTTTTACCGGATTTGACAAGGCCTTCCATTGCCTTGTAGGTCTTTGAGCAGTTAGTAGGCAATCTTGCCGTTGGTTTTCAAACAGGACTTACATCGAGGTAGTCAATGTCTTCGGTTATCAGATTCCCGTCTTTGTCAGATGGGAATGGATCATCTCCACGTTTGAAGGCAACAGGCCAGTGCATCAAGAATAGATCAAGGTATTCCATACCCAAATCATCCAAGCTGGCCTGCAGTGCCTGACCAACATCGTCAGGATGGTGCTTGTTGTTCCACAGCTTGCTGGTAACAAAAATCTCGCTCCTGGGTATGCCGCTTTGCTTAATAGCTTTACCGACAGCAACCTCAGTACCATAGCTAGGGGAGTCAGCCTAGTTTTATGCGTCAAGTTGAGAAAGTTTACCATCTTGCCGTGTCAATATGGCGATATCCTGCCTGGAGGGCTACAAGGACTGCTGCCTCTTGGGCAGACTCGTCTTGCCAAGTTCCCAGGCCAATGGCAGGGATCTGAGCACCAGTAGAGAGTTTGAAGGTTTTTTGAGCGTTGGAGACCATGGTATTTCAGGGTAGAGAAAAATGAAGTAAAGACCAAGATAGTGTTAATTGTTGGCTTTATACCTACATACCTAGGTATGTAGACCTTGATATATCCATAGATTGGTTCTCCAGCTACCAAGATTTGGAATTCCAAGATTCCAAGATTTCATTGTAGGTTGATGTTATGGTGACATCGGGATGACATCAACCTCAGACCTGCATCTCTCCAGATGAATACCATGAATGGATAAAGCTGATCTTGCCCTCAAGCGCACTGCAGACAATTATGTGTATTCATGCTATATAATAGCCTAGTGAACAACCACGAACTATGTATATACAAAGGGCCTATGCACATATTCTTTTCATGTAAAATTTGGTACTGGAGCGAACTGCTCTTTGATGACGATGTTTTATGCCATGACATTTCCAAGATAAAAAGTAAATCAACTAGACCAGTCAATCCATTTCCATTGGATGTTTGTCTGTTAGCTAAATTATTACCAACTAATATTGTAGTTATGTATCCTACCGTTTGGCTCTATATTTAATTAAAATTAGACATATCAGCTAAATATATAGCTTCTTCGGTATTCCTTAGTAGCTTCTTTAGAGCTAAGCATTTTTCAGATCATGTTAGCGATTCCACTACAGAGTACTCCGTTCTGGAAAGTTGTGTAGAGAAAACTCCTTATAGCTTAGCGCTTGCTTTCGTTCATCACAAACCAAGCACAACATTGACATTAATATGTTATGGTTTAAAAGGGTCAAGAACAAAAAGGAGAGATTAGAAAAATAAATAAAAATAGAAATAGAAGATGTGACATGTCGATCATGAAACACAATATAATATATAGCAGGGCTGACAGGTGACAGGTGGGGTTGATAAGTGGCCCGATTATTGACAAGGCAACTGCGACCCCTGTGAATTCAAAACCCCCTATTTCCTCGAACCTCAACAACACCATCAATCTCACCATGGCGGACACTGCTGATCAGAATGCGCCTGCGTCTAGTGCGCCCGTAATCGAGAAACGTGAGCAAACCGTGGAAGCAGTCGATAAGCCCGTGGAAACACCCGCGATTGTCGAAAACACCGAACAGACTGCAGCAAAAGATGAACCTGCGAGTGCCCCAGTTAAGGAGCAAGCGCCTACAAATGATGCTACTGCCGCCGCCACTGCCACTACAGAGTCTGAAGCGGCAAAGCCTGAAGAACCCAAGGTTGAAAAGCCAGCCTACCTGAGCAAGAACCCGGCGTTGGGCGAGTTGTTCAGCCGCCTGCCAACCATTCTCGGAAACATTGGTCACACTGAGATGTGGGGAGTGTCTCTCAAAGACAGCGACGATATCCCCACCGTCAACGTGTTGATCAAGTTCCTGCGCGCAAACGAAGGCAATGCCAAAGCCGCCGAGACGCAGCTCAGCAAGGCACTCCAATGGCGCAAGGACGTGAACCCGCTAGCATTGGCAGAGTCCGCAAAATACAGCGCGGCTAAATTCGAGGGTTTGGGATACCTGACGACCTATGAGGAGAATGGACGGCCCTTGGTGTTTACTTGGAATATCTACGGGGCCGTGAAGGATATCAGTGCGACATTCGCGGACACCGATGAGTAAGAACCGGGCATGAAGAGTACAATTGCAATCAATTCTAACTGCATGCAGATTCGTCCAATGGCGCGCCGCTCTCATGGAACTCGCCGTGCAGGACCTGAAGATGAAGGATGCTACCGAGGTCATTGAGTACGACGGCGAGGATCCCTATCAGATGATCCAAGTCCACGATTACATGAATGTCAAGTTCTTCCGTATGGATCCATCTGTCCGTGCCGCAACAAAGAAGGTCATCGATGTGTTCGCTACGGCATACCCAGAGCTCCTGAGGGAGAAGTTCTTCGTCAACGTTCCTGCTATCATGGGCTGGATGTTCACCGCCATGAAGCTTATCCTGAGCCGGAACACCACGCGCAAGTTCCACCCGATCACGAACGGCGTCAACCTGGCTCGGGAGTTCTCTCCTTCGATCGTCGAAAAAATCCCCAAAACTTATGGTGGCAAGGGTCCGGAGCTGAAGGAGAATGCTAGGTTCGTCCCACTGGTTGAGGACAAAGAACAGGAGACCAAGGGCAAGGGCAGGTCTGCCGAGGAGCCTACTGCTGCTGAGCCTAGCAAGGAGGAGACGCCTTCGAAGGAAGAACCCCCCCAAGGCGGAGGCTGCGAAGGAACCCGAGGAGGTGCCATTGAAAGAAGAAACTCCCAAGGCGGAGGCACCCAAGGAGGAGACTGCTAAGGAGCCTGCCAAAGAAGTTGTTCCCAAGACTGAGTCTCTGAAGGAGGAACCTGGCAAGGATGGAGCCCAGTAGATCAATATTTGGCTGGTGCTGTCTGTTATGATACCCGGAGGAGCAGTGAATAACACTCCCCGCTCTTGTGTACCTGGTTTCAGGTCATTGGTGTGCTTTATCAAGATGCACTGTATTGTTAGTACCTCATGGTTAGCAATATCTAATTTTATTATTTTCTGTCTGTGAATTACAATGAAGATTGATTTGATGTCTTCGTGAAACAAGTATGTCAGTATAGGCTGTAGGCTAGCTTGTACGGGTGACTGCAGAACCATTCGCGCAGCTCTTATCGACAAGCTTTCATCTTCCAGACGGCGCTTGTTCACTTTATTCATTCTATCCATTGAGGTTTGCCGCGTTTCATTCATCGTATATACGCAAAACTGACTCAATAGAAAGTGCTACTTTTGTTCAATCTGTGGATCCGCTGGCGGTGGCCTCAGGATGCGACTAGCCTTCTAAACTTCATCTGGCCCCTCGTCCCTCGCGCTTCACCTCACTTTTCGCGATAGCACCATTATTATCTAAACCCGAATTTATCTCGATCTTTCCCTCAACACATCTATTGCAGATTGCGCCCTCTCATCATGTCGGTCTGGAACCCCGATAACATCCGCGATGTCGCCGAATCCGTCGGTATCCTCAACCTCAATAATGATGTGACTGAGAATCTCGCCCGGGACGTCGAATATCGAGTTGCGCAGGTTCTTGAGGAAGCACTGAAGTGTATGCGCCACTGTAAGCGCACGGTTCTTACCACTCAAGACATCGCGCTGGCCTTGCGCAACCTGGACGTGGAGCCATTGTATGGCTACGACTCCACCCGCCCGCTGAAGTTCGGTGAAGCCTCTCTAGGACCTGGCCAACCGCTGTTCTACGTTGAAGATGAGGAGGTCGATTTTGAGAAGCTGATAAATGCGCCCCTACCAAAGGTTCCCCGCGAAGTCTCCTTCACTGGTGAGTGGATACCATTCCCTACTTCGATGTGCTGTTCCGTCACTAACCGTCTACTTTAGCCCACTGGTTGGCTGTCGAAGGTGTGCAACCGTCAATCCCTCAGAACCCAACCGCTGCCGATTCTCGTAACCTCGAACTAGTCTCGAAGGGTCCGAACGCCAACTCCACACTGGCGGCAGTTAGTGGCACGGGCGATGTGGCTGTCAAGCCACTGGTCAAGCATGTGCTTTCAAGGGAACTCCAGCTCTACTTCGAAAAGGTCTGCAGTGCCTTTTTGCACGAAACGAGCGAGGATTATCGCACCTCTGGGTATTCCAGCCTTCGCGAGGACCCAGGTCTGCACCAGCTGGTGCCATACTTTGTCCAATTCATTGCCGAGAAGGTTACACACAGTCTCAAGAATGTTTTCGTTCTTACTCAGGTGATGCACATGGCCGAGGCATTGGTCCAGAACCAATCACTTTATGTGGACCCTTACGTGAGCAGACCCTGTGATTTTTGGAGAACATGTTCAAACGCTAACCGCATATCAGATCGCCTCTCTTGTACCATCAATTCTTACCTGCCTCATCGGCCGACAGCTTGGTGGAACTGCGGATCTCGTGGAGTCATTCGCTCTGCGTGATATGGCCGCCTCTCTCCTCAGCCTTATTGCCAAAAAATACTCCCATTCCTCTCACATGCTCAAGCCTCGGCTCGTGCGCTCCTGTCTAAAGACTTTCCTTGACCCTTCAAAGCCATTCGGTGCTCACTATGGTGCCGTGATTGGCCTTCAATCTGTGGGCGGCTCTGAAGTAATCCGTGTCCTCGTCATTCCTAATCTGCACGAATACACCAAGCTTCTCAGCGATGGCTTGGACGATGCTGCCCGCCGGCCAGCTGCGGAGCGAGTTCTGAATGCACTTGTGGCTGTGTTGGCCTCTCTGCGTGGTAGCCAACCGTTTTTGACCAATGGTCATACTGTCACAGATGATATCCGCTCCAGATTAGTTGACAAGGTCGGTGATCTCATCGCGGCAAGGATCGTGGAGGCCGGTGAGGTGCAGTTAGCGCATATCATTTTGGAGGCATGAATGACGTTGGGTTTTCTCCATGGTATCTCTCGGGTGCTTTTACAAATAAGGTCGCGACGATTTGTTCATGCGACATGGCGTTATCTCGGGCGTTGGTTCGGGTTATGGATACCTAGGTAGACATATTCAGGCTCTGAATATGTTTTTTAATTGCATGACAGTGATCATTGTGTTTCATATGGTAACACCACCCATAGATATCCGTCTTACGTAGTGGATTGATTGCCTCTGCGATACCTAAATTGGGGTCTCTTTCCAGTCCTGGTGCTCAGGGAATGAATGGCTTCGCTTTTTGCTTGCTGAGTACGCTTGAGCTAATCTTGGAGGGCTCTCTTCGAAGGTTGGGTGGCCCAGTCGACTCATGATTTTTCGGTGCTCGTCTGTGGTCACTCGCATTTCTCCATAGGTAGCAGCTTGGTATCGGCATTCCTACAGTTTACTTAGCAGTACATTCATACTTGCAACTGTAAATATAGAGACGTACTACGTATATCGTCAAATCTCCCCGCTTAGGCCTCCCCGCTGCTGAGTCAGGTGTTACATAACAACTTCAGGAACAAAGTTTAATTCTGCCAGGCATCACCGCTCGTGTGAGGACCGGGGCCTCGCCCCGCTTGTGCTCTTTTCCGCCTTTTTTTTTTTTCTATTTCCTCTCTGACAGGTCGAAAATCATCGGTGACGGTCTGCATGTTACTGCAGCTTTCAGCTTACCAACCTAGTATGTATCACATTACAGTCCAATACATCCCCTGCAATTGAGACTTTCAGCTCACACATTGCTGTTCCCTGATGTCAGACAGATTTTGATCCGTTTTGCCCCACCCTATCGCCGGGCCCACAGAGAAAATCACTTATTACCAACCGAACTGGCCTTCAGCAAACATTTTGCACTTCCCCCTCCCACTCGAGGTCACCAAGGCCAGGAAAAAAAAAAAGTGCTTCGCAAATCCTTTGAAGCGAGAGATTCTTTGCTCTCTCTAGACACTGAGTAATCCTGATCTCGGGCACCCATTGGGCTTCTGGGTGAGACTGTCCTACAGACAAACCCCGCCGATGTTCACGACTGTGGCCCTTCGCTACCTCGTGTTGATCTAAGCCGAACTTGTTTTCGCCTTCCATGAGCCCATCTGACCTTCTGCGATTCTTGTCTAAGCCCGCGAAGTAAGTGTGATTTTTCCCTTTGTCCTGGTAAAACCGTTGATTGCGAAAAGCAATCAAAGCCATTGGATCAAATATCAGGGTCAATGCCATGACCTCTGATACGACAAATAAATTTCAATGCGTCTATCCTCTCTTATAGTACTCCTTCTAATCACCATACTGTCCTAGGCCTCGATAACACGACTCCCGTCGTCACCAGCTCCCACTTTTTCCAATATCCCTTTTTTAAAAAAGCAGAATTCTCGTCTGCTAGACCCGATACTTTGACCGGTATCGGTATCTTCCAGGACGAGGGTAACGACTGCTAGTCACCATTTCTCTTAGCATCTTCTTTTTGTCCTTCGCCTTCCGCCCTCCTTAGCAGCCCTTCGGTCTGTTTGGAGATTATATCCGCCTGGTCTGACCAGTCAAATTCTTGTTTCAGGGCCTTCTCTTCTCAGACGGGCATCGCCCCCTTGTTCGTCTGGGTAAGTAGACAGTGCTTCTATAGCCTATCTTCACCAAAGTCCATAGGGCGGTCCGACGTCACTGTTTCTGCTTCGTTTAACACACACAAGTATAACAGCTCAAGCTACATCAGTCATCATGGTTTACGTCGGTATTCCAACTAACTACACCGCCTCGCCGTCCTCGTTCGCGGGGACACCATCTCTGACAATCAACTATGAGGCCACTCAGGATCTCGACTCGACCAATGCTTTCGAAGGTCCTGAGAAGCTTCTCGAGGTATGGTTTGCGCCGTCTGCCGCCGAGCTAGGCGCCGCCGGTCCCGAAGGCCTCAAGAAAGTGCCCGGGGAGATCTGGAAGGATATGCTGGACCTGGTCAACTGCCAGGTGCTTTCCGTTATCTCCTCCGATGAGATGGACGCCTACCTGCTATCGGAGTCCAGCATGTTTGTCTGGCCGCACAAGTTGATTCTCAAGACGTGCGGAACTACCACCTTGCTTTCGGGACTTCCCCGCATCCTGGAAATCGCTGCCTTGTTCGCAGGATTCCCACGCGCCACGGCTCCCCCATCCCGGGGGTATCACGGTTGCTGCGGCTCCCTACCGAGTCTTCTACAGCCGCAAGAACTTTTTGTTCCCTGACCGTCAGCGTGGCCCCCACCGGAGCTGGCGCGATGAGGTGCGTTCTATGGACAGGTTGTTCGTCAATGGCAGCGCCTACATGATCGGGAAGATGAATGGAGAACATTGGTATCTCTACCTTACCGAGCCGGGCACCATCCTCACCCCACCGGCGAGTCCCAAGGAGGAGGTTGACTTCCACGAGACCGAAACTAAGGTCCTCAACTTCCCTGACGCAAAGCTCCGCACTGATTGTGATGAGCACGATGAGACCCTCGAGGTTCTGATGACCGACCTTGACGAGGAAAATGCGAAGCAATTCTACCTCGAGAACGCCACTGCCGTGGCAGAGAAGCGTCACCGCAACTCGGAGAAAGACGATGGTACTGATCACCTCGACGTCTTCAGTAACAGCTCCGACATGGATGAGGAGACGGGTAACATCCTGCCGCCGGAGCTAACCACCGAGGGCCATGCCCTGGGCACTGTCGTCTCTGAGTCTTGCGGCCTGTCCGACGTGTACGCCAAGAGCAAGTTCCCGGATGCTCGCATCGATGCGTATCTCTTCACTCCATGTGGCTTCTCTGCCAACGGTGTTGTGCCGGCTCCTGATGGCAACGCCCCGACCCACTACTTCACTGTGCATGTCACACCAGAGCCTCAGTGTTCGTATGCGTCCTTTGAGACCAACGTGCCGCACTCCCAGAACGGCAAGGCCACCGCCGACATCATCCAGCAGGTCGTTGGCATCTTCAAGCCTGGTCGTTTCAGCATCACCTTGTTCGAGACTAAGCCCGCGTTGGATGAGCTCGACGAAGCGAATGGGCAGCATGATGTGGCACACGCTCAGCGCCAATCTCTCCGCCGTAGCAACAAGATGGAGCACGTCGAAGGCTACCGTCGTGTCGACCGCATCGTCCATGACCTGAACGGTTATGATCTTGTGTTCCGTTACTACGAACGCAATGACTGGAAAGGGGGGGGCACCACGAATTGGAGAGAAGGGGTTCTAAGGTGATTTGGTTCTTCAGCCATCTGCCATTGGACCGTTCTCCCTTCGCGGCTGCGACCTTTCCATCCGTTTCGGTTTCTGTTAATTTGACATTCGATTTTTGCACAGTTCTCTCTGTTTTGTTCATTTTTGCAATATTGTTTCCTTACATAGTGCACAGCATCGCATGATTAAGCTGAGCGACTCATTCTTTCCTCATTTGTTACAGTGGTTCAGTCGAGAAATCTTGAAGCATGGGTATATTGAGCTTCGGTTCTTCTCAGAATTTCGTCGTTCTGTCATTCTTTTGATCATACCTCATACCTGGTTTCGGAGACTCATTTGCGGGGTAAATTTAAGCATCTTGAACCACATGATCATCATTTTCTACATTCATATTCTCCTCAGTGTAAAGAGTAAATTCTAGGATTCCCAAACGTGAGCATCCAATGTACGTAGGGCTATGGTTGACCTAGGATGGAAGGCGGTGAGATGCGTCCTTATCTCGTGTCTCGTCCAAATTGCTTCCTGATTGAATCAGTTACACTAGCTACTTTCACTGAAACCCCGCCGTAAATTTACATCGCTATCTATGGTCCTTTGGGAGCCATCTTACTATCGCTTGAAGCCTCGAAGCTAAAATTCATTCATTCCAATCCGAGTCTGATTTCCACCTTCCCCGCCCGGCGCAACGGCGCAGCGTGAATCCTCGTCCCCGAAAGAGCTTTAGCTTGCGCTCATACTCTACCGAGTAGACTGAAAATCCCCACAGCTGGGCTGTTCGAACACAAGTTTATCGAACAATTGAACACGCAATACACCCTGCCCCAATCTATCCGCTACAGCTTCTCAAAATGTCGTCACCACCACCATACCAGTCATCATCCAACCCCCTCAAACGACCCTCCATCTCCTCCTCCGCCTCACAGCCGCTCGGCAAGAAGCAGCGCATGCACCCACTCCGCCAGACTTCATTTCCGACTGGCGTCGATGCTGGCGATCGCAGTTTCGCTGGGACCAGTGAAGCCGGGAGCGTGACAGGCAGTTTTACAGGGAGTCTGGGCGGAGCAAGTGCAGACGGAGTATTCTCTGGTGCTGCGCGGGGGAAAGAAACGAGGACGCAAGAGTAAAGTCGAGAAAGAGCGGGAACGGGAGCGTGATGATGCTCTCAGCGCCAGAGGGGGAGATTCCACACGGTTCGGATCAGTCGATAACGAGGGTTCAGTCAGAGGTGGTCCTTCTGGCGGTGGAGGGGGCGGTGGGGGTGCTGACGATGCGGACGACTATGACGAGGAGGACGAGGCAGAGCTATTTGGGCAGCAAGAAGGAGCTACGGATACAGAGGCTGAGAAGAAGAACCTAGCGTACGTTTTCTCCTGCCATTTTGGTAATATTGGATGAAGCTAACGTTGGTCTTGGGCAGGATCCTGGTCGATGCTTTCAACCCTGTGCAATCGGAACGATATGACCTCTTCAAGCGAGCAAAGCTGCGCAAAGAAACACTCCGCCGCATCGTGAACCACGCCCTCTCACAATCCGTCCCAGCCAGCGTCGTGACGACCGTCAACGGTTTCACCAAGGTCTTCGCCGGTGAGGTGATCGAAATGGCTCGAACAGTCCAGGCCCAGTGGGCCGAAGCACACGACCTTGCTGCGCGCGATGCGTTTGAAGCCGAAGAAGCCGCTGCCGAGGCCGCAGCCCAGGCGAAGGCCTCGGGCGTGACCGCAAACTCAAAACCCTCTACGCCAACTCCAGCTGGCACACCGGTCCCCGGTTCGGCGTCAGCCTCTTTCAGTAACGGAGTTAAGAAAGAACCACATGATTCCAACAGTACACCTACACCCTCTATCCCTACTCATCAGAACTCAACAACATCCTCTCCTCACCCAACCCCCACTCCTCTCCGTCCCAGACGCGAGTTCCGTCCCCACCAAACCCACACCGTGGCCAGCTTCTACCATCACATCTGCGTGAAGCGGTACGGCGGACAAAGCGTAATGGCGAAGGTGGTGGAGTCGGTTACTCGGGATTGAGTCTGGAGAACCTAGGAGTTCGTGGCTCGTTCACGTGGAACTCAGGAAGTGCAGGTGGGAGAAGGCTTTTCCGATAATAGCTTAGTAGTCTTTCATTACATATCGGCGAGCTTTGTTTTCCTTTCTTTTCATGTCTAATACACTAGGATTGGCGATTTGGTCTTTGGGGGGAAATTGTTACGGCAGACTGGGTCTGTTCGGCTTTGATATCATGATTATTCTCCACAACATACTATGTACTATTAACCGACTTGACTTGACATACCTTCATTGGGCCTCCATTCACTATTATCCTTGTAGATGGAGCCCTACTTTTAAATTCTAGAAAACGCTCGTATCCAACCACACATTCCACTAGATTCGATATCCAATTTGATACATCTAACCAGGGGACCCTCGCTCTTGGCAGGAGTGAAGAATGCCCCTGTCTTAACTAAGCCTGCATACTGGTTTCATTCCATACCTCTCGTTCAATTCGTGCCTGAATCTCTTGCTCGTCGTGACGAAAACCATCACCAAACACACCTGCAACCTGCTCGAGAGACTTATTTGATGTTTCCGGGACAAACAAGAACGAGAATAAGGCAGCAGCAACACAGAATAGGCCGAAGAACAGAAAAGTGCCCCATCCAAGTGAAACTAGCATTTGGGGAACCACAACACCAATTATGAAATTGGCCAACCAAATAGTTGCAGTCGCGAGACCAACGCCTTTTGCTCGTCTTGAACTTGGGAATACTTCAGCCGGGAGGACCCAAGCGAGGGGTCCGTATGAAGCTGCGTAACAAGCAACATAGATATCTGTATTAAATATCATTAGACAGAGTAGTTTAAGTTGATATCAAGTCACGGCTTACATATAAGAGCCACACCAAACCAACCGACCCCCTTATGAGAAGTCCAGCTATCGCTGAAGCTCCCATATATACCTGCCATTATGAGATGTGGAATAGCCATAGCAACCCCGCCAATAATGGCAAGCTTTCGTCTGCCAATGCCATCCAAAAAGAGTAGCGTGGGGACACTAGCCACGAGTTGGACGACGTTCACTAACCCGGAGAGAATCAAAGACATGTCATAACTCTGACCGAGTCTCGAATAGAACGTAGGCGCATAGTACATAAAGGCGTTGATGCCAGAAAACTGTGTTGGTTTCTGTAAGCTTCTGTGCGGCTCTCGATTTCAACAGAAAAGAAAAGTACCTGTTGGAAGAAAGGGATAGCAATGGCTACAGCTGTTCTGCGGAGATATCGAGGACGAAAGAGATCTAACCATCCCCTGAGCTCCAACATTGCTGGTGCTGTGTTAGGATATTGATTGTGCATTATCTCTCTTTGAAATCGGACTTCTGTGATAATGCCCCTCCATTCTGACTGAACTGTCTCATCCGACGGAGGTAATCGTCGCAGCTGAGCTAGCGATAGTAGACTTTCCTCTTTCCGGCCACGAAGGGCGAGCCATCGAGGCGAGAATGGAAACAAATGGATTCCAAAACCAACGACCAAGGCCGGTATCATTTGGAGAAAGAATGGCAACCGGAACGCCCAATCTCCATCAATCGCTCTGTTCACATTTAACATAGGCCGCCGTTAGAGGGGGAAAAAGCGACTTACCTTGTGCCATATGTAATCCAATACGCGACAACAGCTCCTATGACAATGCTGATGGCCTCGAGTACCATCAGAGAGCCTCGCAAATTGGGAGGTGCAATTTCCGAGATATAGAGTGGTGCACCCATAGCCAATGTGCCAACACCTATTCCGCCAATAAACCTGCCTGCAACAAGTGTACCATATTCATTGGCTGCGGTTTGCATAATCGCACCGACGCAGAAGAATCCAGTGGCAATGCTGATGCCCCATTTCCTTGAGATTCGGTCAGCAAGGTATGGGAAGAATAGACATCCCACGAAAGCGCCGAGCTCTAGCATTCCAGTAAGGAAGCCGACGTTAAAGCCGTAGCCGGGGGCATCAGTGTCAATCTCAGGGAATTGATCGATGAATTGAGGCATGACTAGGATTAAGGAGATGACACCTTGGTCTGAGAATGGTCAGCACAAAATCGGTCATTTGTTATGGAAAGCTCACCATAGCCGAAGGATAACCCGCCAAACGATGCTAGTAGAGCTGCACCACAGACGAATGGCGAATTGAGGATTCCTCTGATGCCATTGCTTTCGTAGGCCATTTGTCCAACTGCAAAGAAGTGACCATCAATTCGATCTTCATGACTAAAAGAAGTCTTCTTAACAGCTCGGGGGTTGTCCTCGACATGCATGATTCAGATACGAAAACTGTAGCTCAGTGGAATTGGGAATTGACCTGAAATTTGGTCAATTGTAGCCCTTGTAACCCCTTTGGGGGGTCATTTGAGGGGTTTATATAGTACTACTACAGCTATAAGATGGAATATAGAATAATATAGAACGTGATATCTCCAATTCCTTTTTGAGTTGTAATTGGTGAGATCATGCGGGGGGAGCTCCCCATGGGGTTGCGGAAATTATGACCGTTTTGGATACTTCGACATGTACATAGACCGGCTATTAAATTAATGTTGGACGGTAATTTAGGTATGATCAAAAGCCGACAAGAAATGACTGAAGACTTTGAAGAGTGCTCGATAGGCTTATTCTATGAAAGCCTATTAACTCGGTTGAAAAGTTACTAGAATGGACATAAATATTAGAACGAATTCAATGGCGTCTTGCACAGTGGGTTAATTTTAAATTCACTCTTGATCCCATTCCATCAACATAACTAATATCTATATAAGGCAGTAAACTAGTACCCGGTAATCACATCTCTCTCCGCCACACCTTGATAGGCATATCGCCCATCAAAAGGTTGAATGCCTCATGTCGCCTTAACTCCCACTCAGGATCCGGCAGTGCAAACTCATACCGATGCACCAGCGAAGCCAACAAGATAGTTTGTTCCAGATAAGAGATATTACGCCCAATGCAACCCCTTGCACCTGTCGAGAACGGGATGAAGTAGGGTTCCATCCTTTTTCTCTCTTCAGGGTCCATCCAGCGATGGGGCTGGAACTCATCCGGGTTCGGAAAGACAGTCGGATCGTGGTGTGCACCGTAGATTGTCATAGATACACTCGTGTTTCCTGGTATCCATTCACCCAGAATCATCGCACCTTCTGGGGGCGTTCGACGAGGTAGTCCTGCTGACGTAGGAGGTATTATCCTCATAGCCTCATCAAGACAGGCGCGGAGGAAGGGGAGATGCTTGACAGCTTCATACGAAGCAACAATTTCATCTTCGGCGAGAATGCCATCGACTTCCTGTCTGAGAGTCTCCAGGTGCTCTGGGTGGCGAATTAAAAGATACATGACTTGCGTCAAGGCAATAGCTGTGGTATCTGCGCCGGCATCGATGATGGCACCCACTTCGCTGACAATCTCGCCCCATTCTAGATTGTGTGGCTGGCCAGCTTTGTCGTTCATCAATGCCGAGAAGAAATCATCAAGCTCTTCTTCCTCATGTCGGTTCATGCGAGTCACAGCTTGGTGGTAAATAACGTCTTTCCACGGCTCTGCATCTTTCCAGACTCTACGCCACCTGGGAAAAAGCTTCGAGATGCAGCTGAACGCCTTGAAATTGTTGTAGTCCCACACAAAATGAGAGGCCGCGAAAGCACTCTGATTTTGGGCCTTGCGGTAGTGTGTCTGGTATGTTGAACCGTCCATTCGTTGCGCCGTCACGACATCGTCTCCTTGTTCGAGAAGGCCCAATGTTGAGGAAAGTGCGATATTGTTAATTGCCTCAACTGTGAAAAGGTTGATCCAGTGATTGAATTCCACAGTAAGGTCGGACGGGTCGGGAAAGGAGTCTCTGGGCAATGGTTGCGTGCAAAGCTTGTCAAAGGCAAGCAAAAGACGCTTTGTGGTGCATGCGACCTTGAACTCCCATTGCACCAGGTTCTTGATGGCAAATGCAGCTGATAGCCGTTTTCTCTTCGCGCTATGATCTGCTTTGTTCACCACATCGAACAAATTGGGATGAGGACCGCCGGTGATTGCGTATTTGAGATCCTTCACACAATTTGTTGAGTGCCCATAGATATCCCGGATAGCAAGAATGTTACCAAACGATAGATTATTCGGTCCGATGCGCAGAATGTCTGAACGTTTGTGGGCCTCTGTGAGGTCTCTTGATCGAAAGCCACAGGCACTCAAGTAGCAATAAGGAATATCCGTGATGCCAGAGAAGGTGGAGTAGTTTTCGAATCTTCGGAGGCCTTTTGGATCATGAAAGTATCGTATAACTGGCAAAGCCAGCCAATATGTAGCTAGGTAAAGCAGTGTTGCAAAGATGATGATAGTTGATAGCATAGTTGCGAAATGTCGCCCTTCACGCGTGTTTCTCCTTAGGAAACACCAGTAGGACAAGGCTGATTATATATTTCACGGTGAAAGTTAGTAGTTACGACGTATGAGATGGATCCCCAAGATGCATCCTTGATCTGAACAACTTGCTCCTTTCAGACGCGTAGCAGCCGGCGGAAATTTTTGCCTCATATTCAAAGGCTTTCCATACTTTCAGACGAGGAGCTACGAAGGGTGAATGAAGCAAACCAATTATCGGTGGGACCTATATCCTCCTGTCGTCAGACACACTCTGGAGGGGCCGAATGCCTGCGGAAATTTTATCCCGAATTGGCATTTGCGGAAATTTAAACGCAATTTCGGAAAGTCATAGCCACGATCATTGGCTTTTATAGGAACATCATTGATAAACACTGCTTGCACAGTTGGACATGGATCTCATTCGTAGATGTCCCATGTCCTAAGTGGGACTTCAGCATTTGGTCATGAGGTTCAAAATTGATCCCAAATGGGTAGGTTAGTTTGAGCATGGGAAATGATACCCGCTGCCTTAGGATGATTACGGCCATGTAGACATACCAGTTGGATGCTTCCCAAGACCCCATGGTAAAGGCCATACTCTGAAACGGCCGGAACCATACATTTGTCATGCCGGGGACTACGATGTTCCTTGCGATGAATAGCATGTCTGAGGCCTAAATCTAGCGACAGCGACGTATTAACGACTATACAGAAGATTACATATGCCAAAAACTAAATGCCAGATCAAAGGGGTGATCGTTTGTTCCAGGCCTCCTTCAAAACTGCCGAAGTGGCGGCCGTTGGCCATGCATGGCGATATTCGAGATCAGCCAAAAACTTCAAAATGGCATCTTGCTCCGCAAAATCAGTGAAATATTCCCCGCAGACGGAAATGCCAACTGCGGCATCCACCATCAATACCGGATTGGAATTCGAGAGCGCAATCCCACATAGTCGACGAATGATATCTTTCAGCTCCTCCTCCAATGCCAGGTTCGCCGCACGAGCGGCTGGTCCAAGTCGAGACAATTTTGGATTAGAGACAGCTAGTAGAATTCGAGACAACTCGATATGCTGTGCCCCCACCGCTTGACACGCGTTATTGTGCCAGATAACAGGAAAGAATTGTCCATTAGGGGGATCGGCTTCCTTGGAATACAAAGGTTTGAACCCCAATGGCTTGCTTGTCTCCCACTTCAGCTCAAACGCCTTGAGTATAGTCCATCTCTCAAGCTGTTGTTGGGGAGACATTGATTTTCCCTCCCCGAAGCAGAATTTGAGGAGGTCGGCGCACCAGACGAGAATCCGGTTCGTCCAGGTGAAATCACCCGCAAAATCGAAGACCGTGTAGTCGTTTGTTGGACACAGGGGTAGGCGAAAGGTGCGTTGGTTCAGAAAAGCGCTCCAAATTTCCTGTCGCAGGGCGATCAAGCAGGCTGAATGGCGCAAGGATGCCGAGGGAATAACTTGGAGGTCATGATCCCTAGGAGGTCCTTGAATAGAGCTGTAGGCATAGAATGAGTCATTGTGCTGAGTGTTGACAATGAACTGAACAGTGTTGAGATAAGCTTCAGAGTCGATCCCCAAGGATGGTGCTGCCAATGGTACTTAGACATGCCAGAAAACGCGGAAAGGTGGCACCATACCATCGATTTGCTCATAAAACCTCAAGATGGTGGCAGCTGTAAGGACATCCTCATTGTACTGCTCACTCGGGTCATTTGATAGTTGGATGAGATATGAGATGCAAGTATCATGATATCGCACAGCAGAGTCTGCTGTAAGCCCAGGAAGCCTAATACCCTCAAAGACTATACAGTCAGTATTGTTTCGACAAGCCGCTAATCGCGTCAAATGGCCAGCGGAAGCAGTATATACGGCGAATCGCAAAACGGGGCAAAACAGTGCTCTTTCTGGGACATTCAACTGGAAATGGCGATCACGATCACATGTGTCGAACTGATGGTGTAGTTAGTATGGTGATATCCAAAATATGGTGACGGTGAAACTACCCAAAATGACAGGTTTTCGGCAAAATGGCGCATTAAGCATGCTTCCTCGAGACTAGTATATGACATCTCGGTACTATGGCAAGGGAGGCCTTTCAAGGGGCCAGTTGGGTATTGATCCCGCTGAAAAGGAAATGATTGCAATCGGGGTGATGGGTAGTTTTGATCTTGGATAGAGGGTGCATTGGGGGAGAAAGATGGCGCAGAATCCGTTGTAGCAGTTAACAGATCGTTTCGAGTACCTGAGAGACGGTATGCGGCCGGTGCATCTGTGGTATGAAATTCGTCCACAACGCTGGAATGCGTGCAATGTACTTCATCAAGTACACAGTCACTCGAAGTTATGGCCGGTGCAGTAGTTTTCCGCTCCGATTGGGGTGGGATTACTTGCACCTCACCACTCGAGTTTTGGAGTATTGGATTGAAGTCGAGACTTGCTGGACATTGCTCTTCTTGCTCTGCGACCTGTGTGGTGTGCACAAACTGAAGTTCCCCTTATAACCCCATCAGCTAGTCAATAGTGGAAACGGTTGATAAACTGAAATACCTTTCCGACTAGGACTAACCCATTTCTGAATGGGAGAAAAGTCAAAACCTCGACGCTTTTGGCGAGCATCCTTGAACTTCAAATTGGATGGAGACAATCCGCATTGTGTTTTGGACTTTATGCAAGTCGAGCAAGGCCTTTTGCCATCACCTTTCCAACACTGTCAGCATTTTCATTTGCCTAATTCTTGAGTGCGATGCTACATTTTCGATGACGGACTAATGCAGTGTGTTAGCGAGACCCTTCGTCACATCAGAAAAAGACCCACCTTTGCACCGTTCGCATGGATTTGACGTGTAGCGCTTGCGAGTAGGCATGGGTTATATATTCCAGTATATATACTGCCGTGTCGTATTGACTGGGGTCCGTTCAAGTTTGAGATAGGAAGTGCGGAGAAAGTGCGGAGTGCGGGGACAGACTTGAGACTTGCCTGACAATCAAGGCCAATACATGCGAAGTTAACGTAATTCATAGTAAATGTGAGATATGCCATAGTCATATATCAAAGAGCATTTGGTCTATTCCATTGCTTGCAGTAATAAGTATTTTTACTGTAGATAGCGGGTATCTCATTGCCATCACGGCCTCGACCAAGCAGAAGTAGGAAATATCTCTCATGTTTCACTACCCAAATCATTAAATTACCCTAAGCTTCCCAAAGTACCTAAATATTACTCCGTATAGTATCGTTTCTTGAGAATGTCGTTTTTGCCCTCACAGAAAGCCCAGAGAAAAATAAGTGGAGAGGCCTCGATCTTGGCAGGGGGTGAAGAATGCCCGTGTCATTTATAACGGTTGTGTGTGCTCCATGTAGGAAACATGATTCGTATTATAAGGCTACGTAGGGGTGTATACCATTCCCTTTCTCTGGGCTCTCACTTATGATATCATATCTAATCGCATTTTTTTTTTTCAATCAGTCAACTTCCTAGCCACTATTTATGGAAGCTTGGTGTTTTTCAAAACTTCTATATTGCTGCCTATATATGTAGGTGGTTTGATTGGCATTTTCGGCGTCAGGGCTATTCTCGATGTCGTACAATATCCGGAGTAACGGAGTAGAAATGGACCAGATGGCAATAGTAGAATTCTTTGTCCCAAGGTACAGCATAGAGATAGACTACATCGCAAATGGTTAGATTATTCCTAATCAAAAAACAGGAATTGACGTAGATCATTCGACCCTGCAGAAAGCCACGCATGCAGCAAGGGTTGCTATCCGAGTGGCGTTTTTAACCATTTATTGGTATTTTCATCCCCATAATCCATAGTCCACCTGCTTCACAGGGAATATGCGATTGGATCTGAACTTATCAGGGCTGGCACTTGCAGGGCCGCGTCGACTCAACTCCTTTCTTTCTTGGCAGCCTCTTTCTTGATCGAAGGGGACATCTCTTTGGGTTTCTTTTACTCCGTATTGCCATAGTCCTTCTTTTCATAACTTCATTTTTGGAGCGATTCGATGCTCAATTTGCCTTTCTAATTCATAGCCTGGTTCTTATTCGAATGTTTGCATCTTTGACTTTTATTTATAATGCAATACCTCCAACCCTCTCATTTATATACTCGCTTAATAGACACAATACCTACAGTCGTGCCTTGGTCCTCGGGGGACCCATCAGTGAAAGGAGATCCCAAAAAGAGTGTCAAATGGATTGATGTATGTTCCGAAAGTAGACAACCCATGATACGAACCTAACACGTTGGGCGTCTAGGGCCTTCGAGGAATCGCCTCATTCTTAGTAGTGCTAACCCATCTCGCCCGAGCCTGGGACTATGCTCTATTCTCACCACGCGACAACGAAAACGCCAGTCCACGAATCCTCCAATGGCCCATCCTCCGCATCCCCTGGCAAGGCCGCCTGGGCGTAACCATCTTCGCTTTCCTAACCGGCTATGTCTGCGCGCTAAAACCACTCAAGCTGTCGCGAGCAGGTGATACAACAGGAGCATTCGAAACAATAGCAAAGAGCGCCTTTCGTCGACCGCCACGTCTGATCTTCCCCGCGACAATTGCTCTATTCATTTCGTGGTCTGTCGCGCAATTCGGTGGTTTTATAGTTGCCAATAGGTCCGATTGCTGGTGGTGTCGATATGCAGCACCGGATTTAGCGGATTCCTTTTGGAAAGAACTTATTCGTCTGCCGATGAATTTCTTGTCGACTTGGACGACGGGATATATGGCATACGATGATCATCAGTGGGCGCTTCTGCCGCTGCTTTTGTCGTCTATGTTGGTTTATCTTGTGCTTTTTGCGACCATGTTCGTCAAGTTTCGGTATAGGGTTTTGGTCTATATTGGCTTGCTGTTGTATTTCCATCAGAATGCAGCGAAGGACATAGGTAAGCGTTTCTCGTGGAAGAAACAACATATGAGATTCAAAAACTACTTGCGGGGGATAAAAGGACCCATTGCTAATGCCGATTCTATAGAAACATTCCAAATGCAAGCTATCTACGGCATGCTCCTCAGTGACTTCTCCTACCACACAGCCCTCAAAGACTTCATAGAAAAACACCCGCGAGGTCGGAAGTTCCTCACCATCCCGCTCACTATTATCGGATTGCTCATTGCTTCATACCCTGGTGAACACCCCGAATGGGCCGGTTGGTCTAACGTAATGCTCAAGGCAAGCCAATATATATTCCCGCCAGAAGTCAACGTCGGGAAACGCTACACTGCACTTGGAATCGACATGATCATCCTTGCGATCTTTTTCTCCCCTTCGACGAAAGACTTCCTCTCCAGCAGGCTCCTCCTCTGGCTCGGAAAGCAGAGTTTCGCCGTCTACCTCGTCCACGGCACCATGCTGCGTGTTGTGCTCTGCTGGATGCTATATGGTATCAGCGGTCAGCCGTGGGAGGGTCCTGAGCCATTGACTGATGACGAGCGCGACGACTGGTTGCCTATCCGGCCGCCGTGGGTCGTTGCTATTAGTATTCCGGTCTGGATCGGGCTTGTCTATCTCCTTGCTGCCCTGTGGACGGCGTATGTGGATACATTCTGTGCTTCGATGACCCAGAAGCTGGAGAGGGCTGTTTTTGTTGAGGACGAGAAGACGCCATTGCCCTTGCAATCGGTTCCTATGCAGACGACATGATCTTCTTGTTTTCTCCACGTGCAGCGTGTTGCTGTGGACTGGGTTGGGTTGAAACCGGCTTTCCGGTTGTCTGATTAGAGGACTTGCATTTCCTTGACATGGCTGGTCCATGGCCATGGGTGTACATAGTATGTTCTGGCTTTTCCTTTCTGGCTCTTCGAATCTTTATCCAATGTGAAAACAAGATGAAGAAGTGTACATAGCCAAATGGAGATTGTGGTCGAACTAAATTCTATTCTTCAAATCACAAAAAGAAAATGCAAATGCCACTGCGCCATATTTTACAGTTTGTATAAACACACGCCGATCAAGCACGGCGAGAGCCACGCGGCCCGTTAGGTTTGCGACCAGCCGTCTGGCTATTCTTCAAAGACTTGCTTGCCTTCGCCCTTTCGTTCTCCAGGGTTTGCATGTGCTCCCTGCGGCGGGCTTCGTTACGCTCTCTCCGCATAAGTTCATCCTCGTCTTTTCGCTGTTGTTCGTATTCAGCTGCGCGCTTCTTCTTGTCCTTCGCAAGACGTTCCTCAAGCGTTCCAGTACCCATGGTTTTTGAGATTGATTCAGAGAGGCCGGAGCCGGCTTTCCCGAATTTCTTGTAGATGCGGTCAATGAAGCTGATGTTCGCGTCTTCGTGTGCGGGTGACACGGAGACTTCGCTGCGTGCTTTCTCTTGCGCGGCTTTTTCCTTCTCAAGCCGTTCCAGCAGTTGGCGAAGGCCCTTGCTTTGGGTGTTTTCGGTGACTGCCGAGTACTTCGGCCCATCCGATGGCTTTCGAGCAATCGACAAGTGCATCCACTTCCGGAAGGCCTCCGAGTTAATCAAGTAAGTTTGACCCAGGCCGAAAAAGACCGCTTGCCACAAAGTAGAGCTGTAGGGCACTCGGCATGAATGCCATGAAGGCAAAAGACATGACAGGGAAACCATAGATGATGTACTTCCCTGCTTCGGTTTGCATCACGGGCATTTGGCCGGATTCACCACCTCTCTATTATCTTTAGTTAGTATAGCAGTTATACTAGACCACATGAGACCGACTTACCCTCAGAGATAGACACAATGTGCCCGCAGCAATCATGGGCAACATGTAAGTAGGATCAGCAACAGTCAGGTCCTTGATCCATCCCGCTGTTTCTGTGGCTAGGGCCGGCACTGGCAACGCAGTCATTGCTCGCACGACTCGGAAGCACCCAAAACCAAGAGGAATTTGCAACATGGGAATCAATGACTTCCATGCCTTGATTCCGTGCTTATTGTTGATCTCCTGGAGCTGGGCCCTCACCATCTGGGCGTCCTGCGATCTCCCTTCGGTGGAAGCAGCGACCATTTGGTGTCGGAGGGGTTCAGTCTCGGGTTTGGCGACGGTCATTCTTGCTGCGTTCTCAGATGCGCTAAGGACGGGCCTCAGCATTGCCACACGCGTTAGAAGACCGACAGCCACGATACTAGCCCACCATGGCAAACCGGTCCAAATGTGAGTGTGCTCGATAAGCCATTGCATCGTCGACGTGAAGCCCCAGCCGAAGTCCAGCCCAAGCTGCTTAAGGTATCCAATGCTCTCCGGAATCGTGGTAATATCGTGTATGTTGACTGCGTTCTTCAGTGAGCCGTCTAGCGCAAATTCGGGGAATGTCGAGTCGGAGGAGGTGGAATTGAATCGGACTGCGGCCGGGCCGACAACAGCTGGTGTCATGCGCCAGGGAGCACTTCCGGATAGTGCTGACTTCAACTGGCCCCGCTGGCTAGGGAACCGCAGGCTTTGTGACCGTAAGGTGGACATCTGCAAAGCCAAGTCAATTTCGATGTTTTTGCAAATCCGAGTAAACGGGAGTACAGACAGATCGAGAGGAGCGGGACATGGCGGTCATCCTCTGACGTGCAAGGGCAGCGGCTGCGCCGGACCCTTTCAGGCCAACAGGTCCCATCATCGTGGTTTGGGATAATTATAGATGGGGTGATAACCAGTATGGAAGAGTTGTTCTCCTGCCTCTTCGGCGCGACTTTTTCTGCCCGGGCGGTAAATATCCCCGGACCACGGCTACGGAACAGGGACAGGCACAGAGACTCGGATATGGAAATGTGGAAATATAAAAATTCATGGACTCGGATATTCTAATATTGTAACAAAAGCTGGTTGCAAAATGTAAATCCTAATTCGCCAAACGCCCCCCCTGAGCCAACAGGTCTATGTACAACCACTAAAGTTAGGTGTGCACAGTAAGCCAGGTATCGATCCCAAATCACATATGCTTCGGTTTTGTCGCCCGCGTAAATGCAGTCATTCTCGAATGGATAAGTTATTCCAGAGAAGCAGTATCCCTCAGTCCAGGGCGTCTCCGCTCCGAAGGAAGCTCCCGCATTTCAACACCCGGGCCCACTGCATGTGAGCGGCGATGGTTAGGGAAGATCTATATAATGAAGAGCAGCTAATCAGTCACCAGGATCAACGTGAGCTCATATAACATTCCACATACCTTAGTGTTAGACCACCCAAGTCGGAAAGCAGCCTCGTGTGCGAACAGCTCTCCAAAGCCTAGCATGAGACCATTGACGAAGGGGAGGAAGAGGTTGATAGCTGCTCCACGCAGAAGACCCCAGACACTTGGCGGCTTATATAGCATCATGAGTGAGCTTTCGGTTGATGGCGCCGAGGAGGACATCTCATGGTTCGCGGAGTAGTTCTCTGAGTCGGAGGGGACGGTCATGGCGGAGTCGTAGAGCTCGGCGGGCGAGGCGGAGGCGGCGTCGGAGGCCATTATTAGGATCGGAAAAGACTGAACAGTTGTATTGTATCTTTAAATAGCTGTGTCCGTGTTCGTGTTGACTCTTGATGTTGGGGAAAAAGGGCAAAGTAAAAGAGGCTAAAGTTGATATGATGGTCCTGATGAGCTCGCCGGGGCATCACGTAGATTATGTCAGCAGATTGTATCCCCGCCGGGCCAAGCTCGTCCGTCTGTTTACTCTCCTAGCTGGAAACCAATTTCAGAACCTCAACTTACCTCCACGTCTATTTGACGCTAATGTCTGTAGACTGGGCTCGTGTTGGCGACAGCGAAATTCCTAGCAGAGAGGTTGATGGCTGTTTAGGCTCCGTACATCAGGCGTTCACTAACATATCCAACCATCCTGCTAGATCAAACCGATTTCGGTCCATTCAAAAAGTACATATAATCATGATATATGTGTGTTGAACAAATTTTGTATTAAGAATCTATCAATATAGTAAAAACTCGTTCTATTATATAAGCAATGGATATCAAAAGACGCCGTGCCAATGTCATCCATGTTCTTTTCCACATCAGTCATACCAGCAAATCATTCCGACAATGCTGGATAAGCTGAAAAAAAAGGAAAAAAAAATTACCTCCTCTTTCTAAAATTCCCCGACATCAAGTTTGGAAACAATTTATGCCTTGATAGCTTTCTCCTCATCGTCACTGAAGGCGAATTTTGAGAAACGACGAATGGACTCTCCCTTGAAGTAGAATACATAGGGAATGGCGCAACAAGCCAAGCCGATAAATGCAAGAAGTGTGCTGGCCCACTGGTCACCCAGACGTTCGTACATTTGCTCCGTGAACAGGACGGTGCAGGCACCCCAGATAGAACGGATGAAGGTCTTGGCTGCGAGAGCAGAAGCTGCTTGATGCTGGTAGGTATCAACTGAAAGATAGTTAGCAATGACAGGAACCAAGAACGATTTCGTGATTTTTGTACATACCAAGGTAGTTGTTGGCAGAGTTATAGAGCAGGATAACACCGACTCCAATAAGGAAGCCTCCCATCGCCGGTCCCATCCAGTGAAGATGGGGGTAGGAGGTCCAGGCGAAGACAAAAAGACCAGAAGGGATGCACCAGCAAGCCCACATCATGGGAATCAGGCGTTTTTCAGCTGGAGGCTTGCCGCCGTATGCCACAGAGACCTTGAGGTAGTGATTGTTGACAAAAGGAGCACAGCATGCGCTGAAGATCACACCAATGGCCAGAGGGATGAACATGAGACCGGTATTAGACGCGCTCCATCCTTTGCCGCCCATGTAAACAATTGGGTAGCTAAAAGTATCATTAGTATCTAGTCTGGGTTGACAAGAGATGTTGACGACTTACGCAACGAAGAACATGTACAGCAAGCCATAGATGACCGACATGTATAGAGAAATGAACAAGACGATGGGCTCGAGGAACAGAAGCTGGAAGGGACGGAAGAGGAAGATGCGCAGCTTCTCGCCCATGGGACGAGCATCGAGCTCGGTTTCAGTGGTATACTTAGGGTCATCCTCAGCCTTGCGAAGTTTCTGGGCTCGCTTCTTCAGCAAAATTGGTGCAAAAGTCTCGGGGACAGTGAATGTGATCATGACCCAGGCGACAAAGGCCAGAATAAGCTGGATCCAGTAAAGCCAGCGCCAACCACAATTGTCAGCCAGGTAGCCACCAACAAGTGGCCCAATGGCCGGACCAATGAAGGGAGCAGCGCTGAATGCTGCCATGGGAACACCACGCTCTTCACTCTTCCACAAATCAGCCAGAGTACCACCGACCAGAGTCATGGGGGCACTGAAAGCAATTCCGTCGATCAGACGGCAGACAATGAGAGTTCCAATGTTCTTTGAAACAGCACATGGGATGACGAAAATAACAGCGAGTGCAAGGGTCAGAGCGTAGACAGGCCGACGTCCGACGATCTCTGACATTGGAGCAAAGACCATGGGTCCTGAAATATGGTTAGAGCTTATACAAATCACATCACGTTTGTGAATTACTTACCAAGACCGAATCCAATAACGAAAACCGTGATAACAACCAAGCTGGCTTCACGACCGATACCGAATTCCTCGATAGGTCCCTCAACATCGGCTGTAATGACGCTACTGCAAAAGGCGACGACAAAGCAGGTGAATGCAACCACCATGGTACAGTACCACTTAAAGGCCTTCGACCAGTTCTTGGGGTTATCGGGATCGTCGATGGTGAAAGTCACCATCTTCCAATCTTCGGTCTTCCCAGTGACATTGGACTTGATCGGCTTGATGATTTCACCTGTCCTCGTCTCGGTGATGTATTCACGTAAATCGGCGCCATCATTGACTTCGCGGACTGGTAGGTCGAGGTAATCATCGGGTACGGGTCCATGGTTGTTAGTCCCGAGGGAGGTTGTCGGGATAGCCTCCATCGGGGTAGTTGCATCTGTGTGGGCCTGGTCTGACCGTGGAGCCTCCATGTTGAAATATATCAGACTGGTAATGGGGCTACACCCAGACAAAAGTATGAAGTGTCGTGGTTCTAGGTGCAAGGTGTTGTAGTGGGTAGCAACGTGTGGTCATACAACATAGATTGTTTTGGACCCCCTGGGGTAGCTTTCTTTTATAGATCATCTTCAGTAAAATTCGGCACCGAGTTTTTAACGAGCGGGTCATTTAAAAAACGAGAAAGGCAACAGGAACCGCCCGTGAATGAAGACGCTCATACATTTTTCCTACAGCGGAACCTTTGATATCGGCCCGCAGATGGATTGCCTGATAGAGAATAGTGGCGCTAGCCTTATCAGGTAATATGCTACGAGGACCCCTTGGCTTTATCGCTTGATTCTAGATGCCTCATTTTCCTCTTGAGAAAGAATAAAACAAAAAGCTCTTGCTAAATTTTTCCATTAGCTATCTAAGTCTCTAGAACTAAATCAGTGCATGTATGTAACTCTACTCATTGAGACATTGGTAAGTGGAACCCCAGAGCTGCTTGCCTTGGATTAAGGAGAGTATTCCCGTCACACTCGTGAATGTCCTAACTATCTCATATGTCGATCAATAATATTGTTAATGAGCAGTTGAGCACATCGTAGCCCGAGAACTTCAATGCTTCTTTTGTATACTTAATTTTCCTATCTTCTTCAAGGGTACTTTCCCGAGTTCCAGCTTGGCATCACGCGAAAGCGGGTCTGGCTGTGGCCACCGCGCATCGTGAGAAGTTCAATTAAGGAGAATGCAATATATAGAATTAGAAAGGTATCTAAGATGTGTGTATCTAATAGTCGTATCTACTACAACATACTCCGTAGTGAAGAGACGATCTCGGAAACAATGCTGAACTTGTTTAGATCAGCTCAGCCTCGGGGTCTTGTAGTGTCACATTCATATGTATACAACATATAAGTCTCGTTCCAATGACACGGTGGGCGGGTGGAGGTCAAATATTAAACAAGATTATCTTTTTGCTTCCACCGCAACCCTGTATAGAACGGAACATATTACCATATTTGGAAGTTAAAGTGGGTTTCCTTATTGGGAATCAAAACCTCCGCCACCACAGCATTTTTTGTATTGTTCTAGATTCTTCACATCAGACCTGGGCACAGTACTTCCCAACGGTTGTGGGTCGCATCTAACATGCATCTATAGGTTAGATATCTTTTCTAGATGTTGTCCACACATATCAAAGATACATACAGCATTCAAGTCCTATTTTCCCAGAATTAGTGGAACTATGGCTTTCCGGGCTTGATTAGAACGTTTAATTATTTCTTAGAGAATTCCCCATGCCTCTTGATGCAGGGTTTACCCCTGTCCCTATAAAATGTTCTGTTTGTTTCCTGAAATCTTCTGTACTCTGTCCTAGTACGAAGTACAACATCTGGATTACAAATGTTAGATATCATCCTACTAGTTATCTAGTGCAGTTTTTCCCATTGCTGTTATTCACAAACCCGGCCTTTAGAAGAGTGTTCAGTATTTATAGCACGTACAAAACACGTTTGCAATCATAGAATATCCATATACTGCATTGGAAATAACCATTTCGGAGTGATCTACACCCCAGCTGTGTTTGAAAATCCCGGATATCGTCATGATGCAAGAGCCTGGGACGCAGAGAATGGCATGACGCCGAATCGGTATTGGTTATGCTGGCATCTTGTGCAAGTCCTTTCACCCTGCAG